GTAGGTCCTTATATAAAATAAGAGCTCTTAGAAGTTTTAAAGTAAATAATTTAAGCTATATAAGGTGATTAAGGCCCACCCTCTTAGGATATATATATTATAGGAACTAGGTAGATATACCTTAAAGAATCTTATTAATAGGTAGAGACTAGTAGAAGTAAAGATAGGAGATAATCTATAATACTTATAGATATTAGTAAGCCTTAATACTAGGCTATAAAAAGTAGGTCTATTAATCTCTAATCTAATTAAAATATAAAAGATGCTTAATAAGACTAACCCTCTAATACTATTATATAAAGAACTATTATAGTGTGTGGTAGAAGGATATAATAAGTAAAAATATTTAGGAGAAATTTTATAATAAATAGGGGAGGGATTAGGGATATAATATAAGATAAGTAAGTAGAAAACTTAATATATTAGTAAATAAAAATTAGTAAGAAATAGCTACCTTATATAATAATAAATAGAGTTACTAAAGCTATAGAATAGTAAAGACTTAACTATTTTAGATATTAAGGACTAAGAGAGAATTTAAAATATTAATTTAGAATTAATATCTTAAAAGAATACTAGAGAGATAGATTTTAAAGAATTATTTATAGTTATAATATCTTCTTATTATAAATAAATAAAGTAGTATAAAGATAATATATTTATATAGATAGATTAGAAAATAGTACTATACTAAAATTACTATTCTAAGAAGAAGAAAATAAATTATAGACTAGTAGATTTTACTAATTATAAAGAAAAACTAATTATAATAAGATATTAAGAATTATATTAATTAACTAAAGTAATAAATAATTACTAATTAAAAGTCTAAGTTAAACTTTATATTAAGAACCCTATAAGATAAGGCCTTAGCTAACTAGAATAAATTATTATTATTACTAGGAGGAGGTACTAATTCCTCTAGATAAGTCTTAATATAATAAATAAATATCTAAAGATCCTAAAGAATTATAAAAAGATTATAATAATTACCCTAGTTAATATAACTAACTAGCTAGGGAATATAAACTCTATTAAAGAGATTTTTATAACTAAGTAATAATAAAAAAGAATAATATCTAATAAGGCTCTCTATTAGGACTACTAATAAGATACTTACTAAAGTATAAGAAGGAGTTACTATAATAGAACTAATCTAAGAGAGAGAGAAAGTTAACCTAACTAAACTACCCTAAATAAAAAAGGGAGTTACTAAAGAAGAACTAGCCTAAGAATAAGAGAAAGTTATTATAATAGAATAATATCCCTTAGCTAAACTAATTACTACTACTATAAAATATTTTAAAAAAAGATAATACTTCTTAGCTAGAGCCTCCTCTACTATAAGAGAAGAGTCTTTATTATAAGAAATACTAGAAGGACTTATCTCTACTATAGGAGAAGAGCCTTTACTATAAGAAATATTAGAAGGATCTACCTCTACTATAGAAGAATTAATATTACTTTTTATACTAGACTATATATACTTATTATTATCTAGAGAACCTTTACTAATACTATTATCTAACTTCTTACTATAATTACTAGTTATTACTACTAACTTTATAGACTAATTATATAACTTATTACTATAACTAGTAAGGAAACTAAGACCACTAGCTTAAATAATAAGTCTATAAAAGTAAAAAAGATTAGTAACTATAGATAAGAAATATTTACTAAGAAGAATATATACTTATTAAGAGTATTAGAATCCTATATATAAAGGCCCTATATATAAAATAAATATACTAATCTCTAGTTACTCTAAGTATAGTTAGTATAGGACCCCTAAAAAAATATAAATCTATTATAACTAGGAGTAGAGATATATCCCCTAAAGAGATCCTTACCTAAAAAATAATTATTATAAACTAATATATAGTTATGAGATACACCTTACTACTAGAGAATAGTAACTAATATATAGCCTAAGTAAGTTTATTCCTTTATATCTAGCTTCTTCTTCTTATTAAACTTCTAGGTAATTAAGTAAATAATATTTATCACCTTTAATATGCTTTTATTAGGCCTACTAAGATAAGCTTCTACCACTAGTAAGAGATAATTACTAAAGCTAGGAAGGGTACTTACTAAACTTATTAAAAGTAACTATATTCTTCTAATAGATAAGATAGCCTTTACCCTTCTTTTATAGGGTACTTATATTTACTAAGTATAAGAAGAATATAGGAGACTAGTATATAAAGAAAGAAGATAGTGATTAATATAATAAAAAGAAAGATGCTTATAGAAGAAGAAAAGAAGAAGAGAAAGAGAAATATAAGAGATAAAAAGAGAATAAGTAAGATAAAGTAGAGTTACCTAAAATTAAAATAAATAATATAACCTTATCTTACCTCTACTATAATAACCATATTAGCAACCCTCCTTACTATATATAATTCCCCCTCTACTTACTAAGTATAATCTAATACTACTCACTAAGTATAATCTGATGCTACTCACTAAGCATGATCTGATGCTACTTACTAAATATAATCTGATATTACTTACTAAATATGAATCTAATCCTACTTACTATGCATAATATCACCCCCTTAGACTATGAGGACCTTTTAGTGAGGAGCTAGATAACCTACTAAGGATGGGCTTTACCTTAAGTAGGGGAGGATGTGATATTAGTGAATAAATATTATAAGTAGACTAATAATTATTAAGGTTAACCTAAGAAATCTCTGTAATATCTATGACTTATCTTTTAGATAGATAGCTGGTAGCTAGATATAAATATAAGACCTTACCCCAGGTAAGTGAAGAGGCATTAGCCCAGCCTATTTCTCTTCACCCCTGGTGATACTACCTTACCCACGGTAATTCCATTATATAGATAAATATATTAGAGATATTTATATAATATATTTTGCTCTTTTAATCTAATTATAATTAGATTTAGTACCTTATATAGTATCTATATTATATAGTTAGTTATATAATACTTAGTTATATAGTACTTAGTTAGTTATATACTATATAGTTATATACTATATAGTTATATTTTTATATATATAGTTATATTACTTAGTTAAATATATTAAAATTCTCATATTTTCTTAATCTAATTATAATTAGAATTAGTATCTTATATATTATCTTTAGTACTTAGTTATTTATATAGTACTTCATTAATTATATCATACTTAGTTAGTTATATAGTTCTTTAGCTTATACTTACTTTATATTAAAATTATTAAATTAATAAAGAATATATAATATATAGTCCTTTCTTAATCTAACTATAATTAGATTTAGTATATTTAGATTATATTAATAGGTATAAAAGGACTCATATAATATATTATAGTTACTATTATATAAGAATATACTTAATATTTATATATTTATCTATATATTTTAATATATTTCTAGCTATAAACTATAAACTTATCTAATATAGCTTAAATCTATTACTTATTAGGTTAAGAGGAGATCTCTATATCTTAACTCCTATATAAATAAATTTTTAAATTAAAATAATTAGTATATAAAAAGATATTATTATATCTTTTAAACTTAAGATATCTAGTTAAAAATAGTAGTTTAACTAATCTAAACCTAACCTAAATCTAACTATAGTTAGTTAATATAGGCCTACCTATACCTAGGTAGACCTAGTAGCAGGGTTTATGGCGAAAACCATAACTAACCTAGATTAGGTCTGGGGTTGTTATAATTTCTAAATTTTGAACCCAAAACTGCAGTGGTTCAGTGCCTACTAGGCTTGAACCCACCTGAACCTACACCAAATGCAACTCTACATGGCACTGAAACCAGCAGGTGGTGAGACCAACCTCATGTAATAACTAGATACTGGGCTATCTAATTACCACTGAGGCAAAAGACCTATAATGATTTGACCCTATATCAAATCATGGCCTAGTTCTGTATATATATCTAGATAGCCTAATACCACAGCAGCAGAACAGATCTTAAAGTGTGAACAACAGTGCTACAGGTAATTATATATAATGATATAGATAAATAAGTAGCACAGCTAACATAGTACTTAGACCCATCTATAACACATAGCTCACTATTATAAATAGTTATAAGATAGCTAGGATAGTATACACACTAGTAAGGGACTAGGCCATAAATTAGTAGTATAGTAGCTATAATAAGTATTAGGTATAGTAAGGGAGACAGGGTAGATCTAAGCATACTAAAAGATAGTATAATAATAAAGATAGTAGCTAGTATAAAGGGAGTAGTTATACTAAATAGGAATACCATAAAGGTAGATAGGTTAAGAATAGTTAATCCCTAATCTTAAGTATAAAAGAGAAGTATATATTATAAAATATAAGAGAGAAGAGCAGGAAGATAAGGAGTATATAACAGAAGTAAAATAAAGGAAGGCCTATAATAGGGTAAAGAAAGATTAATAGAGAGAAGGGGAGTAATAGATCCTATAATAGTAAGGTTAAAGAAGATAGTAAAGATAGTAGTAAAGAGAGCAGAGTAGATAGAAGAGGTAGATTTAATAAGGTATAAGAGTCTATGTGCAGCATCTAAGAGCAGAAAGTAGTAAACTAAGAAATATAGCAGAAAAGTGGACAGCAGACCTTAAAGTGTAAAAACAACCCCTTCACACAGTTATTTATATGATGATATAGTAGTCATGAATCGCGTCATGAGTGGTCGACTCTATTTCGGCTTCCATAGATTCTCACAACCAAGCTGTGCTTATAAGGATACGCACAGTGGACTACTTCTAGGACGTCAGAAGTAATGGTATATATGGCATGCCACCAAGTACTCTCGGGATGATCTGATTATCGCCGGCCACCCGGCCTTCTGATGCCTGTGTCGCCGGATACCACGCGAGACACGGTGATCGAGATTGGGTATGCGAATCGGGCCCTTCTGCTATGTGTATTAGTAGCCGGGGAGTGTTGATAGCGGATGGTGGACAGTGAGTGACGAGCTTGATGAATATGACGACGCAATGATTTAATCTTCATACCTTGTCCTACGGACTACTGAATATACCCCAAGTACACTTTAACCGCCAGATACTGGACCTCACGCAGCCCACTAATGATAATAAACAGTCACATACGGCCCCGTCTCCTCCGCATATGAGAATGACAACCACGCCTGCAGATCCGCAGTATTCTCCAACTTCTCCTCCGGCCTGTCACTCACCAATTAGCATCACCACTCACCAAACCCCGAGGTAGAAACAGGACAGGAACAGGACAGAAACATACTTATACGAAGCCAAGTTATCCACATACCCCCTCGCATGGTCGTTCCACCCCCATTCCGCAAACGTGCCCGCCACAGCCGCTGCCACGGCGCCATCATTCAGCCCCGTGAGCGGGATATAGATCTTGGGCTGCGGGAGGGCCTTGCTGGCGCGGATCTCGAGGTTGAACAGCAGGGGCAGCAGGGTGGGCGGGTCGCCTGGCTTGGTGGGGCGTTCGGGGGGCGAGCGCGTGCCCTCAGGGACGGCGAGGGCGGTCCAGAGAGAGCGCAGGATGTCGAGGCCGGCGGCGGTGGCGGGGTCGGCGAGGCGGCCGTCGAGCGTCCAGATGGCGGCGATGCGGTCGAAGACGACCTCGAACTCGGCGAGGTAGAGCTTGAAGCGCGTGTGGGTGAGCGCGACGAGGTCGCACGATAGGAAGAGCATGGCGGTCGACGCGGGCGAGGCGGACAGGAAGGCCTCGATGGCGGAGAGGCCGGCGGCGAAGAGGCCCGCGGGGTCGGCGTGGCGGATCGCACGGAAGACCATGCTGCCGACCTCGTCGTTCGTGGCCGCGGCCTTGCATGTCGGGTACAGGTACAGCTTCACGGCGATGTCGCCGCGCTTGAGGTCTAGCGCGAGGATGGTCTGCGTCTTGGCGGGCTGTGCGTCCAGCAGGTTCTTCTCGACGAGAACTTGCTCCTCCTCGTCATTGAGAGTCAGCTGGGGCAGCAGCGCGTGGTAGAGACTCAGGTCGACACCGCGGCCCACCCGGCTCAGCGTGTCAAGAGCCCCGGCCACACTGCGCCGATTACACGGGTCCAATCCCGCCGCGGCCGCAGGACTCGTGGGATCGAAGGCGATGCGCACCGTCGACCCTGCGGCCGTGAAGTTCTGGCTGAACTCCAGGGCACCCAGCCCGCCGAGGATGCAGAGGTACTTCCGGGGACGGTTGGGGAAGGGCCCTAGCAGCGGGATGAGGTGCGTGGCGTACAGGTAGAGGTACTGGAACTGTTCAGCGATGGGGTACTTGGCGACGTGCAGCAGTTTGGCCAGCATGGGCCCGGTGCGCTGCCACCAGTCGTGCTGGTCCAGGCTCGGGTGCACGATGTATTTGGTCAGCGCGGTGTACGCTGCCAGGGCGTCTGGGGTGTCCGTGGCCATGGTGAATATGGTGGGACAATTCGTTCGACAGTCGCTCAGCAGCTCGTATCAGTCCGTCCGATCCGGTTTTGGATTTCAGTCTGGACGGCGAGGTTGCAATTGCCAGAGGTATGGCCCAGAGTCCAGGCGAGAGAGCGAGAGAACAGAGAAAAGGAGATGGACGCTATTTATGCTAATTCATCGAGCTGGATTTCAGAAGGCTGCACCTCGGGCGGCTGGAATGGCAACGACAGGTCAACTGACTCAAGACGTACAGCTAAAATACATTATCATATAATATACACACTACAATCATCATCATTCATACCATCACTCATCAGCATGGCTTGCAGTACATAATAATCAGGTCTAATCAGGCCTTCGCGGAAAGATCCTTCCCATCCGCCAGGTTCCTCAGAATCCCCTTGAGTTGCTTCAACGGCGTCGGCTTCGTCAAAAATAAGTTCACTCCGCTCATCATCGCCTCTTGCTGCATCGACGACGACAGCACAGCAGTCAGAATGATGATCGTGGCCGGGGGTCGCTTCAACTTGCGCTCCAACTGCCGCATCTCCCGGGTGGCTGTCAGCCCGTCCATGACCGGCATCGAGATATCCATCACCACCGCGTCGTACCGGTCTGCCTTGAATCTCTCCACGGCCTCGAGTCCGTTCTTGGCTGTGCGATAGGTGAAACCCCCGGTTTTGACGCACATTTCAATAATCTATCCACCTTAGAGGCTAAGATCAGGTTTGGCAACGAGGGCGACCTACCTTCAGGTTGACTTGGTTGTCCTCCACTAAGAGGATATTGCGTGCACCCTTCTCCTTGTTTGCGTTGCCTGTGGCAGGGCTATCCCGGCGAGGCGGCTGTGATTGGACCCCATCCTGGTCACTTTCTCGATTGTTTGCTTCTGGCACAGGCGACGGCAGCTTCATCGGCGTGGCATCACCGGAACGGGGTTCCTGGCCCAGACAATGCTCAAACGCCGTGGCCAGTGTTTTTGGGCTCACCCTACTCGAATCAGTTTTGGTTCGTGGTTCAGATCTCACTGGTTAGGGAGACTTACGGCTGTGTTAAGAAAATAACCGAATCATCCACACTCTCCCCTAGCATCTTCCAACTGCTTGTCCGCGCGCTCAACACGATCAATGGAAGTGTCGGTTGGATCTCTCCAGTCCCGGGCTTCGGCTCGCTCGATCCGGGGCGGTAATAACTGCGATACTCGTGCTCTGTCACAATGGCAAGATCTGGCCGCTCCGTGTCCAATTCTTCATCTGTCAACACGCGCAACCCAAACCAGCCACTGATCATATGTCCCAGGCTCGACAGGATGTTGCCAAACACCTGTGTGTCGAATCCGAGGTCGCCCATTCGCGAGCTCTTCGTGAACAGCGACACCGTCTTGCCCCGCAATTTCTCTTTCAGCACCCCCTGCGCCAGGGGCGATGGTGGAGATGCGTGCTCAGCGGTAGTAATTGGAAGGATCACATCGACATCGGTGCCCTTGCCTACCTCGCTGGAGAACTTGATCTGCCCGTCTAAGGATTTAACAATTTGATGCACCAGATGCAACCCCACACCCAGACCGGGAGACGTGGTGTCCTCCTGAAGGAACGCACTGTACAGATGGTTGGTCAAGAAGTCTTTCGACATGCCACGGCCGGAGTCGCTGAAGGTCATGCGGATGGCCGGGACGATCTGTTTCCCCTTGACCTTCAGCGTGTCGCTACGCATCAGCAGTCGGATGTAGCCCGTCTGTGTGTACTTGAGCGCGTTCCCAAAGAGGTTCATGACAACCCGTCGCCAGGCGCCCGCGTACACGCTAAACCGCCAGCTCTCTTGCCACTCGATGTCAACAATGGTAATCAAGCGTGTCCGGGGGTTTTCTCCGTGCTTAGACCCTTCGTTGCCCGCATCCGTGCCGCGGCGCTGATATTCGGCCCCAGCCAGGAGGCCTTCGACCACCTCTTGCACGAGCACGCTCAGGTCTTCATCTTGCATGGAGCCCGGTACGGCTGGTTGTGGCTTTGACACGTCGGTGATCAGCGCACCGCCCTTGTCGGACGGACGGGGACGCGTCAGGGTGTTGATCTTGGCGTAGTCCAGCAGATGGTTCAGGGTGTCGAGAAGGGTGCGGCCGCAGCTGTACACCGTCTCGATCAACGACCGCTGCGCATAGGTGTTGGCCATCTCCTGCAACAGTTCCACGGTCCCCAGCAGGCCGTGCAGCGGTGACCGCAGTTCGTGCGAAATCGACGAAATGAAGTCGCTCTTGGCGCGGTCCGCGGCCTCCAGATCTAGTCGTGACACCTCCGCCATGACGGTGTTGCTGAACGCCGCCAGATAGGTCAGGTCCTTGGGCTCGGACAACACGCGGCCCGGGTCGTTGGTCCAAACCACGCAGACGGTAAACCAGCGGCCGCGCTGAAAGTCCCAGACGGGGTAGACGGAGATGCAGCGGGCGTCGGGCAAGATCTTCATCAGCTGTTTGATATCCATGGTCTCCTGCTCGACATCCTTGTGCTCCGCGTCGGTCGTCTGCGCACCGCGGCTGCCGCTCTGCGAGTAGTCCATGTCATCGGCGATACCTTCGTAGCTGAGCGAGATGGAACCATCCTCCTCGATGTGGAAGATCTTGCCGCGCGGATACTGATCGATCAGGTGGCTGACGAAGTTGCCGGACAATGAGACGTAGTGGCTGTCGTTGATGTTCACACCCTTGTCGGATGTCGAAGAAGTATAATGACCCAGCACCAGGCTGCGGGCACCGTGATCGGCATCCTCCTCGGACGCGTCGGACCCTGAGGGCGATTGTGGATGGGTCGCTGATGGCACCTCGTCCTCGCCGGCGCCGCGGTCTGCCTGATGCTGGAGATTGTATTCTTCCGGCTTTTCGCTGGCGTGATTGGGGGAGCCAACGGTCTGCCGCCGGGCGTAGACACTGGCGTCAATGAACATGGCGCCTTCGACGTCGAGGGCCTGGTAGATCATCGTGGCGGCGCGACCGACCACGGATCGCACGTTATAAGGGGCCAGTGACTCCTGCAGCTGGCTGGTGGTGGGAGACAGCTTCGGGCGCTGTTTCCTCTGTTGCTTCTCGTCTCCGGGATGCTTCTCCACGTGATCCTCATCTTCACGATCTTGCTCGTGCTCGTGCTCTTCATTGTCAGCATCCTCTCCATCTTGCCCATACCGCTGAACCGGGGAAATGTATTTATCGTCTGGAACACTGGCTGGGTTCGGTGCGGATTGGGAATTCTCCGATTCCTCTGCATTTTCTTCGTGTTCGTCCTCGCCGCTAGATGCCGAGAAGCGCAGCTGCTCCAGTCGCTTGTTGACCTCGGTGATCTTGCCGCCGTAGCGCAGGTCGGGGGCGTCCCGGCTGTAGAACCAATCATTCAGGTCGGATTTACCCTTGACAAACAGCCCCAGGGCGCGCACCATCTTCTCCTCGCGGTATTCCTCGCGCATGGCGCGCTGCGAGAGCAAATGGTCCATCACGGTGGCCGAGAGCTCCTTCAGGAAGGTCTCTTGTTCCTTTGTGATGCCACCCCGCGGCTTATCGTCCAGCACGGCGACGCTGCCAATGATGTAGTCATCGGGCGACTGGATGGGCACGGAGACATAGAATTTGTTGTGGGGTGGCCCCGTCACTGAGTCATGATGCTGGAACCGCGAGTCCCTAGTCAGATCATTCACGACAAAGATATCCCGACCATCCTCGATAAAGGATTTCATCGCGTGGTAGCACATGGCAATCTTCTTGCGAGGGAATCGGCGCACGCCCAACCACAGCGCCTCGGAGCGCTCGCGGCCCTCGGAACCGCGCAGAGCTAGCGACGGCGTGGACTCTGCGACGACGTGCTGCATTTTCTGATCGAAGAGGGAGATCAGGGCGCGCTGCGCGTTCATGCGCAGGGCGGCCAGTTGAGCGAAGACAGTGAGGACATTGTCGCGCGAGGCGTTCGGGTAGTCTCCGATGGATTGCTGGGCGAATTTTTCGGTGTCGGTGAAGCCCCAGTAAGGGAGATAGCTTGTAGGCGGTGTCAGTGGGGTCCGACGTCAATAGAGATGGAGAGCATACAGGTGCATTTCGCGTTCCCTGGCGCCCTCGCGGTTGTAGGCGAACTTGCGCGGTCCGCCCTCGCGGCCTTGGTTTGAACTGGCGGGGGAGTCCATACTGCTTGAGGGGGGGAGGATTGCTCCGTCTTTAGCGAGCTGAGCACGGATGAAACCACGACTATGGTGCTATTGTAGAAGGAAGTCCATGGACGATCAACTGGAGTCTGGAGATTAAGAAGGACAACACATGTGGGTGAGAGGGAGCAGCCACTATCGTCATCGGTGGAATGCCGCAGAGCCCAACTGAGGTCACACCACTATAAATATATATACACACGATCGGAACGATGGGGTGTAGATGAAGCGCGAGAGGAAAACCAGGCAGAGCGGTGGATCAGAGGAAGAAGACCAGAAAGATGAAGAGACGAGGAGATGAAGTCGACGAGCGAAGACAGACAGACAGAAAGACCGAGAAACGTGACATCGGCTTTGGTCCTCCTTCCTAATCGGGACGCTCCCAGCAGGATCGGGTGCTGACGTCATGGCCGTTCCTGATCGGTCTGACGGGCTCTGATTGGCCAGTACCGGTATTACCAGCTGGTAATATTGCCGGGTCACCTGATTGGATTATACTAATCTATAGACCTTCCTAATAATAAAAACTCTTAATAGATGCTATATAAGGTAGGCAGAATTTCTATATACTTTTAATATATAAATTAGGTACTGCTAAGAAAAAAATAATCCTATAGATATATCTAGGTATTACTTAAACTATACTTAGGAAGTAGAAAAGCTATCTATAGACTTTTTAATAAAGAAACTCTAAGAAAAAAATCTAAGATAGCTAGTATTTTAGGAACACTAAGTTAATAAAGATAAGCCTACTAATATAGAGTTATAAATTATAAATAGACTTAACTAATAATACTAAAGAGTAAGATTATAGAAAAACCGTATCTAATATAAACCCTACTAATAATAATATAGATATCCTAGGTATTCTAATATCCTATTCCTATATAATTATAAAAGATATCATGCTATATAAAAGATCCTAAACTAAATATAACTATAATAAACTTATTGGAGATGCCTGAATGCCATCATCGCTGCCTGAGGTGTCTGCAGCGGATGCCTCAGATGCCTCAGATGCCTCCACGAGAGATCCATTGAGGATTGGAGATTCAGGACATCGATCAGAAGCTAGATATATCTCATATCCAAGGAAGGGGGCGATCAGTTTGTACACTTGAAATAACCTTGGTTGTTAGCGTGAATTCAGTGGTGTCGACCTCGAAGATAATATATACATATTTATATACATTTGCAGGACAGCCATCCACGATATAGCCCAAGAGCCTAGAAGAAAAACAAGACCGATGCTAAGAATTACGTAGAAGACCGCACCAATGGCATACCTATAAGACATTTTAGAGTTCCTTTAGGGATGGTGGGGAGATCGATCGACGCCATCCTTCAGGCCTACTTGGGAAGACGTGATGCTATTCAGACCACTCATATCCAACTCCCTCAAATCCCCAAACACAAGGATGGAAACATCCAGCAAAAAAACCCACATAGTGCGTACGGACTACGGAGTACGATTGCAGGATTGCCCAACGAGGTTCGAAGGTTTGAAGGGTCATCTGCAGGTGCGGATAATCGGCTATAGCCCTATAACTCCGTGCTGACTGCTTACCCAGTCAGCAGTCCGCAGTTAGCACTATCAGCGACCAATATGATTATTATCTACGGAGTAGTATATATGAGCAAACCACGCTCCAGAACTTCGGCAAACAGTTCCCCCCCAAACAAACTCGACGAAAATTAAATTCCCCTCACAATGCATCTCATTCTCACCGGCGCCACTGGCCTTGTCGGCTCCGGCGTCCTCGACGCCATGCTCGGCATGCGCGAAATCACCCGCATCTCCATCCTCAGCCGCCGGCCGGTCCCCATGGCGCAGGACGCCAGCGATCCGCGCGTGAACGTGATCATCCACAAGGACTTCGCCAAGTACGACGCCGACGTGCTCTCTCAGCTGGCGGGTGCAACGGGCTGCGTGTGGGCGTTGGGGATCAGCCAGACCAAAGTGGACGCGGAGTATGTCTAGTAGAGATGCCCCCCATATTGGAATGCAGGGAACTGACCGTGCAATGGCAGAGAATACACCACTATCACCAAGACGTACGCCCTCCACGCCGCCGAGGCATTCCGCTCGCTCCCCCCGCCCGACCAGCCCTTCCGCTTCGTCTACGTCTCCGGCGGCGGCGCCACCACCCAACCGGGCCGCTTCTCCGCGGTGTTTGCGCGCGTGAAAGGCGAGGCCGAACTCGGCCTCGCCGAGCTGCGACGGAAGTACCCGATGCTGCAGACGAGCTCGGTGCGGCCGGCCTTCGTCGATGAGGCGAATCACCCGGCCATCGCCAAGTATATGGCCCCGCGCCCGGCGTATGAGCGGCTCTTCCGCGTGACGGCGCCGGCGATCCGGGCGCTGGCGCCGGGGCTGTGGAGTCCGACGGAGGAGCTGGGCAGCTTTCTCACGGGGATGGCGATGGGGCGGTATGACGGCGTGGGAGCCGGGAAGGATGTGCAGATGCTGGGGGCGATGCCGGTATTGGAGAACTCGGCGTTTCGACGGTTGATGGGGCTGAGTGGATGACTGGACTGGAAATAGTATTGCGAAGACGTATAATAGGAACGACAACGATAACATAAAGCTAATATGAGAACGGGTACAACAGGGTATCGGGAGAATGGACATGTACACCATCCGCGACGAACGCCAAAGCACTTCACTTTTCGCTATGCATCGTAACTCATAAAAACAAAAAAAGCCACCAATTGCTATTGCTCCACCTCGTGCACCGCGCGTTCGATATCGCCGATCTTGCGTCGGCCCAGATGCAGCCGGCTCCGCAGGTTCTTCTGCTTGATCAGCCAGGCGCGCTTGCGCCGGCGCCGTGGGTAGTTGATCGGGCTCTCGCCGCCAGTGAAGATGACCAGGTCATAGAGGAACCCACCACATAGGCCACCGGCGATGTCGGCTGCCCACGGGCCCCAGATCCACCAGGCGTGCTGCTCGCGGAAGAGATGCCCGCCCCAGCCGGCCATGACGGCCACCAGCCGGGGACCAAAGTCGCGGGCCCCGTTGAAGCATCTACCGCCGGCCGGTCAGTATGCTGTGAACCAAATATCGTGGAAAGAACGTGCTTACCCGCCCGTATTGTAGCCCAGCGACAACACCAGCACACTAATGACAATTCCCACGATAAACGCCTGCATACCGGCGCCCGGTGGCGCATTGGTGTCATCGCCCAGCGCCATGATCGTGGCGACCAGCACGGCCGTGCCGACAAACTCATTGAAAAACGCCGTCACAGGGTGGACAAAGTCTTTTGGCGTGGTGATCATGGCCTGTCGCGCAGGCGAGTCCGCCTGCGACACGCCCTTCACCGCCGCGGTGTTGACAATCGTGTCGTGGTACAGCGCATACGCCAACCCACCGGCCGTGATGGCACCGACGATCTGCGCCAGCACGTACACCACGCACTTCTTCGCGGGGAAACCCCGCCACACGGACATGCTGATCGTGATGGCCGGGTTGAGATGGCCACCGGAGATACCACCGGCCATGTAGATGGCGATCATGAAGGCGAACCCCCACGCGGGTGCCAGCGACGCAAATGAGCCGGCCTGGTTCTGCGACGCGTACGTCGAGAAGCCCGCACAGAGACCCAGCGTCATGGCTATGGTCGTGCCCAGCCACTCGGCCAGCGGCTCGCGGATGACGAACCGGATGCGGCCCCAGCGGTTGAAGAAGCCCTCGTCGTCGGGGCGCGCGACTTTGGCTTCTGGATCCTCGTTGCGGGGCTTGTGCTTGTCGCTGCGGATCGGGTTTTGGGTCGGTGGTTCCTCAGACGCGGGGATCTGGTCTTTGTGCGCGTTGGGTGAGTCCTGCGTGCCTTTTGTTTTCTCCTCGGTGTCGGTGTCGGTGTTGTAATCAGGTTTAGATTCGGGATTGCTGGGCTGGCCGTTCGTCATTCCCCGGCGGACGACGCGCGGCAGAGGCTGCGCCAGACTCCACACGGGGGCATTCGATTCCTGGCCATATTGCGGATTGTAGTGGACGTAGTCGGGATGGACATAACCGCCCCCTTGGGGTTGCGCACGGCCTGGGTGGCCGGCTACGGAGAACTGTTGCTCGCCGAGGGTAGGCCGTACATTCTCTTGAGGATTCTGGATGGTTTTATCCGATTGAAAGTCTTGCGATTGCACGTCTGTCGGATCAGCGAGGGCGTCCACAAGACTGGAAGGGTGCCTACCGTCGATTTGCCGTCGGGAGGTCTCTCTATCCGCCATGAGTGTCGCAGTCAAAACACAACCAGTATGGAAGAAAGTGACAGACCTAGCACGCCGGAGCACACTTACTTATATAGCAAGCATGAAAATCGAGACATGGCCGTGGAGGAGGCTACAACACGGCCTGGGGCATCGATATCAGGGCTACCATGGCTGGGTTACTAGCTTATTACATCACTCGCATGGCAGTTTCTCTTTCCAGTTGCCACCGAAAATTCCATTCCTCACAACCAGGGACGACGACGGCTGGATTGGATGGTTACAGAATATATGAATAGAAGCGGGAATAATAGAATACTAGCAGACCCTTTCTTCCATGATTCCCATGAGTCATGACACAATCCGTCGCAGCAGACAGGAATGGGATTGATCCCAGCCAATGCCTTGGATCGCATCAGAAGGAGGGAAAAAAAAAAAAAAATCTGACATATGAGATCAGCGATGGAAAAGGCATACTAATTGACTGCCCAGACCATAAAGGACAACAAAGATGATTGGCGGCATCTTCAAGTTGATTCGGGGTATTGCCGAATCGGCCCAAAATCGGCCCAGATTCTGCTCCTGGCGAGGATCGTCCCAGTGTCCCACTAGTTAGTCTCATCTGCTTCCAAGTCGGGCTCACGGAAACTAGGAATATTAATGGCGGAAGTTGGCATCGCTGTCCATCATTCGATGTCATCTCAGTGCCTGGATGGAGGATTCACATCACGATTGAAATGGCCTGGATCGCTGAGCTGCTGCAGGCGGCGTTGATGTCAGGTATTGCTGGTGGCGAGAGGAGGATATAATAACCTCATTCATGGCTGATCATCCAGATATAATCTCCATGAATGAAGCTTCAGTCGCTGGTTAATAGTCCTGGGGTGGCAGATCTTCCGCCAATCCGACACTCTGACACGGTACACCACATGGAATGAATGTCTTGCAAACAGCCCGAGGCAGACAGTTCGGCTTCAGATACCGATCGGAATTGGGTGAACTGGCAAATAGGTCAACGCAGATCCCTGAATGTGTCATTCCACATTCCTACTGCTCGTAGATATGAAGCAAGAAACTGAACGCCGAGATGGACCCTCGAGTTTCTACGCGGCTTTCCTGGCATTTGATGACGAGAGCACACATTCGAATTCTCCAGGCCAATATCCATGTGTGAGAGAAAAGCATGAGGTGGGACGTGTTTCAAGGGATATTTTGCTCCTTGCTCAAGGGTGGAAGCTATTCAGCGGTCCTTTGAGTGTATGCTATTCGAATCATGCCGTCGGTATGAGGAAACATTCATTTTTTCACCCAATACTCAGTCTGTTCGCACTTCAAATCAGTGATCATGATCTGCAATGTCAACACCTTTACTCATGAGCATGGCGCTAACAGTTAGCATCCAACAACTCGGTGCAATGCATCCTGGACATCCCGCCCATGCGTCGTACTCTAGCCTACATGTAGTTCAAGCCAGCGAGCCAATACCGACGACATGCTGTCTAGCTGCAACTCTGACCCATGAGACGGTCTCCTTAAGCCCTGTATCACAGGTGGGCCGGCTACATTGGGGCTAGCCTTCGGCAGGTTTCAGGCCGAGGGTGATTCTATCGCTATGATACATACGGAACTAGTTTGGTTAGCAATACTCCTCTCAGGTTCCTGCCAACTCACCTGTCGCCATTCAATAGGCGACAGGGTGTGGGATCAAGCCCATTCCTAGCTTCGGCTGGCTCGATACATTGTTCGGAGACTGGGGAAGAACCCAGCATCGGTCAGGTTGCCTGCTACGTCCGGATACAGAACTTTCAGTCTTCCCTCGGATACAGACAGCAGAAGAAGTCTGGCATTGTTTGGGTCAGAGACTGTGGGAAAACCTCGAGCGACAGCTACACCGGGCTCTGGGATTTGCTGGTTAGCGTCCCCTGGTCTACGAAATAATTCCCAGGCCTCGGTGGGCAATGTTTGCACGATGTTTATCACCCTCCATGTGTGCCTAGACATGCCTTTAACATGGTGGTTCTGGGACTCTCATCAGGAGTGGTGTGCCCCATTGGTCATCTACAATTTGTTCATCAGCCTGGTGTTTCCTATACACCGCAGGTCTATCAATATTCACTATGAAGATTATGCTGATATCACATTGCATAAACACCTTAGATCGGATATGGCACTGGACCTAATAGCAGGACTGTTTTGCTAATGATACTCTTTATATCTAATGGGACTATAGAGTCTCTATATTAAATGGCCAAATTGACCTTAGTGTTGCTTCATCCCTCACAGGATTTTCATCGCCCAAGCCTTTGTTTGCCGCTACAGCATGCACCATCGCGTGGAAGATCTCTTCGTGTGCCAACGCTGCCTTTTCCCAGTCCTCTGGCGGCACCCACCCATCCGAAGGGGTATCGAGTAAACCCGCAAGGTCCCGCCTGAGGTTTTGCGCCGCTTCGAAAAGCCTGTATTCCTGATCATGCTCTGCCAGCTCTTTTGCCGTAAGGAAAGGGAAAGGACATCGGCCAGCGAACCCTAGCTTTTCCCACTCACGAGACGTCTCGATTAACTCGTGTCGCAGCGCCACGGCGCCATCTTTCCACGTTCGGTAGCTGTAGTGAAAAGGACGGAAGAAACTCTCATCCATCGACCTAGGGCCCCAAAGAGCGGGAGTGAGGAATTGAGAGCCAACGTCAAACGCGCGGGCGCAGACATCGTCCGGGGGTCCATTGGCGTTGCGTAGTCCGGTCTCCCATCAGAGTACCAGAAAGCCAGCTCGATGCTTGCTCCCTGCCAGTCAATGATCCCCGTGATAGCGATCGGGTCATTTTCCGACACAAAAATATTCCTTGTATGTAGATCTGGATGGAGCAATACTGGCTTTGACGAACTCTTGATTCGAGAGGCTGCGGCCATTGTCTTCAGCACAGTCCGGCACTTTTCGAGGATGGCTTGATGACTGTCAATGGACCCGTCATACGAGGGTCTGCGTGCTTCCTCCGAGATAGAAGGCGGGATACTGGAGAACCCAGCATCAATCAAACCATCGCAATATTCGTCCATGTCATGCCCTGAGTGAGAGTTAGGAAAAACCTCGATCGCTGTGCTCCGTGGATAACCTCCAAGGCCCAGGATTTGGTCTCTTGTGGTGGTAATATCGACTTTCTCCAGCGCTACAGTCCCAATACCGCGTTCCGCAGTGCGGGCCGATGCAAAAGCTACCATTCAAGGGATATCGACTGCTAGAACCAGAACTGACCAGATGCTCCGTGTAGTAAAGGCTCCGGTAGACCAGGAAGTCCAAGTCGACCATTTCCTTGATCTTTCGACAGATGGCATCATGCATCTCACGCGCTGGTCCCCGCGGATCTCGTGCCATGTGGTGTATACTGGAACACCAGCAGCACATTCCATGATGATGTATTCACTACCGATGAAGCTGTCGGCGCTTTGAGCATCTGAACTCTAGTCAAGGACGCGGGGAATCGGTATATCAGTTTTGCTTTGCACTACAGGAGATGGTTAGTGTCAGATGAATTCAAGGGCCTTCATCTCTTCCTCTTCCTGGTGTGGACTCACGGTACTAAATTATGGCTCATCTTTTACCGATATAAGCATATATTTCAAGAGATATATAGAGTGGGTACAATGGTTCTCGTTTACTGAACTCCATCTATTAATATAAATACAAAAATGACATTAACCCATCCCCGTCTCTAAGCCGGACCAAGGATATTACTCTCATAGATGGTCGAGGACTTGCCGGTATTGTTATTCTCAATCTACATTCCATTAGCACCATCACTTTTTCACTTATAGATGCCTACCTCGTATCTGGGATCGTCCTCGGAGGCTTGCACATTGCGACCAGCCTGGTTGCCCGGCTCGGTGAGCACGGAGCGGATGGTCCCAGTGCTCTCGGCTGTGTTCGAGTCGCGGCCTAAATGGATCAAAATCTGACACGATATATAGTAGATGGAGATGGGCTTACCGCCGATGGGCTTGTAGAGGACGCTCTGGCCGTTGCGGTACTGGGGCATATTGGCGGCTGCTTTGAGAGATATGGATGTTGTTGTGTGTAAGATGGATGGTGAATAGTGAGTGTACAGATGGGGCATTTATATGCTGAAGGTCTGGCTATATATCATCGACAGCGTGTGTATGTGGTCTGCTACCTCTATTGAATTACAATCTAAATTATGTGATCCGACAAACTGGTTTCGACTGGGGATGAGTTCATGGTTTGTTCATCAGATCGGGTTCCATGGGATTGATCGCAACTCTATCAAGATCTCGATCTGGAACTACATGCTGGATCTAGCCAATTCCCAATGGGACGGTCTAATCATTCGGTCGTATCGCGGATGATTGGAGCATCTGCAATACATGTACACTCTATATGACGGACCCGATGTTGTACAACATCCGTGACACCTACGAATCGCCAGTGTCGACACACCCTCCGTCCAGAAAAACAGCAACGCACGCCGAATTATGCATCATTTCTCTTCGATCACCTGCCGGACCAGCTCGTCCGCCATCTCCTGCGGGCTCAGCCCCTTCGCGCGGCGGTTCTTGCTCTCCTCCCCGATGACATCGACCCTAACTACGTTCGTGACCCCATCCGTCGTCAGCGCAAGGAGATACCGACGGTCCTGCCGCAACTTAACCCAGGTGATGGCCAACTCGCCGGAGAAGAAACTGCTCTGCTGGCGAGATGCAGTCGTCACGGCGTGTTCCTAGCGGACGGTGCTAGGGCCCGCGCTCTCGTTGTTCAGCAGGTTCGCGTATTGCAGATCACCCACGTGCGACATGTTCAGTGCGCCTATCCATTAGTTTTGCTTGCTTCTTCCTTATAAGACATGGAACACCTACCGATGCGCGGTATGTCCGTGTCGAAGCTAACCAATCCCCCTGCCTGTTCAATCCGGCTGTATTCTCTGGGACTCGATGGTTTGTGATCGCGTGTCAACCGGCGCTACACTACATCACTTATCAGTTTGTTCCGTAAGCCAGCCGGACGTGGAATGAGGTACGTACCACCTCCATGTGCTCCAACCCGTCACATTCCGCGAGGAGGATATGCGAATCGCCCACGTTCCCGACGACGAGCACGCCGCGCGAGATCACAATCGCCAACTTCTCCTCGCCGTCCTTGAACTCCTCTAGGAGCAGCGACGCTTCCAGTGAGATGTTGCAGCCAGTATTTCTCAATGATCTTGATATGTGGAGTTGGGCGTCCACCGTGGTTCGCGGGATGATATGCCAGACCCTAGTTCCAGAGCTAATTATTTAGCTATCGACTAGATAGTCTATCTGTTAGTCTATCAGTAGATACAAGAGGGTTAGAGACCATGGTCTGGACTGCAGACCGTACTTCTGAATATGCTGCAGTCTATTCACCATGCACTATGAGTTATCTGCTATATCCTTGGATTTAGTACTTATTTATATTCTATGCCTTAAAATTGATGCATAATAGATATATACTGCCAAGACATGGCGTCATCCTGACATAGCTTTTTTGCCCTTGAGAAATCGAGATACATAGTGAGAATAAGATAGCCATCGATCACTTAGACACCTATCTTTGAAGCAACTATTGGAAACAGAAAGGATTCAGTACACTAATGATGGCTGATAATTGAATAAAACAGATATCTCTCATGGTGACGCCCTCCAAGCAGTGGACAATGACCCTGCCGTGACGACAACCCTAAGTCTCCCCTCCAGTAGGAATGGCTGGATATCTAATTCTCATCATGACATCGCAACTGGCAGTAACCACAATATAAACAACCTTATTAACCATCTCCCATGGACTACCAGACCAGAACATAGAAAAATGGCCTCCATCCGCGTCCTCCGTCCCATCCACACTCACCTCCATCCCTACAGCTACAGCCTCCCCATCGCCCGCGCTGTGTCCACCACACCCATCATGACCGGCCGCATCACCGACACCGTCAAGCAGGACCACCGCCAGCTGGAGGCCTGCTACGACAAGATCATGCACGCCACCGACCGCGACGACCAGATCCGCTTCCAGAATCTGTTCACCTGGGAGCTGGCGCGCCACTCCATCGGCGAGGAGCTCGTCGTGTATCCCGCGTTCGAGAAGCATCTCCCCGACGGCGTGAGCATGGCCGACAAGGATCGTCGCGAGCATCAAACGGTAGCTTGCCCCCCTCCCCATCCTCCTTCTACGCATGCCCCATCTCTAACAGGGACCAGGTGAAAGAAAAACTCAAGAAATTCCAGAACCTCGACCCGTCCAACCCGGAGTTCATGAGCACCATCAAGTCGCTCATGGTCGATCTGGCGCAGCACATCAAGGAGGAGGAGACCAACGACCTGGTCAAGCTGGACCAGGCGCTCTCGCACGGCGACAGCGTCGGCCTGTCCAAGTCGTTTGAGCGGACCAAGATGTTTGTGCCGACGCGCTCGCACCCGAGTGCCCCGAGCAAGCCGCCGTTTGAGACAGCCGTGGGGTTGCTGACGGCGCCGATTGATCAGTTGGCGGATCTGTTTAGGAAGTGGCCGCATGAGGGACAGGCTAGTAGATAGGCTGTCTCACTCAGTTTCAGATTCATGCAGGAAATGATTTGGTTTGGTCTTGAGAGGCAAATGTAGCTGTATCTCCAGGTATGCACGTATCAGGTATCACAATCACATACTCCGTACATATCCAAGTATCCGAGCGAATTGTAGCCAAGAGAGCCCAGGTGAAGGGACTCACGTCACAGCAAACAGCGAGCAACCGGGAATATGCGTTCCAAGCTTTCATAGGCAGATGCTGCTACCCCAGATCGACTCGCTTTACGCGGAACTCAGGATGACGCCGGCAAGTCTGGTAGCACCAGCGCCCTTATGCGCCCCTATATAAGACGTTGCCATACCACTACCATGTTCTCTCTTTCGTTCATTTACCATCCGACACAGAAAACCAACCAAAATGACCCGCAAAGTGTGCATCACCGCCGTCGACGGCCACACCGGTCGCCGGGCTTGCCCTCCACCTGAAATCCGAGATCAACGTGCGGACGTAAGTATGAAAGCGTGATTTGTCGATCTGGCTCTCCCTCTGGGATGGATGTGAGACAGGGGGGATTGCAATCACACAGTGGTAGTGTGTTAAGGACGTGGGACTGTACTATTAGGGAAGTGCATTTCTGTTGTACACGGGAGGTATCTATCGTTATGCGATCGGAGGAAAAAAGAATAGAAATAGATCAAATGTCGGCTAGCGGTGCAAGAATAGTCGAGCGAACTACCGCCGACTCAGCTCCTTCACGCGATAATGCAGCAAACGATCCGCCGTTCTCTCCCCCAATGCTGCAAAATCCGTCGTCCCAAGCTCCTCATCCCCCAGCTCCTCCACAGCCGACCGCACAGCCTCGCACTCCCAGCACAGACACACATGGTACTGCAGGCCGAAATACCGACGGAACAGCACGTCGGTCTCATCCGACTGCGTGCGGAGCACAGCCGGCTGGATCGTGTCCTCGTGGTTGATGAATCTGCCCGCGCGGACATCCATGCCCGCCTCGTACACGGCCGCCGAACACTGGTGCGTATGCCACACGAGATCGATGTCGAGCGTCGGCACGAGCACGGTCCCCGGACAGAGGCGGAACAGCAGCAAGAAGTGGTCGTAGCGGTCGATCGCGCGGCGCAGCGTGGCTGCTGCCGCGGGGCTGCGGACCCAGAGGAAGTCGACCATTTTGTCGACGAAGACGCGCTGGCGCTCGATTGCCGCGGTGAGGTACAGCGCTGGCGCTGTCATGGCGAGCGCAGCTTGGCAGGAGTCGACGAAGGCGCGGTCGGACTGGAAGATGACGAGTCGTGCGACGCGATGCGCCTGCCTCAGGGTTTCTCGGATAGGGGTGGGTTCATGCCAGATCAGAGGGAGGAGCTGGGCGACTTCGTCGTGTTTTGGGCCGAGCAGGTAGGCCAGGAGGTCTGGTTCGTGGCCGGTCAAGTACCTGAAGTGGGATTCTTGATCCGGCGTGAGCGTGAGGGCCCAGTCTGCGTTGATGGCTTGATGCTACGACTGTCAGTTCCGCCAGCTTGGCTTCACGCGCAGACACTCACAATCAACTGCCACGGGAACGCCACCTGGCGCATATGGCGGATGTGGTGCTCCTCGCAGTACTGGCGGAACCAGGCCGGGTTGAGCAGCGCCGAATGCCAGGCAATCAGGACATCCAGTGGTGGACACACGGACAGCGTCTGGCCCCTGGACACCAGCATATCCATCTTGTGCAGCCAGACGAAGAATCTCGCGACCGCAAGCCGCATGTAGAACGGCCATTTCGCCTCCCGCCGCTGCGCGAACCCCTTATCTCTGAGCTCGACCGTGTAACGCGTAGTCCATCCCGTATTCCGCTCAAAGGACTGCTTCACCGGCTCCAGATCGAGGACCTGGTCCAGATCTGTGGAGTTCAACACCCGCCGGCGCACATGGTTGATTGCGTGAAGTAGCTCCAAGTGCGCCGCACATTCCGCGACGGTCGGTAGAGGCGCCTCCGGATCTGATGCCTTCACATCGAACCGGAACAGAGCCGGGTCGGGGATCGGGTCCGTGTCATCGTAGCTGATGTGCGATCGGGCGTTAGGTTCCTGGATCAGTCTCAGGATGCGCCGGCCCTGCTCGTGTAGTGTTCCCTGCGCCGTTGTACATAGAATAGCCATTTTGCTTTATTGTCGGTTTCGCAGTCGCTGGCCTCTCGGCGCAGTATTTATCACTACCTCGGAACAAAGCACCGTAGCGAGGCAGGGAAGTCAGTTGAAACGATCCCACCGAGTGAGGCGGAGCTCTAGTGCTCGCCCAGCGCCGCCCCGCGCCCAAGACGAACCTCAATGAGGCTAAATCCGCCTTATCGGGCGTGAATACGAGGCGCTCGGCTAAACCTGACCACTGACTTGGAAATGAAGGACATGGGGGTGACGAGGCAGATCCGCTCAGCCCCAGGCTACACGGATCACTTGCATCCGCACGTGGGCTGGGGATTGCCCGAGTCGCGTTGGGGATATAAACTTATCGCGACTCGCTTATTCTCCCCGAAAATGATGCAGAACATACCATTACCACCGCCATGGCCAGAATCTCTGCCCTATTCCGCAAGAACGGAAGGCCTCCTTACCCCGTACATCCAGTGGCTGGTACTGGATATTCTGTAACGGGTGATTCGCATCCTGACTCGACCGATGTTGAAGGAGATATATTACTCCCGCTCGTTCAAGAGCTCGAATCGCTGTACTGGGCCGGCGTGGACGGGGAGATCGACGGTATCATCGCGACACTGCGCCAATGGCAACAGCCCGAATTCAGCAAGATCCGCCAGGACGACACCAAAGGGACAATCGACGGCTTTGACAACTTCATCGGCCAAGTCGTCCAGCCCGTCAGGATCAAAGATATCCCCGACATCCCCTCACACACTGCCTACGCTTCAGACGTCGTCCGAGAGCGCCTGGTGCAAAGCCTACATGCCCGCGCAGCAGAACTCGCTGCCGAGCGAACACGGTCGAAGGTGAATCTCGCCGTGCACCAGGAGCTGCTCCGTCGTCCCGAGGAGAGTGATCCTGCCCGACGACGGGCGCGGTTACTCCTGCAGGCGGCCGGCTTGCTCGACATCGACAAGGCCGTGCTGCACCGCCCCGTCAAGACGGCTACCATCCTTACTCCGCAGCTGCAGCTCACCAAGCGACGGATCTGGGGATGTCCGGTGGTTGCCGGAAGGCCCTGCATGGAGTGCAAGCAGGTCATCCGGGGTAGCATGTTCGAGCAGTCGGTTGGAAAGACGGTGATCTGCGAGGACTGCTACTGGGCCAATCACTACGGCGACCGCTCGTACGTGAAGCGGTGCAAGCATACCATCGTCGACGAGGTTACCGGCGCTGTTGAGGAGCATTCCAAGTGCCAGCGGTGCTTTCGGGCATACTCCAAGAACAAACGGCCACACTACTACGGGTCGCGGGCAGTGCTGCCTCTGATCACGGATACGAAGTACCAGAGCATCCATACGACGAGGAACGGGGCACACAAGGTTCAACCTGTTCCCCTGGCGAGCCTCATCCAGGAGGATTATCAGAAGCGGCAGGGGACGCTCCGATATGGGTACGCCGAGTTTGAGTATTGCACGACCGGGGAGGAGAGGCTGTACAAGGACTTTGTACAAGAAGATGCATGGAAGGATGTTCACATGGTCGTTCGGATAGGGCCGCTGGTCATTGAGAATGGCATGGGACAGTATGTCGTCCACCTATGATTGTCCGAAAGAGACTAACACCGATAGGAAGCGGACTGGTGCCACGATCGCAGTCCGGGATCGGATCTTTGGCGGTTCAGACGGAGCGGACAAGTTACATCTCACTGTCATTGGCGACTCACCAAGACGACTGCAACATCAGATACGTCGTCATCCGCAGAAGCCAGCCCGCTACCAGGCGATACTCAAACAAGTGGTCGGCACGCCATTCACGGGGTGGCCTCTCGCTCCAGAAGAGGAAGAGATCATCGATTCTTTGCTCAAAGCCTGTGAGAGCGAGACATCGCATTCGGAACTGAAGGACCGAATCAAGAAGTATCTCCAGCCATGGGTGTCGGTTTACCTACAGACCATTGCCGAAAGGCTGCTCGATGAAAACATGAAACTGGCGTATACTCCGACGGACAACTGCGCGAAGTTCTGTGACTCCCTGCTCGACTGGCAGCTCTTCGGTCCTCTGTTCTCTGACCACTCCGTCACTTCCGCGGGCAACACGGCCCAACCGCTCTACCGGATGAGCTTTCTCTGCCGGTCTGGTGCATTCGGCTCAGACCCATTCAACATTCCACAAAGTGTCGAGGATGTTCCATATGGACTGACAGAGGAATACCTCCGCCGGTTCAACTTTGGATGTTATCCAGGTGCGGATGTACTCGACTCGCTGCACGAGTACTGGCAGGACTGGGCAGGGATCATCAGGCCGCCAAGTCCATGGCCAGAACTCTTTCCCTGGGACTGTACGGAGGCAGTGCACGGCTATCCCGTCAAGTGCGGGAAATGCACACTTTCCAAACATCTCTGGGCCTTCCCATTTGATTCGTGGTCGATCATTGCGCTGCACCTGTCCCGCGAGCAATGCATGTATCCCGGCAAACAACAGTCAACTGAAGAACCATGGATCCGCCAACGGCTCACTCTGCTGACAGCACTGGATACCCTCTGCGCCGGGGCAACAGCCATGTCCCACGTTCCGTACTTCCGCAGTACAACCGAGTGGCTTCACAAGCAATCAGATCCCACCATCGACCGGGTGAAACTAGGAGGCATCCACCGGGCCCAGCCGAGCAGCCACTCCCTGGAGCAGCGCACACACGACGCATTCTTCGCCGCTGATTGGATCACTTGTTCCCCCATTGACCGGGAGAAGTATTATGGGGTCATCCGCAATAGGCGCCATGATCCACGACAACCGCATGATGTGCCAAAAATCCTCTGGCGGCGGGGTGGTGGTGGCGGAAGCAGTACTCTTCCTGTATCGGTCATGGTGTCTTCCGTTCCGGAACGGGATGCTCCCAATGCAATGTTTCTGGCATCGACTACGATTCTTGCCGGCTGTGGCGCGTGTGGGACTCAATCCCATGCTGTCGGCTGTGCTGCAAATACCGGTGCAGACTGTGGTGGGACGTATACCGGCGGAGGGGGTGGTGGGAGCAGTGGTGATGGAGGAGGCGGAGGAGGCGGAGGAGGTGATAGCGGAGGTGGTGGCGGAGGCGGCGGCGGTGGGTGTGGTGGAGGATGCGGTGGTGGATGCGGTGGTGGAGGTGGTGATTGATAGATGTTGGATGTTTGATTGAGGACTTGATGTCTTTATTGTGCTCCAGGAAACCAGTATCTTTCATTCCCACAGTAGATGCCCTTGTCTGACTGCATCCCCTCCCACCTTTCAAGACACAACTGAAGGCCTCATCATCGTCCGTTCCGATTTCATATACTTTGACATGCGGCTGAACCCGTTCACTTTGCAGCCAATCCAGTCAAATTGGGGAATACATGATTTTCGAGGGGAAGCTCCATCAAGCTCCCGATCATTTCCTCTTGCCGCTCTTCCTGCCAGGCAGACGCTCAAGGTCTCTGTTTGGATCGCGGAGAAACATATGGAGATCCATCTCAAGGCTCTCGGCGTCCAACAAATCCTCCAGCAGGTTCAGCATCCAAACTGAAGTCTCTTTAGGCTCACGAATACTGGAAGCCAGTTCATCTCCCAATCCGATGGCGGGTTATGGTCCCGGCAGAGCTCCTCGAGGGTGTCCGTTTTCTTGTATAAGGGTGACCAGAATGTGTCAATACCAAAGAACCCAAAGGCTCTGTTGTAACCGTCCCATGGGGCGTTTTCAAAGCCTTGCTGGTGGAAGTACCTAAACGATTTCAGATTTTTGCACAGCTCGGTGAGCTCGCAAAACTCCAGTCTTTGGGCACTGCATTGTAGGAAGCAAGGTGTGTGATCAGCAATGAGTTGGGTTTTGAGGGTCTACATCGAGGGAAACCGACAGAACGAAGACAGCTGATCCATTGTAAATCATTCCTGCCTGTCAAGGCATACAGGTCCGTATCCTAGGCACTCTGCAGAATATTTCCCGCAATGATCGTGGAATTCGCCTCTGGTCGAATGGACTCTTGTCAAAGGATGCTCGCTCGGCTCAAAGAGAAGCACTGTATTTCATCATTTCATCATTTCATCAATCAAGTATTTTGAGGATGACAGGATATCATAGCTCATTACTTGTCTGATATGTTGTTAGGGTGTATGTCCCTTAACAGTAACAGGCTTCGATATCATGAACTATTATATAATGAACATCTATAGAACCTCCTCTCTATCTAGGACGAATATCAAAATCTGACCGAATGACAACCCCACACGGCTTCAGCTCACCACTTTCCATTTTCCTAATATTCTCCTCAATGATCTCCCTGTTCTCCTCATTATTCTTCTTGACCCGCGCTTTCTCCTCTGCCGTCAGTGGCGGTGGTAATAAGGATGGATCTGGCTTCCACCACTGCTCCTGGGGCACTTTCGTTCCGATCGCGCCGCGAAACATGTCTTCCATTACCTGGTCAAATGTAGTTCAATCGAGAAAAGCTTTGATCAGGCGGGGTGGAAGACCGATGGCGTCTATCACATCGCAGTCTTGTGTGAGAGTTCGGAGAACACCATCGGTACCGATGACAAAGGGGGCATTGCCGTCAGAGCCAGTGTGTAGATCGCTGATGATATTGGATAATTCTTTTTGGTCCGGGTGGTTGTTAGGGTCAGGACCATAGTGACGGAGGGTGGGCAGGACAGGGCAAGACATTGATTCTTTTTTTCTATTTAACGATTCGATCTTGATATTCCAAGGATTATTGCAAGGAAATTTGGAGATGATCAGAATTGATCATAAGATGGGCTAGTTGACTGTTTATATAGAAAAGTACTGTACAGGTTGTCATGTGATGTTTAACTGCTAGCAATCTAACCCTCTTCCTGTCTCACCTCAACAAGGATCAACCTCTTCTCTTTCCACGCGCTCAGCATGGCTACACTCATGAAATGGGCCACAAAGGCACTTCGAAGGGTCCCCTCCCCTCCCATGTGTTTTCCTACCAGTGGCTTCGAAACCGTCCGCACCTCGGAGGTGCTTGACGAGGAGCGGTTTGAGCAGTTCAAACAAGGACAATACTATCCTGCTCATATTGGCGACGTGCTCAGTAACAGATACCAGATTATTGGTAAACTTGGTTTTGGGACAACTTCGACAGTATGGCTCGCTCGTGATCTGGAGTAAGTTGGATCAGGCCCACTTTTTTGTAGCTAAACAATGATCCACTGACAAAAACAGAGGCCATCAATATGTGACTCTCAAAATCTACACGCGTGATGAAGGTAATCAGGAAGAGTTCCAGATTTATAAGCAGCTAGATCAGGGGAGTTCATGGCACCCTGGCCATTCTCATATCAGGAAAGCGCTGGATATCTTCACAATTCCCCGTTCCGGCGGCGACCATTCATGCCTGGTTCAGAAACCGATGTGGGAAAGCTTCAGGGATCTGCTATATCGTAATCCCAGTCATCGATTTACTGAAGATCTACTCAAAGCCGGTCTTCTGCAGATATTTCTTGCACTTGACTATCTGCACACTGAATCCAAGCTTGTCCACACCGGTAAGATGTATCCGTATGGCTTTGTTGAAAACAGTTGCCCTGATCTGCGTTCTTATAGATATCAAAAGCGATAATATTCTCCAAGAAATCCAGGACAAGTCAATCCTTGAAAGTTTTACCCAAGCTGAGCTGAAGAACCCTTCACCGCGCAAGATTGTCAACGGTATGCCTGTATATGCTTCCCGACGTTTCGACTTGCCGAAGGTGTTTGGCCGAGCAGTGTTGAGTGATTTTGGCTCTGCTGTACGTGGAGATGAGAGGAGGAATCACGATGCACAGCCAAACATTTATAGATCGCCAGAAGTAATGCTGAAAACCGATTGGAGTTACCCGGTCGATATATGGAATGTTGGTGTTATGGTATGCTCTGCCTGCTCAATCTCGATATCGTACTAACCAGTCGGGAACAATAGGTGTGGGATTTGTTTGAGGGGAGACACCTTTTCTATGGAAATGACCCTGATGGCAAAGGGTATTCGACCCGAGCGCATCTTGCAGAAGTTATGGGTATTCTAGGGCCACCTCCTTTAGATATGCTTCAGCGTGGAAAACGAAGCCATGAGTTCTTTACCAATGAGGGTGAGTATCCATTTCGCGCCCAATGCACTGTGCAACGGCTTACAAGGGCAATATTGCAGGGAAGTGGAAGCAAGACGTAAAGATCCCGACAGGAGTCAGTTTGGAAATGTCGGAAGAGTTCCTCGAGGGACGAAATAAGGAGATGTTTATAGCGTTCATGAGAGGGATGCTTCAGTGGCGGCCTGAAGATAGGAAGACTGCGAAGGATCTACTCCAGGACCCGTGGTTGAATGATGGGATAGAGTAGCTTCACTATTCCATTGCCTTGTCATCGTCCCAACAACACGCTCCACTCAGAGATTCGTCGCGCTGGAAATACATGTGGCAATCTCCAACAAAACCGTCATGTTACTGCTACGTTCCAGACAAATCTGCAATGAGACCATGGGCAGGGACATCACCACAGAGGTTTTAGCCCGGGCATTGATTTTGCTAGAGACTAGGGATGTCAGATAAAGGGCTGGACATACTTCTGTCAAGTGTGCCAGGACCTGTGGGTTGACATTGGTACACTACTTAGTTGTACTCTAGAATACCCGGATTGCGCCTTGGCTCCCCCCTGGATACTGCTCTAAGAATCAGCTTGCCATTATCTCCTCTCGACAGCAACCTTGAAAGATTCTATTCCTACATGGCTGTATCTCCATGCGCTAGAACACACATAACATTGGAACATGAGATCGAAGAGAATCTTGAGGAATAAAAAAACAGCTCCGAATAACATACAGTAGAAGAACTAATTAAAGAGGAGTAGCATGTTCAAATATTCAGCCAAGCTGTGGCAGAATGACATGGGACCTTTCTTCAATAACATAAGCCCTCTACCGGCTTGGCCTCTAGCCCAGGGAACGCTATCTCAGGAGCGGGAGGTGGTGAAGTAATAGTTTGGCTCCCTTCCAGTGCCTTTGATGACACTCTCTTTTTCTTTTTACTTTTCTTCCCCTTGAAGAGCTTCTTTCTCGGTAGGATAGGCTCATCCGGAGTATCTGGCGGGGGCGGAGATTGACTGGGAGTCTTCTCAAAGGAAATATCTGTGAGCGGAGATTCTGGGCCTGGTGCAGAAGAGAGATCAGAAGGTTTTGATTTGGCATCAGACTCTTCAGCAGGCCGTGGGGTAGGCTCCTCAGGAGAAGATCGTTCCGGCTCCACACAGGCATAGACGACATCCTCCTCCACAGGGGTGGCCTCAGGTTCCTCAGCAGGTGACATTTGGGCGAGAGACCTTGCGACAGGCTCTTTCTCGGCCTCGTCATTCGGGGCAGCAGTGAGTTCCTCTATGGGAGATGCTGGGATGGGCGAGATACTGCGCTCAGATTGGACTGTAGGTAGAGCTTCAGGTACAGGTTCAAGCTCGTGATCTGCGGTCTCTTGCGTGCCAGATTTCTGACTTGTGAGCATATCGGTGAGGGACGATACTCGGGTTGAATAGATGTCCACGACCATTCTCATCATGGCTTCGTCAAAAACCCGATCATTGCCAAATCCAGCAAAGAACCAATCACTCTTGAAAATGGTATCATCGTGTGCGAACGATGCTTGGAAGAGTTCCTTGATATATTCGGGAAGCCAGACCTCATCTCCAGGAAGCTTTGAAAACACTTTTCTTGTCGTTGCTAGGACAGTGGATAGAGGCATTGATCCGGTGAACTTCTCAACATATCCTCTGGCGAGGTCTGCGAGCCCCGGCAGATCGTATATTCTGGCCGTGTGATAAGCCAGGACACTTCGCCGATATTCCCTCACCAGGTCGGGTTCATCAGACTCGGGAGCCGATTTCAACGTCTCGTAGGTGCCCGTACATAAGAAATTGACCAGCGTGTGGCCGACGTCCTCGTCAACATCTCTGAGGGAAATGGGATTATCCAGAGTGGAATCTAATCCTAGTCCGGAGCACTGTTTTAGGTAATATCTGGGCACCCCATAGACGTTTTGACCGATCGTGACCTGGATGCTATGATAATCAAAGGGTCTATCTCACGATTCGAATCAGTAATCAATTTGCTACGGGCAAAGGGCAGGTCTCACGATATCAGGGGTTGTTTGTAGTCGATCTTTGGTGTTGCCTGGGTACCTTCATCATCGAAATTACTGTAGCGGTGGCCCATTTTGATTGATAAGGCGGCTCAGCTTTGTCAATTGTCTGTAATAATCCAGTTGAGGATGTGATTTCCATCATAGATATAGACAGATGCCTCGTTCGCTGATGGTCAGGCAGAAAAGGGGCAGAAATGCATGTATGCGCTGTTAAGCTGTGGACAGAGCAACTATACATCTGGGGAAGTCCAGCCATTCTTGGGTTGAATTGGCTCTATGAGAGCAGGCAGTCATGCATTGAGTTCGCATATATCACAAAAACGAGGATCAACCTGCCAACAGGCGCTGCATTGCCGCTAAAGTGATAGGCGGGTAAGAAGTACATGCATGGTTAGTTCCTTGACATTGATCTGGACATGAGTCAGTCAACAAGATAAAACCAGTTAGACTAGGTGATTGGTTTAGTCTCAGCTACAGCAGTCATTAGTAGCTACTGTAGCTAGTCATTCACCACTAGAATCTCTCCACATCAGAGATGGATTTACCCCAATTACACCAGCGCCGTGAATTGCTCTAGGTTCATGCAGCTAAGAAGATGTGAGGCAGATAGCATATCATAATTTAGCATAATAGCTCCACACTAGGCCCCCGTCACGGCCTACTTTGGTCTATCTATGGTATCTAAGGGTGGCTACTTTCCCAGCCATACTCTGGTATATCTCCAGCTTTCCTATGTATAATACACCTATAGCTGCTTGTGTTCTTAAGGTGTAGATCCTTACTCTCTTGATATGACCCCTCAATCTGTGCACCGCTCGTGAGGATGCTTGCTGGGATGACCATTTCCTGACTCGTCCACGATAGCTACAGATGAACTCATGGAGCCGGTAGATATGGATAAGAGGACAGGATTGGCTCAAGCTCTCCTAGACTTATGCTTTAGTATCCCAGCTGTATTCATGTATGACTATTATTCCTGTCCTAATGCTGTACGAAAGTAGATAATGAGGTGATGAACACACTCTACTCTCTCTTGCTGAGAGCATGCATAGTCAGACACGCACAGACAGTGACTTCTAGGGTCCATACATGCAAGTAGCTCAAGGGGTCCGCCCGCACTACGTGGTCAAACAACAATCTGTGGTGTATCCTCGCCCTGCACGGTGATCCCGGTCTAATAGGCTCACGTGGCTTTGCTTAGCCGCTGCCCAGAGGCTTCATTCACTATTTCTGCGAGGCCCGCGTTGGCCATTGTCACCACCCACACAACTCTCAAAGCGATATGGCCACCCTCGATGCCCTCAAGTCGGTGCTTAGGCAAAGAGCAACAACGACGGCGACAGCAACGGCAGGATACTTGAAGCAGTCGTTATCCGACACACAGTACAGCGCTGGCTTTGATATCCTAGCGCGGGAATCATCATACCATGACTTCATTATCCCTCAACTATCTCAGCTGCTAGCCCCTCTCTTCAACTCGCGTATCCATATCTCGGTGTTAGAAATCGGACCTGGCCCGAAGAGCGTACTCGGATATCTGCCCCGTTGTCTGAGACAGAAAGTCACGAGGTACACTGCTTTTGAGTCTAACGGCCTGTTTGCTACAAAATTAGAAGAATGGCTTTGCCCTGCCTTGGAGGCAGAGCCTCCATTTCCATGCTTGGAAAGACCTCCTGACATCCACCGGATCCCGTTTGCCTTAAACAGCAATAGAGGAAGCGGTACTGATAACAACATGGGCGCTAGCAATGAAAGATTCGACATCGTCTTATTCTGCCATAGCATGTACGGCATGAGACCCAAAGACAGATTCATCAAACAGGCACTGGACATGCTTGTTCAGCGACCCGATGGCGGAATGGTAGTTGTTTTCCATCGCAATGGGGCGCTGCACGTTGACGGATTAGTGTGCCAGCGGATGGCTTCTCATCCTACCGGGACCGTTTGCGTAGCAGACGATGACGAGGCACTGGACAATTTCGCTACTTTCATCGCAGGGTACGTCGTGCAGGATACGGATGCCAACAGAGCTATCCGGGATGAATGGCGTGAGGTGTGCCGTACCTTGGGCCGTCGTGACGAAGCCTACCCAAGCCATCTCTTGTTCAGCTCCCCCAATGTCATGGCGATTTTTACCAAGCAGGCAACCACGCTGCCTGAGCTGACTGCTCAGGTGCCGCTAGTGAAGGATAAGATAGTCAAGAACCGGGAGGCTCTCTTGCAGCGTTCAGCGGCCGTTGTAAGGCCGACAGAGGTCCGACACGTTCAGCAGTGCGTTCAATGGGCTCTTAAACATGGGGTTGGCCTGGCCGTCATTGGCGGGGGCCACAGCGGCCACTGTCTATGGTCCAACGTCGTCTCGGTCGACATGGGGGCCTTTGACCAATTGCACATTCTCCCAGGCGGCGAGGACGGAGAGCAATCCGGTTCTGGGGTTGATTCCTTGGTCGTCGCCGAAGCCGGCTGCAAGACGGGTGACATCATTAGCAAGACCATGGCGGCTGGTATTACAGTGCCCTTGGGATCCCGTCCAAGCGTAGGCGCAGGGCTGTGGCTACAAGGCGGCATCGGGCACCTAGCAAGGCTGCATGGGCTCGCATGCGATGCCATTGTCGGTGCTGTAGTGGTCAGTGTTGACTCTGGCGACGTGCTTTATATCGGCTGTGTACCAAGTCAGCACCGGCCGGCCGGCGCCGTGCGCCCCAAAAACGAAACTGATTTCTTATGGGCGCTGAAAGGGGCTGGGACCAACTTTGGCATCGTAGTCAGCGTTACTTTCAAGGCTTACACGGCTCCTATCTACTCAACGCGAGACTGGATTATCCCGTTGGGCGACGGTCTCGACGCGCGGCTCAAGCTTCGCAATTTCGATGAATCTGTCGCTAGCAAGCTTCCCCGACACTGTTCTGCAGATGCGTATCTGTACTGGGATTCTGCTCAGCTGCATCTTGGCGTGACCATGTTCGAGTCTTCCACGACGAAGCTCATCTCTGAAACGCCCCTGTCCACTCCCCCGACTGTGGTCGCAGCCTTGGGACCAGAAGACAATTTCAAGGCGGCCATTGATGGTGTTGGTTTGTTCGAGGCTGAGATTTACATGTCCCAAATGCACGGCGGGCACGGCGGCAGCAAGACTTCCGCGTTCAAGCGATGCTTGTTCTTGAAAAACATCGGAACAACGAGAATTGCCAGTAAGCTAGTGAAGGCTTTAACAACTCGTCCCACGCCACTCTGCTATCTCCATCTGCTGCACGGCGGTGGAGCGATCGCCGACGTCGCGGATGATAGCAGTGCCTTTGGTTGTCGAGACTGGGACTTTGCCTGCGTGGTGACCGGCGTGTGGCTCCGCAACCAAGATGGAACTGAAGTCGCTCAAGCTGCCAAGCAGTGGGTATACGATGTCGCCCGGGACTTGTTACCCGTAAGTACTGGGGCTTACAGCACGGATCTTGGGCCAGACCCGAGAGACGCCGCGCTGGCAGCCAAGGCTTTTGGTCCAAACCGGCCCCGTTTGGCTCGTCTCAAGCACAACTTAGACCCTCACAATGTGCTGGCGTACGCCTGTCCGCTCCCGGAAACACCAGTGGAAACGAAACTGATCATTCTCGTCACGGGCGACAGCTGCGCCGGTAAAGACTATTGCGCCGAGATATGGGTCTCTGCTTTTACCGAGTACGCCCACAAACGCCTCACAGCGCGCTCAGTCAGCATAAGCGATGCGACCAAGCGGGAATACGCGGCGCAGACCGGTGCCGATCTCAACCGCCTGATTCGAGATCGTGCCTATAAAGAGCAACACCGGCCGGCATTGACATCCTTTTTTCAGGACCAGGTACAGCATCGACCGCAGTTGCTGCAGGAGCATTTTTTGGATGTGGTGCACGGTGCGGTAGATGTGGATGTGTTGCTAATCACCGGGATGAGAGATGAGGCGCCAGTCGCGGGCTTGTCGCATTTGGTGCCAGACAGCAGACTGCTCGACGTTCGCGTCCAAGCGAGCGAAGAGACGCGGCGTGCTCGCCGAGGATGCTGCAGCAGCGGTGACGACCGTAACGACAACAAGGACAGCAACAATGGCGGGCTGAATCCGACGGCCTTGGACTACCGTCCCAGTTTCATCTTCAAGAACGATGCGCCTGGAGACGAGGCAGCAAAAAAGCTTGCCGAAGAGCGACTGCTTCCCTTCTTCCATGAAGACCTGCAGCGACTGGCTAGCATGGTGCGCTCAGTTCCCGACTTTCCACGCCCGGGCATCAACTTCCGCCACGTGCTCGACATCTCGCAACAGCCGGGTGGACTGGCGCTGTGCACGTCTCTACTACAGTCGCACTTCATGGGCGAATGGGCTAAGGTCGATGTGATAGCGAGTTGCGAGGCTGGCGGCTTTGTCTATGCATCAGCATTAGCCCTGCGGGTCGATGTACCCTTGGCATTAATTCGCGAAGCTGGCAGGCTGCCTCCACCGACTGTTTCCGTCCTCAAGCCTACCTCGCATATCTCGTCGTCAGTATGCAACGGCTCGGGAGAGAAAAGCATCGAAATCGACCGGGATTTGATCCCCAGAGGCGCGTCGGTGGTGGTGGTGGACGACGTGCTTGCGACTGGAAAGACACTCCGTGCGGTCCTCCAGCTACTAGAAAAGGCAAATATCAAGGCAGAGGATGTGAGTGTCATTGTCGTGGTCGAGTTCCCGGTTCACCGTGGCCGGGAATTTCTGCGGCAGCATGGCTTTGGGAGAGTCAACATCCAGAGCCTTTTGGTCTTTGGTGGTGCTTAGAAGATGATGAGAGTATATCTTGAAAAGGTCTGTTCATTCTTAGGTAGTGCATTGATTCTTCAAAATATCATAAATCTACAGTTAGATAGCTGGTTCAGTCTCTATAAAGTCTCCGTTAATAGCTTCTCCTGGTGAAGGTTTCTCTTATACCCAAATGAACCCTATATAAGAGACCAAGGGCTCATAACCATATCCTACGTATATACATTAAAAGCATCTTTATGATCCTTGCACTTGGCACCTAAAACTAGCCCGTGACCAAAAAGTGTCTGTGACCTTTGAGATCTGCCTGTTAATGTTCAGCGGCGAGTTCTACGCTGGCATTTTTGTCGATTATGTTTATACCGATTCCCCTGGTCTTGATGAAGGTGAGTATCCCTCTCTTTTGGAGGCGTGTGCTAGTTGATTTTAAGGCTGGTGGGACGCTTAGGAAGAAGTACAGCAAGCATGAGCGGAAGGATACATAGCTGTTAAACAACAGCGATAATATAATCTATTCTTTGGTCTTTGTATCTATGAAGCATGATATATACATATTCTATCCATCTCTACCAAACCTTAGACCTCCGAGGCGAAGCACCGATGTGTTTCTTCCACTGCTCGTCAACACGGACGCGCTCTCGATGAGGCACTTTCCCCCACGCCTTTCGAAACTGCGACACTCGGGAATCCCACATGAAGATCCTCGCATCGAGGAACGCCGCACTAGCTTCAGCGCTCTCCTTGACCAGCTCCATCGGAATCAAATGCCCGCACGGAAGCACAACCTCCTGCACCATCCCACGCGCCAGCCCACCACTCCCTCCCACCCCAGTCCCTGTCGTCATCACCTTGTCCCGCCGCGCAGCCGGCAACGACAGATCCGACTTCTCCCCAAACAGGTAGAGAACGGCAGGCTTCACCTCCGGCAGATGCCGGAACATCCACGCCGGCTCGGGCCGATGGAACGAAGAGCCATCAATGTCATCCGGGTGCATATCCTCCTCAGGCGTGCCACGCGGCAGACCCGATCGCTCATCCACATACGACGGACGCATAAAGTGAAACAGCTCCTGCGCCTTCGTCGTTGTCAGCGTCACAGCCGCCGGGCCTGTTTCCTGCGTAACCGGGTACAGCTCCGTGGGGAGGTTGCGGAGGCCATACTGCACCCATTTCTCGAACACGCGAGGGTCCCAGGCCTGGTAGAAGGGGTTGGATTTGAACTTTCCGACGGCTTGCTCGCGTGAGCACCACAGGTCCTGGCGATAGGTGGATGCTTGGGCGTATTTGTGGTTGGGGTTCTCGCACTGGATGACGGGGTCGAAAAGGATGAGGCCCTCAAACAGGGACGGGTGCAATAGAGAGAGATGGGCCCTTTGCCTTGTTACTACGGCGATTATCGTCAGAAAGGACATGGAAAGGAGACGTACAGTTGCGCCCCGCCCAGGCTGTGGCCAATGCCTACTAGTGGCTGTACGATCTGGTCTTGGAACTGATTGATCATGGAAAGAAGGTCGCGACTGTGGTCGAACCAGTCCGCTAGGACAAGTCAAATTGTTTAGTTCAACCCCGCCGGGCAGGATGGGATGACTTACGATCGTCGCCCAGGATTGACTGGTTCAAGATCCCGCTTTGTCCCTGCTGAGCGACATCCGCAATCCAGATGGAGCGAATGCGTCGATTTTGGCCACGGAGTTGCTCATAAATGTTGTCCCAGAGGGGCTCATACAATTCCTGAACCGGTTAGAAGTGTATACAACGTGAAGCATATTCGCGGGGGTTCTTTCTACCTTTGGAAACCCATTTGCATGGGCCCCGATGATGGTGACATCTCCTTCCCGTGGGGAAGAGTTGTCAAGCGGAATGTACTGCTTCACAGCCAGCCTGAGCTGATTCTCATGCCCGGCTTTGACGGCACCCGGCCGCTGCCGCACATTCTGGCAGCGGATGGTATGTTCAATGGCGCGGAAGTGGGATATACGTCGTATGGAAAGGAAGCCAGGTCTATAGGGTGAGGGGAAATGAGCACGTCTGCTCAGCAAGGCGGCCATTGGGGGGGTAGATGCAAGACAAGCGATTTGGATATTTACCCGTCTATCAGCCACAATGGAAACCTTTTCTTGATTCGAACATTTTGATATCGTAACAAATTCATATTTCATATACGGATTCGCCGGGCTTAGAGTGAAGCTTTACCAGTCCACCAATTTGACTCCTATGGATGTTAAAAGCAATTGATCTATTACGTGTAGGGATCGATTCCACGTCATGTTACCTATCTACACATCACTCATAATGTCAGTTTCTGCTTAACCGAATGGGACCAATTGTGAAGGATTGGGAGTCTTTGGGAAATATCTCTGCTATAGAGATGAGTGATAATGGGCCGGTCAAACCAGATACATATTTATAGAGATAGATACCGGGCATCTCCCCTATGCCAGTCTTCATCTTCATCTTCATCTTCATCTCTTTCCAACAAGCAACAAGATGACCAACGATACCAAATTTACGACTATGCTAGGCGCCGGAGCCTATAATGCAAACTCGAGCCTACAACTCAAAGCAGTGGAAGCATGCTTTAAGTTATTGCCGATCACTAAGCCACACCTCAATTCTGAGATCATAACGATTGTGGACTATGGATGTGCAGAGGGGTTTAACTCGTGAGTATTATCAGGGTCAGGGCCAGGAACAGAAAAGACTCTAATATCTGCAGAATTATATTTCTTGAGAAACTTGTGGAGATGTTCTCCCTCCCCTCATCATTGAGTATTATTTTCAATGATACGCCTGCAAATGACTTCAACAGTCTGGCTTCAACTCTATACGCTAGTTCCCTTGTGACCACCGACAGAGTCGGCCCTCGCATTATGCCGTCTTTTGTTCCCATGAGCTACCTCGAACAAGTCCAGCCTACCAATTCCGTCGATATCGGGCTATGTCTTACTTCTCTGAACTGGCTGTCCTGTTTTCAAAGCATCAGGAGTTCCCCACTTAGCGAGGCCCAGGTTTCAGCCGTGGCAAAGCAGGATCTGTCCACCTTTCTCGGTGCCCGTTACCAGGAGTTTCATCCTGGCGGAAATCTCATTCTTTCCATCCCGATCGACGGAGAAATGACCCTGAAGGCTGTTCATCGGGCCCTTGAGAGGGCTATTCACACCACCTTTGGCCAGTCGGTGGCTGCCGCATATCAATGTCCATCGTACTTTCGACAGAGTGAAGAAATATCTTCAGTCCTTCAGGCATTTACCTCCAAATGGCGGGTCATCAGCCAATTTGAACAGAATATTGAACATCCCGCCTCAGCACAATTCCGAGCGTCTCTGATGGAAGGCCCAGATCAACCCAGCCAGGCGGCTCTCCAGGCCTGTGTGAAGGCCATTTGCTCGTTTATCCTTGCTGTGTTTGGTCCGACAATCATCAACACAGCTCGTGCTTTTGGTGAAACATCGGCGGATGGGAAGACTCAAACCAACCAAGAGCTTTTGGAAATGATTGCGGATGCATATCAAGAGGAGCTGCTCCAGGTCGATTGGAGAAGACCCGTGGGATGTAGATTCAGTTTACTGAAGCTGCAACGGGTCTGATGGTTCATAAATTGGTGAACCAGGGCAAGTTTTCCTCCTCGCCAACCTCTGGAGTTGGGGACTGGGTCAATGCAGAGATATTTTTACCAGCTATGCATATTCATTACATTAACCTGACTTTCATTCTTCACCATCATTTGTGGTATCCATCAGAAACAAAGGAAAGAACCAAGGAATAGTGCAGAGAATGATAATCTACAGGAGAGACCCTGACCAACCTCAACTCCCATGAGTCTAGAGACGGCTATCTCTGCTGAACGTACACTGTAGCTCACATCTACGGAGCTGATATGTGGGATCTCCACAAACTGGCCGACTAGGCCGATGTCGCAAGTGCCCCTTGGTAGGATCTCAGGACGGTCGTTCTGGGCACGAGCCAGTAAGGATGCGCTCATTCGCGGCATCAGTCGCGGGATTGTCACGGTACTTTGTCGATCTGGTGGGCGCCGTATGTTCAGCTGCCATAGCATTTCAGCCAAAATCTCTTGGCCGGAACATTGAAGCATCGGTTTCTTCACATAGTCCCCTTTCCGGGCGGGTAAGGTAGCAAAGCCCCAGATGACACGCACACTTGGTGGCTGGTCAGAGAAGACGGGTTGCATTGGAACACAGATATTCATCCTCCACTGACTTTCCTGGAGAGAGATAAAAATGCCCGCCTCAGATTGATGGTCTGACAAGGACCAGAGGTGCTGGAAAAAAATCGCGTCCCCAGTCGTGATGGTGAAGGACTCGAGCAGAGACTCGGATTCGCGAGTGCAGAATTGATAAGGGTCCCCAAATCGGGCATCGCTGTTTCGCAGTGCTAGCCACAGGGACCAATTCTCATCGAGAGGCTCTCCCAGTTCCAGTAAATTCCAGACGGGCGGATGATCATTCGTGCCTGCGATGGATTCGGAGACAGACGACCCTACTGTCATGAGGATAATATCATCCCTCCCCAAATTCTTGGCCAAGTGATTTCCATTCTGCACGATCTCCAGTCGGGTGATTGACTGCTGCTGTCGATCATCGCTATGTGTCACAATGTTTTCCACCTTGGTATTGAATTGATAGTCAACATGAATGCTCCGGAGATAGAGAAAGATTGGCAGAAAAATCGACTCATGCTGATAGTACCCGGTGATATCTAAACAAGTTAAAAGGCTCAAACTGCGATGATCATGGAAATATTGCAGGAGAGAACGTTTGAGTTCAAGGGCGCTGTGCCAGGGCTGAAAACAGAATCTAGGCTCAATCATCAGTCTTTGTTCACGCAAGAAGCGTCTTTTACCTCTCAGACTGGTGTGAAACTTACTGGGCGGACCAGACTGCCCAAAAGATGCTGTGAAAGAAGCTTGCATCAAAGTAATCCTTAATCGCATTTCTCCTGAGCTGCCTTTCACTTTTCAGCAAGAAGCACAGTAATTGTATCCGGTGTCTGAAGCTTAAATTGAGGGAGGCTGTGGGCACAGTCCGTAGCTTCCCTCCTCTCTGAACCATAAAGGATGCTCGGTGACTGTGTGACAGTGCTGTTCGAATTGCTGACTGGGATCGGATCTCGTCGAGAACCGACTTTCCTTGCCCCCAGGTGGATGGAATTGAGGCGAGAAGCTTTTCTAAAGGTGGCCCAACTGGAACGGGCAGGCACCCAGCAAACTGATCATACCCACGAACAGGATCGCCTCTTTGGTGTATGGCGTCCAGTAATGAGGTATGAGAATCCAGAATATGCACTTGGCCAGGCGGTACTTTTGCGTTCACGACGAGATAGAATGCTGATGCCAGGGCTGATATTCCGCTACCGAGAATCCATGCCTCAGTTTGCTCTGGATCACGTTTCTCCTGCCTATTATCAGGTCGGCCACAGAATGTCCTCATATTCTATAGAAAAGGGATGAGAGGGGGGATTTGACGCATGATTGGTGTATCAAAAAGAGGGGAGAGAAGGGGATACGAAGAAAATCACCAGGCTTATATAGCAGAAAACACAGTAATAGGAACTGGCGCACTCACTACCTTCTATCTGATATCTCTTTAGTGAGGTCATGACTGAGCCCTACACTCCAAAGCAGAAGAATTTTCCCAAAGATTAGACAGGAATCTAACCATGGTTTCCATGTAAACTCCATCTCTTCAACATCCTAGTCAAATCTAAGATGCCGCTCCAGTCATCAATATCTGAAAAAGTTGCATTGGTTCGTACATGGTGGGAGAGTGCCCGTATAAACGAGAAGATACATTACTCCATACATTCGTCAGGTAATTGCTCAGCCCAGCAAAGCAATCCCCTTCCTCGAAATAGTTCCTAAGTAGTATGTTCACTACGGATGAGTGATGATGGGTCTCGGCCGCGTATGCAACTTTAGTCCGCTAAGCTCATTTCTGTCACACTCATCCATGGACCGCATGAAGAGCAGAACGCCACTAGCCAGGACACCTCTCGAACTTTCCCTCTGGCCTTCTGGACTGGCCTCGGTCTTTGCTTAGTGGATCTGAGTTTTAATGAGGGTTGGCCCTTTGACAGCCCTGGACAGCTGGGACTGGGAGTGCCATGGGGCAGATTCTACTGTCAGTCTTTTTCACCTGGCCATTGCCACTGACACAGTAGGACTAAAACGCGGCACTAGGAGGAATCGAGTCGATCTGACCGTCTCCACAGCCTTCAGAAAGGTGTCCTTCCCCGCGACATCTCCACGAACCGTTATAATGGATCTGGAACGGGGCCACCCTAAACATGGCTATGAAATATGACAGCGATCATTTGGTGGACAAGACCTCTCGATAGCCATGGATCAATGGTCTGATGATCTGTTGACCTCCTTTTTAGCTATCTGAGTTTTTACTACAGGCAGCTCTTTTTTCTTTTTCTTTTTCTTTGGATAACACACCAAAAGAGACTTCATACAACAGGCAAAGGAGGGGATGAAACCTCCAACTCAGCATTGATAGCCCATGCAGTCCTTATGAGTTATTCCCATCATTCACGATTTCAATTCACATCATTTCCCACGCCAAGACATTCCGCTCCAACTGTTGACCTTTGCTCTACTCATCGCGGGTCTCGGGCTGGGCATCTACCTCGGCATCGACTCCGACCCAATGGGAAACTCCCACCGGGTCATAGGTCTGGTCGTTGTCGGCATGCTGCTGCTCTTCCAGTCGCTTATGGGTCTAATCCAACATATCTATTTTCCGCGCACAGGTGCGACGAGTATCCATCGCCTTCTTTTTGTATGATTCTCCGACATCGTCGAATGGTGGTGTGGCATGTCCAGGCCATGATAGACGAACAAATATCTTTATAAGAGCTATCTTACCTGGACAGATCTAAGGTACCCTACATATGGGGTGTGATATTTGATACAGGGAGTCATGTCTTCTTTTGTGATGTGGAATCACTTATTGGATAGCACTAGTAAAGGAACCTATACATACTAGCCAGAGTACCGCCGTTGAGGAAGAGGAATTGAATGTTCTGAATGTCCTTTACGCAATGGGTTGAAACTATCACTAATCTTTGAATTTCAAAGAGTTCATTACACTATCAACTAGTAGGCCAAGCCTAACCTTACTGTACCTCCACTCCATGTAAGTAAGTGCCTTCAGGCTCCAAGACCAAGCTAAGATTCTCATAATGGAGATTCCAAGATACACTAAACTACATGGCCTTAGACACACTTAGCAGGCTACTCTACGAATCTGCAATGCCCTGGGAGTCTGGATAAGTAAGCATAAACAAACGAGCCTCGGCTATCTCAACTGGACAGTGTGGAGTTGCACGTCCTCCACCATATATGATATCTCACATCATCCCCTGGTAAGTGACTAGGTAACTGAGCTCACTCATCATTTTCTCCTTTTTGTTCCCTTCCCCTTCCCTAAGGAAACCATGGAGAATATTGTGAATAATACTCATAGATCAGTGAATCTCATGAGCGTGAACACAGTCCAGGGGAGCTAGATATGTAGATTTGTATGATGATATTGATATCATGATGTCATTCATCTCAGCCATTTCCGTTACAGGACATGTATACCTGGGCTCATTGTCATTCGCCTGTCGCTAGTGTGTGCGGTCTCAGCATCGCGACAGTGATGTGGCTTTGCCTCGTAGGAGCAAGTCTCCAGCGATTCAAGTCGGGAATGCCCGTGGCGAGGAGTAGCAGTTTGGCGGTTGCCGCAGCGTGTCATCCGCGGTTTGATCCGAACTGTGATGGAGAGGCGATGGGCTAGCGTCATGACGTGGAGTTGGGAGGTGAGGAGACTATGGCACTTTGGCCGGTTCAAATGGGGGGCTATCCCAGTTGATGGTCATATTGGGCATGGTAGCTTCACATCGGGAGACGTTGAGCTGGCTGAGGAGGGGAGCTGTGCTGATATTACCTCTGGCTCTTGGCCACGATCATCACTACCCCTACACTCCCGTCAGTGATCCTGACTCAGGACATAGCCTTGCAGTCAAGAAGGGGTGCTGTAGTGGCCCGACTGAATAGTACAATAAGTAGTACTCTAACAGGTGGAAGGTCATATCAGGTCGCGCCTGTGCAGGTTATGTGGGAGGTCGACTCGGGATTATTTCTGCGAGGAAAACCAAACCCACAACGTCATGTATGACTCGCCGCACATGCTTTGAACATGCACGCGATGTGCTCGGGTAAATTCTATATCGAAGGATACATAGCATTGAAAACGACATGTAGGCGTGGTCAACCACCGGCTAACTACTGATAATTCTTCTCATCCGTCATATACTCCTCATCGTTCAGATGCCAAAACTTCCACCGGAAGATAACCATCTGGATCGCCAAAGCCACCGCAGGCGCAGCCCAGATCCAGATCAGCCACGGGTCTTGAGTGACGGGGATCAGGATCTCGCCGATAGCACTGCTCAGTGCGTTCATAAGCAGAAACACGGCCATGACCAGGCCCCGCATGCTCGGCGGCGAGCGCGAGTACGCCAGCTCGTACGCCGTCACGTTGCAGAAACACTCGGACAGCGCCGAAAGCACCATGATGGGGATCTGCCACCAGATGCTCAGCGGGCTGACGTCGTCGCAGGTGGAGGAGTTGTAGCCGCACGGCGACGTCTTGTACACGCGCCACTGCACCAGGGCGCCGACCACGCTGGAGGCCGTGGCGAGCGCGAACCCGAACATGATACGGCTAGCGGGGCCGAAGGGGATGCGGTAGTGGGCCAGCGTCGGGTAGACGACGTATGAGAGGAGCGGAACGGCAACGATGATGGTCAGCGCGTTGAAGTTGCTGAGCAGGTCGTTGGGGGCGCCGTTGGTGGTCATTGCCGCGCCCTGGTTGGTGGACACGGAGCCGATGCCGCCATCGTTCAGGTTCCAGATGGGGAAATAGAAGAAGACCTGAGTGGCCACTGTCTGAGGTCAGCATGCTTCTCTGGTCAATTGAGTGAAGATGTTCTACCCAGGGTTCGTTTGACATCGTCGACCAGCTTATCGCTCCAGTCCACGTGGATCCCCTTGCTGGCAAGTACGCTGGGCTTGGCCGCCTCCCAAAAGTCCCTTTTCCACGCACGGTACTTGTTCTCACGCAACGCAGTAGATATAATCTTGACAGCCTTGCTGAGATCGGAAGTTCCGCTCGGGGGCTGCTTGTACGTCTTCTTGTAAACCAGGGCCAACACCACCGGTAACATGAAATAGATCGCTCCCGATAGCAGAAAGGCCAGCCAGAACCCAATGTACTTCTCCGTGTATGAGGTCGCAAGCATAAAGAACGCGCCAATATTCACAAAGCCGTAGAAGATGAGCATCGTCCGCGTGGCTGTAGCCTCAGGATCGACGATGACCTTCTCCCCGGATTTGAGCACCTTGGTATACTGCTTCTGGTGCCGGTTTTGATCGAGAATCGTAGGCGCAATGTTCGGCTTGAAGATCCCCGCTCCCAGCGCAAGGACTAGCAGTCCGATGATGAACGGTGGCGCGGCATGTCCAGTTCCCTTCTGCAGAATGGATGGGATGGCCCCGATGATCTGGATAATATGTGCGATACCGCAGAGGGCGACACCAATGCAAATGGCTTTATACCGACCAATATGCACATCAGCCCACCTATATGTCTAATGTGAGCTCTATACACCCAGCGCTTATGGTGTAGCGTACCATCCACCGAAAATAGGAAGCACATAGGCTAGGAAGCTGAACAACAGGACAAGACCTTGACTCGCCTGTTGGCCCATTCCCAATGCGCCGGCTGTTTTTTGCGTGCCACGAGGAGGCGCACCGGCTCCATTGCCACCTGTCTGTGTCAGTAGACTTCAGGGACATGACAGGAGGAGGATGCCTACCCTCTGGAAGGGGGAACTGGATGAAGTTCGAAAACACATTCTTCGCGCCGTAGTATGACGCTCGCTCCGCAAATTCAACCAAACATAGCGAGAATGAAACCAAGGGTAGCGTTGCAGCAACTTTTCGCAGAGTCTCCTTCTCTTCCTCGGTCGGGGCGGGGTATTCGTCGCTGTCAGTCGAAGTAGGACTAATCTCGTAGTCGTGCTTTTCGATGTCGTGCTTCGTTTCCCCCGGAGGGAACGTGGTGATCACGTCTCCAGTGATGTTTTCGCCTGGTGCAGCTGTGGAAGTCAGCATGGAACGTCCGACAGAGGTAACTACTCACACATCTCGATGCGATAGTGATCTGCGCTATGAGGCAACTAAGGGGGCGGACAGACGGGCTCTTTATCGGCCTGTAGATGTCTACGCCATGCAGGCTTATTCGACGCAACATCGGACACCGTCGGTCAGTTCGCTAAACAGATATCAAGGACGAGTTAGCGCCACGATGCTGCATTACTTCTGGCGTTAAGTCAAGATCGATGTAACCTTGCCAGGGTCATTTCTTGACATGCTTATCACTGTATTGGCAACTTGGCGTACGATATCACTTTAGTGTACTATCACGTCATCAAACATCTCGCACATTCGTTAAGATTGTGTTGCGGGATGTTAGATTTACCTAATAATACAGGGGGCAGCTGAGGATTTTGTTTCTCGATTCTTGCACCATCGGTTTGTGTCAGTTGCCCATCAAGCTATGCGATGGACATGGTTTTGCTGCATTCCTGAGACTGGCTGGTCAGTCCAGCTGGGAGGGTTCGACTTCGGTTGCACGCGGCCTCATTGGGCGGCTAGGCACAGATTGCAGGGATGTTGATAGTCCTTCTTGTGTCCAGTAGTCGACAATATCGACGAGGCACCTGGCAATCTTCGATAGCTTGACACACCCCCCACCTGATACGTAACCCCCTGAATCCTCGACTCAGATAGCGATATTTCTTCTGAAAGCAGGGCCGCCGCCCCTTTTGCTCTCTCTTTCACGAGCATTAGTTGATGAGAACTGCTTCCGTGGGTCTCTCTCTTCCATCATTCAGTACGGCTTGTTCACTCTGAAGACCCTCCGTCAGAGTCAAATCCGAATCTCATGACGACCCCCTGTCATAATTTTAGCCAAAATCACACTATTCCGCACCGTGCACCATTGTAAGAGGGTCTGAAACAGATTAGCCACTGTTTACCAGAGACTGGTTTGGTTGTGGGTCAGGGGCTGGCCCACTGCTCGGTGCCAGTAAGCATGCTTGTGTTGCTTAACTCATCACCCAGTGTCTCCATCCGCAATAAGCTTATCTGGTAGACACTGTCCCCATCTGCAGACTGTCTGAACATCCATAAACCTTTGATAACGCTGTTGCTAGAAGCAGCGACCCAGCCAGAGCTACACAGGCCCTTCTGTGAAGCTTAACTGCAAAATTTATCTTGAGTATTGATGATTGTCCAGTCGGTTTTTATTATCTCAATGTTTTGAGCACCATATTGTTTGCTGTATCTTGCTATAAGTTTGGCAGGGCAGCCAGGAGATCTGCCGCGCAGAGATTGCCCTCACCACTTATGTCACTCCGGATTGAATAGTATGGCCGAAGCATCAAAGACAAATGAGGTCAAAATGACAAGGACCAATATATGCTTCACAGACTCACCTTTCTCCTAATGGTCCAGTCATTGAAGGCAATCAAATGTTTATTGAATGCATTTGAGCTATCCTTCAAGGCAAGTCTCTGGAAAATTTCGCACAGATAAGCTTGAAAAAGCTGTTGAATTGCACATCTTCGTAAGTCGACATGTAGCTGCAGATGCAGCGAACTTTGATATTTGTCGATCGATTGTAAGGCAGCATGTCATCAGAGTGACCAGGCGCAGTTGAGCCCTCACAAGATGTAAAGACTTGCCCCCGAGAGTTCCATGCTGTCGTGTATTGTGTGATACCTACTTGTATTCCCTGAAGACGAACAATTGCTTGAGAGTTGCTGCTATGAGGGTCTCGACTCGGCGTTTCAGCAGGTAAGCTTCAATCTGTCAGCCCATGGATGGTCACTGGCAATCAATAGTATGACAGACTCCCCGACCCTAGTCAGTACAATTCCATAGTCCATCATGCGTTTATGACTTAACTCCTGAACAAGGAGAACGTCAAAGCAGAAATCAACTGCTTTAGAACAGTCCATTTCCTGACCACGATGAACTCAGCGCTGTATTGGCTAGGCTGTTCATGCTTGCTTGAAAGTCGATCAATTTCGACAATGATGATTTTGACGAATCATATATCGAAATTATCAAACAGACGCACGGTGAGACGATGTAAAATACCAACCATGTCCAGGTAATGAGGACTCGGCATCCCCAAAGGATGGAAGCGCGTTCACCATGGGAAGAGGTGCATGTTTTTATCCGCATCGAGGCAGAACGATGATGCGTAAGAGATTCTAGGCTGGGTGAATCTAGCACACTCTAGTCAGTCAGTGTTGGACCAGGATCTAGGATAATTTAGGAGGGATCTGAACGATGAAATAACAGGCCGGCTTGGTGTGTTCGCCTGTTGGTTATGCTCTGTGCTTCATCGAGGATACCTGGTGGTGTAGCATCGGAAGGATATATTTATATTGGGTCACGACAACTCAGATTGTCAAGTGGACACGGAGACGCATCTACACAATGCTCTGTGGGACGAAAATGCCAGGTCGGGATGTCCTTCAGAGAGTGAGGGTGAATTGTCTGCTGCTGCTCAGGGACTTCAACGACATATCACCTGACTATCTATATGGATGTCTGCCAGTACTGCCTGAGGCAATGAGTCCAGGATCATCACATCTCTCCTTTGTCTTCAACCGCTCTACTTCTTGTCACATACTCTGGGGATTTGGTGTTATTGTATCTTTCCTCTACCGAGCCATCATTGATACTGAGCATCTAGATACAGACTATACCTGGACACAGGACCACCAGAATCGTGAGTGCCACCTGAACGTATCAACTCGACGACATCCTGGAGCTACAGGTGCACAGCCAGGATAATATCATTGAGAATGGTGAAATAATTCAGTGAAAACATTCCATTAGCTAGACTAACTCCTCTTCTCATATAGAACCAAGGGATGAATATGAGGCGACTGACAATGGGGTGTCGATACCGGGAAACAAAAAGTTAAAGGTTGAGGAACAATGGGCTTATGGTACCACAGTTCGTCGGATTGGGTTTCGATGCTACCAGTGGCTATTCAGGTTCTGCCAAACTCACAGTACACCGCTGGCCCGTCGGAAGTGAGCAAACGAAGCTTGACAGCCGACATGCCTTACGCCTCATGCTGTGGGAATGGCGCAAAACAGCCACCTGAATCGCATATAGCTCCAGTCAAATATGGATGGCAGACATATGCACTTACGACTTCTATACGCCAAACCAGGGCTATTCATCTCTCGTGCAACCCCCAATGCATTGGGGCCATGGTTTCCTTGATTCTGACAGGATGTCAAAGCTTCTAACAGCTACCGCCCAGAGGTGCTCTCCTATGGACCATGACGTGGGTCCGAAGTTTGAGTGTAGCCTAATCATGTGGTCGCACTCTTGCAGCCAAAAGAGTATACTAATTCTTTCCTAGTGCTACAAGTGACCGATTCAACCTTGGGGATGAGGGTTGTTGGATATGACATACTTTGTGCAATGCTGCTATACTTAGACGGGGATCGCTGCCCCACGCGGCACACCACCGACATCATCGCCAAGTCATTGCATTGGGACAACCAAGATTCCCGGAGGAGACGAACTAAAAGCGGCTATGAGATTGCTGTTAGGGGATCGTGGCCATATTCCACCATGGCCACGGTGGTTGCGTAAGCTCTGTTGGTTGAACATGGACTGGGAGTGTCTGTACCCATATTTCTGTATCCATTCTTTATTGGTTTATCGTTCACTTATCTTCTAGTAGATACCTTCTCTCTGGTACCAGCTCTGTCTGATCTTGAAAGGCCGGTCAAGGATTACATCATCAGCATTGTTCTCACGATGAGGAGTAGGCGCTGTCACCTCACCTATCTCCATACATACTGACTACGATCACTTACATCAAATAGACTCAATTAGTGTCGATCTGACAGCGGCGAGGTGGCTCAATCCACCATTGTCTCAGGTACATTCTGAGAACAAGACGGGAATCGAATGGAGTATGTGGAGAGAGTCACAGTGTCTTTGGTTTTGCTGCCATGGATATGATTCTCCCATGACGACATCCAGCGGGGATGCATTTCTTGTATCCCAACTTCACTACGTCAACAATTGAAGCTTCACCAGATATATAACCATCCTTTTCTTCTTCCCCTCATCTTCATTTTCATCATCATCTTCAGTGATTTCATCCAATACTGCAATACAATACAGTCCTATACCATCTCATCAACCATTATCCACAATGTCTGGCGCTATGCACAAGATCAAAGAGGTCCTGACTGGCCACCACGGCGACTCTGGAACCACCAACCATGGTCCTCATGATTCCAAGGCCGCTAACAAGGTCGATCCTCGTGTAGACTCCGACCTTGGTATGTTTCCTTCTTCTCCTCTCAATGTGAAGCCACACTAACGAGACAGATAACCGTGCTCGCCACGAAGCCATGGGAGGTGCTGCCGGCCCTCATTCCTCCAGCACTGCCAACAAGCTCGATCCTCGCGTAGACAGCGACCGTGACAACCGAGGAGCCGCTGGTACTTATGGTACTGGCAACACTTATGGCTCGAACACCTACACCAACACCAGCAGCAACGCTGGTCCCCATAACTCCAACATCGCCAACAAGTTGGATCCCCGTGTTGACAGTGATCGCGGTACGTCTTGACTGTCTTGACAGGCAAGTCATGTATCGTACTAACGTGCACAGATAACCGCGCTCGTCATGAAGCTATGGGCGGCACTGCCGGTCCCCACAAGTCCGACATCGCCAACAAGCTGGACCCCCGTGTCGACAGCGACCTCGACAACCGCGGAGTCCACAGCCACACCAATACCGGTACCACTGGCCTAACCGGCGCAGGAACCGCTGGAACCACCCACACCGGGACTACCGGAGCAGGCTACGGCTCGAACACCTACGGCACCACCAGCTCCAACGTCGGTCCCCACGACTCGAACATCGCCAACAAGCTCGACCCCCGTGTGGACTCGGACATGGACAACCGTGCGCGCCACGAGGCCTTGGCTGGCAGCAGCTACGCGGGCACCAACACTGGCACCGGTGCCGGCTACACAGCTGGCCCGCACAGCTCCAACCTGGCCAACAAGATGGATCCGCGTGTGGACTCGGACCTGGATAACCGGGGCACCCTTGGCAGCCAGCGTTTCTAAGCTGAGAGTCTGCGATCCTGCTACACACTTTGCTTGTTTCAGACTGTCTGATACCTGATACCATGCGATGATTTACGATTTGATTCCCTTCCTGTATTAATGAGAATATGATTACTTGTTCACTGCACTTCACTTCGTCTCGTAGACTAGACATCACCTAAGTATAATAAAGTACACTGCTGTTAAGAATAAGCCGCAATCGCCTTGACAAACGCATCCTCAATGGCCTGATTGATCCTCGGCGCCAGCGCCGCATACAACGGCGCCAACTTCCCCGCGACCTCCCCCCCAAGGCCCGCAGACAGATCTTTCTGCTGGACCAGATTCGCCTTGACCAGGAACGCCAACGACCCGATCGCCAGCAACCCGGTGTCGAACTGCGGCTTCTTGCGCACGATGTTGTCCAGCGTGGAGAAGATCTGCGGCTGCAGGGCGATGAACGCGCCCACGACGGTGAGCGACTCGGCGTTGGTGAAGTTGGCCGCGACGTGGGTGGTGGCGATGGCGGCCTTGAGCGCGTTGCTGAGCTTGATGCTCTCGCACTCGATCTGGAGCGCGGTCAGGGTGCCGAGCGCGCCGCCGTTGTAGGCCGTCACGGTCGTGTTGAGGGTGACCATGTGCGTGGCGATGGCGTTGACGGCATCGACGACGGCGGGGGCGTCGCGTTGGACGAGGGTGGGGATGGCGGTTGCGAGGGCGGCGAGGGAGAGAATAGAGAAGAATTTCATTTTGTCACTTGGTAGGTAGGATGCTTTTGCTGCTGCTGATGCTACAGGTGGTGATGTGGTGCAATTGTAGCAGAAGCAGACATACACACATACACACATGCAACCCCCCCCCCTTTTATACCCAGTCGACCGTGCAGCTACACCCACCGACAAGGACAAGGAGAAATGGGAGGTCGCGATGCTTCCCCAGCCTGGATAAATTGCAACCCCGCAAAAACGGGTACACCGTACACGATGCGAAATTGCGACCAGGATCGCGACGAATAACGTGTCTTTGTTCTCGTCCGGGGGGCGTTGATGCTGATATTCATCCCCACATGTGATAGCGTTCGTCCGAGGCTGGGGTGCGAGAATACTCCTAGTTACACTATATACTTAGTACACTATATACACCTCTCATCGACAGTACGAACATGGCTGTGTGCTCGACCTCGGCGGAGGGCCATTGACTTGTGAATCTGCAGTCACGGCTGATGTTGCAGCTGCATCACTTCATTCTGGATCGAGATCGGTGTTTGCCGTTCCTGGGAGGACGAGCTTGAGGCGTTTTTACGATGGTGCTTCTTCCCCAGACCATCTACCTGATGGAAGATGGATATCGCATTCGCATCGGATTCTCAGACCCACTCACTATCCTACTTATCCACTCTGCCGCTGATCGACGATTGTCTTGTCTGATCCACTGTGGGTTCAGGGTTGCCACTGTGAGAAGGTATACCCGTTGGACTGAGGATATGGTTGTTGGACAACTTGAGCTAGTATCCGATCATCAGGTGTCAATTGTGAGTTTTAGGAAGTGATAGATGTATTAAGGTATAGTATGGCAGTCAGAGAGAGTGAGGAATACTACGCTATACTGGTTCTCAGTAGCCAGCATATGTATACCATTTCCTTACTGCCATTGAGGAGATATAGGACAAGATTACCCAGTGGTATAAGCACTGCCAATTCATTAATTCACCAGATTCCAGTAGTCAACTAGAAGTGACTAGGCGATGAGACTACACCTCATCAAAACATCTATATCTGTGTTTAGATCGTTATCCGCCTGCATATATATGGCCAGCAAGAGCATTAGTGGCTCTAGGAAACCTCAACTTTTCTGACAAAATATTCCCTTATCAGAGAAAAAGCCAAAATGACACGTCATTTGGGTCATTTTGATATTTTGATTCCCACCCCTACTCACGGTGATGGGCAAAAGTATGACTCCTCAACCACTGCAGGCATACTCAATTGGAAAGCTTGACCCCATTGCACAACTCCTGGGAGTATCTATCTACTGTAGTCTGCATCTAGGAATGATACAATCATCCGCCGCTATCTCTGATCATAGGCCGGGATATATCTTCCCCTGTGAAACTCTGATCAGGAAGTGAGGGGATGGATATAAAGCGGACAAGGGCGGCATCACCTCGTGTCCACCGTCACCGTCACCATCAACCAACTCAAGATGATCTCCATCTACATCCTCGTAGGCCTGGTGCTGCTTCGCCTCCTCTACGAATACCACCGCGACCGCAACCTCCCCCCCGGTCCACGTCGCCTCCCCTTCATCGGCAACATCCATCAAGTCCCGCAGAGCCATCCCTGGCGAGTGTTCGATGCCTGGAGCAAGAGGTACGGCCCGCTGATGAGGGCGCAGTTCGGTCGCCAGACCCTCATCCTCATCGCGGACACCCGCATCGCCCGCGCGCTCCTCGACAAACGCGGCGCCGTCTACAGCGATCGCCCGCGCATGGTTATGGCCGGCGAGAACGTCACCCGTGGCATGCATATGCTGCTACGGCCCTACGACGCGCGCTACCGGCTTCACCAGCGCATGGAGGCGCCCGTGCTCAGCCCACGCGCGTCGGCCACGTACACGCCGCTGCAGGAACTTGAGAGCACACAGCTCCTCACTGACCTCCTCCGCTCCAACAACTTCACGATCCACATCCAGCGCTACACCGCCAGCCTCGTCTACGGCCTCGCCTATGGCTTCCGCCTGCCCACCGGCGCCGAGCCCGAGCTCCTCACCCTCCGCCGCATCCTGCACAACTTCGGCCACGTCGCCCGCGTCGGCACCTGGCTCGTCGACGCCATCCCACTCCTCAACTACCTCCCCGCATGGCTTGCGCCCTGGAAACGCAGCGCCAACGCCCTCTTCGAGCTGGAGGCTGACCTCCACCGCCGCAACATGGACACTGCCCTGCACAACAAGCCGTGGAACTGGACCAAGGAGCTGGCTCGCTCGCCGCACGCCACCCCCATGAGTCCGCTCGAGTTCGCCTACGATCTCGGCAACCTCACCACCGCCGGCTACGACACCACCGCGTCGGCCATGCGCGTCTTCGTGCTAGCGGCTGTAACGGCACCAGCCTTCATTGCGGCCGCGCAGCGCGAACTCGACACCATCGTCGGCCCCGACCGCCTCCCCTCCTTCGCGGATAAAGAGAACCTGCCCTACATTGCCGCCGTGGTCGAGGAGACGCTGCGCTGGCGCAGCATCGCGCCCGGCGGGCCGCCGCACGCCACCAGCGCGGAAGATGAGTACATGGGGTACCGGATCCCGAAGGGCGCGACGGTCATGCCGCTGCACTGGTCGATGAGCATGGACGCGGGGGACTTCCCGGACCCGCTGGCGTTCCAGCCCGAGCGGTGGCTGGCGGCTCCGCAGCAGCAGCAGCAGCAAGGCGGGGATGGGAAGGGGAATGAGCACGAGCGGTTCACGAGTTTCTTCGGCTGGGGCCGCCGCATGTGCGCGGGGCGGCACATCGCGCGCAACTCGCTGTATATCTTGATTGCGCGGCTGCTGTGGGCGTTTGAGATCCGGGCCGCGGAGGGGCCAGACGGTCGGCCGAAGCATGTGGATGATATGGCGTTTGATGATGGGTTGGTGTCTTCGCCGGAGCCGTTTGAGGCGGTGTTTGTGCCGCGTAGCGAGGCGGTGCGGCGTGTCGTGGAGGGCGAGTGGGCCGGGCTCGAGAAGGATATGGAGGTGGTGATGGGGGGGATCCGGGAGCGGCAGAGGGCGATTGGGCTGGAGGTGCGGGTGTAGTTGAAGTCGAATTCTAGTCGAATATAAGTATATAGCAATGGGATAGAAATTTGGTAAATAAATTTAAAAAACAAAATAAGGTATGGAGTATTCGCGTCAAGTCACTATAGGAAACGGGTGCGCCGCGCAATCACGAGAGACAACCCAATCAACGCGAGAATCCCGCCTAAAATCCCAAACCACCAGCCCAGCCCGCTGCTATTCTTGCCCGGGACGGTGACGTTCATGCCGAACAGCCCGGTGATGACCTGCATGGGGACGATGCACGAGGCGATAACGGTCAGGCGGCTCAGGGTCGCGACGATCTGGTTACGCATGCGCGTAGAGTCGAACGACAGCTGGCCCAGGTACTTGTCCTGGGAGCGCGACAGGCGCTGCTCCGAGTGCGCCAGGTTCGAGACCATGGTCAGCACGTGGTCCTGGATGTCGCTGAGATACGAGACGACCTGGATTGTGGAGCCAAGGATGTCGCAGTGCCGCGCGAAGCACCGGATCACGTCTGTCTTGTCATTGAGCAGCTGCCGGATCTGCTGCACCTGCCGCCGTGTCTTATAGATCTGCTGCAGCGCCAGCCCGATGTCATCCGGCCGCGTGATCGACACGCTGTCCTCCATCGTCTCCACGCAGCCTTCGACCTGGTTGATCAGCGGCGCGAACCCATCCACGATGTCGTCGCTGCAACAGCAAAAAAAAATAAAGTCAGTGTCTCGCCTTCCGAGTCTCAGGGGTTGAGAGAGAGAGTTAAGGGAGGGAGAACATACATCAAAGCATAACAGATCCAGTCACTGGTCAACGCCAGGTGGCTGCGATGGTCCTTGATCCGGCCCCGCACATGGTCCGTGTGGCGACGGCTCCTAAAGGTGAAACTCAGGACGCCCTGCCGGAACACGATGGCGTACACATTACACGCGGTGCGCGGACTGGCCGTCTCCTCGGCCTGCTGCGGCGGCCGCAGCGAGACGAAATAGTACGGGCCGAAGAGCTCGATCTTCTCGCGGGTCTCGCGGATGCGGATATCCTCCGTGGTCAGCGGGTGGATGTCGAACAGCCGCGCGAGCAGCTCGATGTCGCCGTCCGAGGCGTCGGCGACATCCAGCCACCACAGCCCGTCGTGCTCACCGCCGTCGAGGAGCGAGTGCAGCGGGCCGTAGACTAGCGCCAGCGAGTTGAGACTCGGGGCGAAGAGGACGGAATCCAGCTGCGTTGTGAAGAAGCTGAACTGTGCGGTTTCGGATTCGGGGTCATTGTACGCCTTCTCCACCTCTGGGGGTGGAATCGTGAACGCCTTCTCCCTCTCCCTCTCCGCGCACAGACCATGCCAACTGGCCGACCGAGCGGCCAGAAGCTGTCTAAGGCCGGCGAGGGGCCCCATTAAGCGAAAAGAGTGGTCGTTGCAGCGACAGCATCGGATACAGCATTGAATCTGGTGTCAGTAAGACCAGATGGCATCCTGTGATGATGAGAAGAGATGAAAGGAGTCACAGGAGATCAGTCAGATCTGAAGTCAGAGTTTTAGCAATGGCACAGCCACTGTCTTGGCTTCTGCACTCGGAGTCAACCCCTCGTCTTTGCTCCATAAATATCGCTCATCGTATATCTAGCTACGCGTTACAGAGCCATATTGATTATTATTATTATTGTCCCAGAGCACTCTAATCCCCAGTAGGCGTGGTGGTGGTGATGTATTAGTGTTGACTGAGCGACCGTGGTGCTTGGATGCCCGCCAATTCAGGCAGCACTGTCACGTGCCTCATGCCAATTCGAACAAAATCATCAGTTGAAGTGAAAAGCGTTGATCGTGTTGATCAGTCGGGTCTGCAAGAGCATCAGAGCGATTTAGATGACTCTCTCGTCATGCATCCCATCCAGCATGATGTCGCGACTGGGGTATCACACCCCCGAGAGCAGACTACGGCTCAAGATTGATTTCTTCATCCTCAGCTTCTGCTGTGTCACGTATTTCTTCAACTACCTCGACCGCTCCAACCTCAGCAATGCCTATGTCTCCGGCATGAAGGAGGAGCTGTCCTTCCATGGCAACCAGCTCAATGTCATCAACACCATCTTCACCGTGGGCTACATCCTCGGCCAGATCCCCAGCAATCTGGCGCTGACGTACATCCGCCCGCGCATCTTCTTTCCCGCCATGATCCTGCTGTGGGGCGGACTGACCATGACCACGGCCGCCGTGCACAGTCCGCAGGGCATCATGGCCATCCGCTTCTTCCTGGGCCTGGCCGAGTCGAGCACCTTTGTGGGGACGCACTATATCTTGGGGTCCTGGTACACCGAGCAGGAACTGGGGAAGCGCAGCGGGATCTTCACGGCGTCGGGGCTGGCGGGGACCATGTTCGGGGGCTTCATCCAGACGGGGATCCATTCCTCGCTGGACGGGGTGCGGGGGCTCTCCGGCTGGAGATGGTTGTTTATCGTCAGTGCTCGTCCTAGGATTTGGGGGTCTCTGTCACTAACGTCAACAGATCGACGGGTTGATTACCCTCCCCATCGCCATCTACGGTCTGCTTCTTTTTCCTGATACGCCCACTACTACGCGCGCTCCCTATCTCACTGCAGAGGAGCGTGCCCTGGCGATTTCGCGACTGCCGGCGACCAATGCCGATCGCGCGCCGCTGGACCGCGCGTTCGTCAAGCGCACGTTCTCTACGTGGTACTGGTGGGCGTTCGTCATCCTCTGGGTCATCGCCGGCGAGACCGAGTCGTTCTCATCCAACTCGCTGCTCGCATTGTACATGAAAGCCCACCCGAGCATCCACTACACCGTCGCGCAGCTGAACAACTACCCGACGGGCGTCCCCGCGGTCGGGATCATCTCCACGCTGTTCTGGGCCACGCTGACCGACTCCCTTCGCGGCAAACGGTACTTGGTTGCGTACTTTATCGGCGTTACGGGCATTGTGACCTCGGTCCTCATCCTCCGCCGCTTCGAGTCCACACCGACGGTGTTTGGCGCGTACTACTGGGCCGGGGCGGTGTACGCGTGCCAGGCGACCTTCTTCGCGTGGTGCAACGATGCGATGCGGTCGCAGGATGCGCGGCAGCGCTCCGTCGTTATTGCCAGCATGAACATGGGCAACAACGCGGTGAACGCGTGGTGGAGTATTCTGTTCTACTCGGCGGACCTGGCGCCGCGGTTCACGCGCGGGATGTGGGCGATGATCGGGTGTTCCATCGCGTTGGTGGTATGGGCGTCGTGGATTGTGTTTATGATGGGAAGAGAGGCAAGGGAGGGTTCGAGAGAGCCAGATGAGGGTGGTGGAGCTGTATCTCCTGCGCAGCCAAAGGCTGAGGCTTGACCTGTAGTGCAGCTTTGTCATCAGATCGACATGAAGTCATCCTCCATCCACAACTCATTTCATCATCATCTTCTTCTTCTATCTATCTCTACGGAGTTTAGTCCATACTCCATCCTCTCATTATTTCGAAATCGTAAATCAAATGTCCACGTATCTCATCACAGGCACCTCGCGCGGGCTTGGCCTCGCCATGGTCCGCCACCTCGCCAGCCTCCCGCCCTCCACCGTCGGCACCATCTTCGCCACGTCGCGCGCACCATCCCTGGACCTGCAGGAAACTATCCCCCATCAACATGCCGACCGCATCGAATGGGTCCGCTGCGACACCACTGATCCCCAGAGCGTGCAGGATGCCGCAGCACAGGTCCAGCGTCGCTTGCAGGGCCGCGGACTAGATGTGCTGGTGAACAATGCAGGAGTGATGCCGCATACGCGGGGCGGCGTGGGAAACATGTATCTCATCCGGGACCTTCCAAGGCCGTCAATATTTCATTGGAGATGAAGAGACTGATACATGTCTGTAGGGAGGAACTAACCGAGACGTTCCACACGAACGTCACCGGCGCGCATCTCGTCACGAGCGCGTTTCTCCCGCTACTGCGCGAGGGCCGGCGGAAGGTCGTTGTCAACATGTACGTTCCCGGTTATCAGGATTCTTTCGCTATAAATACAAATAAGACGCACACGCACACACACACTAAGAATGGCTAGCTCCACGACTCTCGGCTCTTGTACCCTGAGCCCGACGTTCCAGGGAATGCCCACACCAGCATACAAGATCACCAAGGCGGCGCTCAACATGCTCACGCTGCAATACGCGCAGGATTACGCGCGTGAGGGGTTTACCTTTTTCGCCGTGAGCCCCGGGGTACGTTTGCTTCTCTTGGGTTTCTTGAGTTGCTAGGCAACCGCTGAAACTCATTCCCATTCACATTGACCGAACTGACAACCGCGATGCAGTGGCTGCAGACAGACATGGGCGGGGCGAGAGCCGATCTCGCGCCGGAGACGGGCGCAAAGGCCGTCCTGGATATAGTGCAGGATGCAACGCCAGCGCTCAATGGGAGGTTTCTGAATATCCGGGTGTCTGGGTGGGAGGAGAATGAGGGACTGAACCAGTACGATGGGAGGGAGGTGCCGTGGTGAGGGCTTTTGGACTTGAGACTGGTATGATTTGGGCTTGGTGTGCTGGCGGCATGGGCAAGGATGATGCATGACGGTGCAGGAGAAGATCGGATCAGGACGAAGGAAAGATCCTGGTTGGTGTTCATCCGGATTCGAATTCGACCTCATGGCATTGGCATTTGCCTTTAAATGCGCACGATTCTCAAACTCCGCGCGTGAGTCCTGAGTCTACGTATCTATCTGCACCTGACTGTCCCGGTATCGCTCACTCAAAGTAGGAGAAAAGATTATGAATTGGTGGCAATGTTGCACCAAGTCGATTCAGCAATCCACCTGTCATATTCTCTGCCTCTCGCCTCGCGTATTTCTTTTTCTGCTGTTGTACGCAGTGATGCATGATCTGCCACTACAGGAGAGGGATCTCATCACAAACATATGGTATCTTCGAAGCCCGGGCATGTTGAGTTCCACTACAACACTGCTGTCCAATATCCAGCATCCTACGTCCTGTAGAGAGATACAAACATCATCCGTGAACGGTTCAAAGGTATTACATCTTCAATTTTAAAGAGTTTAAGCTTAATATGAAGCACTACCTTGTCTACATAGTCGAATATCCATGCCATTCCCCTCGTGAACTCGGAGGCTTCACTCATCCTATCCCCGTCGATACATCACAGGACCTGCACGATACTCGGAACGAGAAGATCACGTTGGATCCATAACAATGTGGTCATGGCGAATGCGACAGGTGAAGGGCAACTCCATCGCAGATGTGATACACCCATAGTCCCCAGCAACGACCGGAATAGCGTCGACTGAGGGATTTCTGGGGCTGTCTTTCCTCGGGAATCATAAAAGCGATATCTTCCTCCAGGCAGTCTTCTTCTCCTCTGTCTTGTCCATCTCACTCTCGTTTTGTTCGCTCTCGTCCTTCTCTTAATCTCTCGTTCTTGACTGCTACGCTCTCTTTCCAGCATGAGCAAAAGAAAGATGGAGCTCATGTCCGACCCGTTCGTCGACGAGTCCTCCGAGTTACCCGAGCTTCAAGCCCCCGACGAAACCCAGGAACAGGCGCCCGACGCCCAAGAACCACGCAAGAAGAAGAAACGCAGCAAGAAGAAGAAGCGGGGGTCACAGGCCGGTGAGACCGACCGGCCCAGTCTCATCGCGATCATGCGGGACCACTTCCCCAGTTCGTTCACTGATGAGCAGTTCACGCCAGATATGTTCCATCGCCTCACGACCATCAGCCCGAGGACAGGGCCCCATGTGAACCCCAACCGACAGTACCCGCCGGCGCCCATGCCCTTCAAACACAACGACTTCCTGCACAGCCTGCCGATCTCCGAGGCCGATCTCATCGAGATGCAGCTGTTCCAGTCGACGTACCGGCTCGCGATCCGCGACCACGATCACGCATCCACCCTCCGGCTGGTCTGGGACTACGACCGGCTCTGGGGCTGCTTCGACCTCGGCGTGTGGAAGGGCGTGATGCTGATCGACCCGGGCCCGCGCGACAACACCACCTCGTCGTACCGGTTCGCGTGGCGCGGCATCTGCGAGCGCGAGCCCGACGTGCTCTTCGACAAGGAGGACTTCGCGTACGGCGAGATCTCGCTCGGCGGGCCCGGCCCGCTCTACGGCTTCTTCAAGGGGATGGTCTGCGCCGGGTTCGCGGATAACCAGTGCGACTTCAAGGCTGAGCGCGAACTCGGTCCCGCCATGGTCCCCTGGCCCGTCGAGACCTTTGTCGCAGACTGGAATTATCTCCGGTACGACAAGGCGCAGCATGCCGAGTCCGCGCGGCCCATCCTCCTGGTGCAACCAGGGACCCAGGTCGGCGGGGAGGCGGACGAGGAGCCAGCGTCCATGGTGGAGGAGGCGGGGGATCACGGCGCACAGCTCGAGGAGGACCGCGAAGCCACGACCGAAGTGCACCCGTCGTCCCCCGTGCGCCAGTCGCCACCCACGCCGCAAACCTCGCCTCCAGCCGCCATGTCACCGTCCTTCTCACACCCGACCCCACACCCGTCCGCGCGACTCACCCTCGGCGCCACGACCAGTACCACGCCCACGCGCTCCGGGCGGCGGCACGGGCACGGGCACGGGCACGGACCCGACCACGACCGCTTCCTGGAGCAAGTGTCCGGCAGCTACGAGATCAGCAGCCCGACGATGGCGCACAACTGGGCGCGGCGGTCGCAGCGGCTGAAGATGCGGCTGCTGGTGAGCCGGAGCGACGGGTGCGTGTGGGGGATGTTCAACATGGGGGTGTACCGGGGCCTGGTGCTGTTCTGGGACTCGCCGGGGCGGTTCCAGCGCGGGCGGCGGCTGAAGTTCTGCTGGCGCGGGCGGGAGGCGGACGCGCGCGACGTGGCGGAGAATCTCGGCTTCCTGGTCTTCGCGGAGGATATGAGTCTGCAGGGCGTGTTTGGGGATATGTATGGGGATGTGGCGTTTACGGCGCGGCGGCGCAATCGGCCGGCGTTCGAGCCGCAGTTCAGTGCGGCGTTCTTTCGGCAGCAGTGGTGGGAGTATGATCCTGTGCCGGGTGGGCAGATGCAAATGCAGCTGCAGCTGGAGGGACGGCTGGAGGGACGGCTGGAGGCGCAGTCGGAGCAGTCGGAGGGACAGTCACCGGCTGTTTAGTGCGGTCTCGGTTCTTGTATTCCCTGTTTGTAGGATGGATCTCGGTTATAGGAGGTAGTGGAAGTGGAGTGATATAGATGTGCTTGCTAGTTTTCAGCGTAGTATATACTCCTTTATCTCGCTGATATACTAGGTGAAGAGCAGGATTATCCACCCGTCGTAATATCAACAACAACAATAACAACCCTCCTCAGCTCATCCCTCCGTCCACCTTCCCCTACCCGTTCCAGTCCATCTCTCTATAGCAGCTGATTGAACGTGCGGATGCCATGGATCTGGTTCGGGGCAATCAAGCACGAGGCACTCCCAATGACCGAGGTCATGAACGAACCACAGCCAGTATCATAATACACATTCATCTTGGGCGCGTACTTCGGGTTCGACTGGGGGTTGAAGGGAAACATGGTCGCCTCGCTGAGCCGGCCGTCAGTTGGGAGTCCCGACAGAGTGAAATGAAGAAGATACGTACTTGTTCAAGCCCGGCACGCTGTTGCAGCCGCTGCTCTCGGTCCACTGCGCAGGGCACGTCCAACGTTTCTCCGCATCGCGCTTCGCATAGTAGCCGTAGCCGTGGCCGTAGCCGTAGTAGGGGTAGTACGAGCCGTAGCCGTAGCCGTAGCCGCCCCAATACTGGCGGGCCTCGATGGAGGTGGCATTTGCATTGCCGGCTTCGCTTTCGACATCGCTGGACGCGGGCATTCCGTCCAGGAGCGTGCTCCAGCGCGACTCGTGGATCCAGACGGGGCCCACGCCGGGCCGGATGGCGACGGCCCACTCCTCGCTGCCGAAGAAGTTGTGGGTCTCCAGGGAGTGGTCGACGGTTACGTCGGTGTCGCGCGCGGAGAGCTGCGAGGGCACCGCGGTGAGGTCGATCTGGAAATGGGGCATGATATCGGGGGTTCCGAGGGCATCGGAGGACGGGGTAGCTGGCGCCGCGCAGACGGTCGATGCCAGGCTGAGGACCGCGAGGTCAAGCAGAGAGCGAGTGATCTTCATGCCGGGGGAGGTAGAGTGGAGTAGCGACTGGAGGGTCTGAAGAGCGAAAGAAGTGGGAGGACCAGGGCCGTCAAGAGGGCTATATATACATCACGGTTCGTAAGACCAGGCGCTCCTCGTGTGTCTGCAATCCACAGGCAGTCATGGAGAATCCAACGTGGCAGCCCATTTCGATCCAGAGACCACTTGCAAGATTAGGTCTGGCTCTCTCGTTTCCTGGTGAATTGCATCCTGCAGATATGAATCTATACTACGAAGCACCAGTGAGAAGGCCGTATGGACACCGCGGTCCTTGATAAACCGGTTGGCCAAGGTTGTGGCTGGAGTTCATCAGCTTCACATAAGAGTTTAGCTTGTATCCGTCTCATACTGAGCGGCCATGGGCCGATGATTGCATGAAAAAAATGATCTAGCATAGATTGTGTAGCTCTCAATAATAGAGATCGATCGTTCGTATCGACTGGTCCAGCTGGGGGATGGCTGCTGCTTAGTGATTCTTATTCATGGGTTAGCAATGGGCACTAGACGCCTGCCGAGCCTGGCGCGCCTTATCAGACTACACATGAAGTAGAAAATGGATGAGGACGACGGCCAGTTAGGAGACACCGTCATAGCGCTAGCTGTTAGGTAGAGATTTAGCATTTCTGGGCATCGCGTGGTGTGGTTATCCCCACTCAGCTGTGACTGTGAGACATTGCTTCTTAGGGATGGCGATATATCTATGTATCGATCCTGCGTTTGGTTGGATGGCCTGTGCTCATGTAGATTATGAACTACTGAATATCACTTGAGCAGTTATGACCTGATGTGAGACCTTTGCTAGCCTGCTAGGCTCACTACCCATTCTTTTGCACTTCACGCTGTGGCTTCCGTCCCGAAGCCCATCCTCTTTCTTACACACTGTCTCTCACTCTCACAGACGCAAACTCCAGCATGCTAGGATACACCACGCCGTACGAGAAGCTCAACTCGACCGAGAACGTGAGCATCGAAGACCCCCATATCCAGACCCGGCCATACTCCCGGCGTCCCTCGATAGCAACCTGCCTCCTCGCCCTCACCACCGTCCTCTTCGGCGCTCAGTCCCTCTACCTGTGGTCTCGTCCCGCGCCCACATGCAGCAGATACCCTTTTGACGCAGGATACCCGACTGAATGGGGTGAGTTCTGGTTCACAGCCGTTTCTGGGGGTACTGAATACTGAATGAATCCGCTCCAGGACCCGCCGTGGAGTCAATCAAGCTGGAAAAAACCACCTTCACCAGCCCGCTGCGCTACAACACCACCTCGAGCCAGCTGTATCGTGACTTCGACGCCTCCCAGCCGCAATACATCGGCGCGCCGTCGCCGGAAATAGACGCTGCGTGGGAGAGTCTCCTAGGAGGTACGCTTGGGTCGGTGCTGTGCGGCGTTGGCAGCTGCATACCACCCACACCTACCTTGCTTCGTCCTTTTTCTTTCTTTCTTTTTTTTTTCTGACCAGACGATAGGTCAATTCCTGGTACTCAGCGACGACGAAGCCACGGAACTCGATGACCCGGTGTCTATCGAGGGCCGTTGGGTTGGAGAGTAAGGAACACACCAGTAACGCCGGGATATTTGGCATGCCGGTCCGTGTTGCGTGTTGCGACAAGAACTGACAACGCGCAGGGTGGAGGTGATGCACTCGCTGCACTGCCTGAATACGTTGCGCAAGGCGCTGTCGCCGGAGTATTACGGGGGCGCGTCACATTTGGGGCCGGCGCACGCGCGCTCGCGCCTGTCGGTGCATCTCGGTACGTGGTTTTTCGATGCTGAAGGGAACGTCCTTGGAAGGAAATGGGTTGCTGACGGTCCCGCAAAGAGCATTGCTTTGAACAGGTCCGGCAGAGTCTTCAGTGCGCGGGCGATCTGACGCCCGTCGTGCTGAGGCCGTTGGGGGAAGACTCGCGGGGCGCGGTCGTGGGGACCCCGATGGTGCATACGTGTCGGAGCTGGGAGGCGTTGAGGACGTGGTATACCCAGCGGGGGGAGAGACATGGGAAGGTGGGTTAGGGGGGGTATTGAGTCCGACAGAGAGCAAGTTGTTTCTGGGTGTCTGGGGAGAGACGAAGACTTGACGAGGGGTCACTGAAGCCTCTCGTCGAGCGCTTGGCTGGGTAGATCTGTATACAGAACCACATACCATCGAATGGATACATGCAAGCATCATCAATCAGGTAGTTTAAACGCTCGGTTCGATCGGGGCTCTGTCCACGGTAGACGACTACAAATGCTGAGAACGAGGCGGCTTCCACAAGGTCACAATCGATGAATCTCTATCGGGTATCACGCATCTATATCAAAGGGAACTAGGCTACGGTGTCGTCTACTATGCCGACTTCGATACACTTGCCACAAACTCCATCAGGCTCGGATGTGGTGTAGCAGCATCCGCCGTCCACGTTTGCGACTGCGACGGCAAGGGCAACATGCCCCCCTCCGCCCCGACCAACCGACTGTATGAATCGGTTCCATGCGTCTCGAACATCTGGACGCTCAACTCGCTCCGCGACAGCTGAACCTTCATTTTCTTCTGTCGGCCGTCGGATGCGACCGCCAGCAACTCCCCGTGGTGCGGGTACGTCACTTCCCATGACAGCGGAGTGGTTTTGGTCTCTGATTTGACGGGCTGCCCCTGCCCGTGCGAGATGGTGGACACAATATCCAGCAGGAGGAAATGCGTGACCATCATCGCGACCTGATCGTGCTGCCCGATGCGACTCGGCGGCTGGACGTCCGGGTAGTGCGGCATGTTCAGGGCAATCTCAAAGTGCGTGCCAAAGGGCGGGACCAGCAAGTTGGTCCGCGTCTTCACATTGAATGAGGTTTGAGGGGTGATCAGATCGGCGGAGAAGGTCGACTCGAGCGGTAGGAGGAACTGCTTGACGAGACCCTCCACGGTCGGCACGGAACGATCGATGTGCGCGAGGTCGACGGAGGCGTATGGGGTCGCGGTGAATTTTGATTCGAGTCCCGCCGCACGGAGCACGCCGTACACATCTCCCAGGAACGACTCGAGCCACCGGACATGAAAGCTGTGTTGCAGGTACGCCATGGTCGGCCGCAGAAGCAGGTATTCGGGGACATGCCGCCGCTTCTGGGTCAACGGGGGCGGCGGCTGCGTGCGGCGGCGCCGATTCTGCCGGTGCGCGTAGGAGAGGAGAATGCGAATGGAATGGGCCAGCGCATCGGCCACGACCGTGTGCTCGAGGCTCGTCTCGCTGTCGTCGGCGTATGCTACATCGGGATCAACCAGGTCAAGGAGCACCTCTTCATCCTCCGACACCGAGAATTGGACCAGGTTCTGCCCTGTGGAGACCCCTTGGCTCCCCATAATCCGGGCCTCTCGCACCAGCTCGTAGAACAGCTCCTCCTCATACAGGGTATCTCGAGCTTGCAGGATCCGGCCTTCGATCGACTCAGAATCCTGGACCGCCGACCGGTACGGTTTCGAACATCCGGTGACCACCCCCCGGTTCTTCACGCGCACACGCACCGTCTTGGCCTTGGCCGGCACCAGGCCCTTGTCCAGTATCAATCCACCGTCCTCCGATCGCCGTAATGCTGCGAGGCCGCGGTCGCGGAAAATCGGGGTAGCTATGAAGTGATTAGCTCAACTGGTCAATCCCAACTCAGCGATCCCCCTGGGAAGACATACCCTCTAAGAATCCATATTGAACCCCCAACGCCTGCCCCTCCCGCGGCAACCGGCACACCTTCCAGCCCTTGTCCTTGACGGCCAACACCTCGCTCCAGTATCTCGTCTCGGACGCGACCTCGGTTTCCAGCCGGGCGGCGGACTTGAGCAGTTTGTCCGCGGCGGCGTTGAAGCTCTGCAGGCGCCAGCCCCGCGACACGGCTTTCGCATCTCGCACGGCGGCTTCGGACTTGGGCGGGGGGTTGACGAGTTCGGCGGTGAGGGAACCGAGCGGCGCCACTTGCTTCAGAAAGGCGGACATGGAGGTTTCGGCCTGACGCGGGGTGTATTTGGAGAGGAGGAGTGAGATGAAGTCGAGCGCGAACATTGCTTCCATGTGTGCCTGCCTGCTGAGCTTTAGCCGGCCGTTTCCCAGCGATGAACCGGGAGGGGAGGAGAACGTCGCCTACATGGCAAACTGGGTGATTTCTGCACGCTTTTTGTACAATTGGTCTAAGCGCTCTGTTGTGTCCAGGTCCACGGATGCTCCCTCGCCCTCCTCATCGTCGATGGTGTATTCCTTGTTCTTCTCCTCCTCGATCTTTGCGCGGAGCGTCTCCTCGTTGACATCGCGGAAGGATCCCCACTGGGCACTGATCTGAGCGATTTCGACGGGGAGGAGATCCTGGTGGTCGCGTTCTTCAATCAAGGGCCGTAGAGGGAGGGTGAATTGGTCGGACATGGTGTGTCGAGAATTGTCTCCTGTCGTTGTTGTGACTGGAATTCCGTTGGATGGAAAATGGAGTGTAGGAGTGTTTGGGAGATGGTGATATCATCACGTGATATCTAACATCATGAGGTTGGCCAGAATAGAATCTCGCAAGGAATACTCAAGGATTGACATTATTGAACTGAAAAAGGGTACGGGAGTGAATTCGATGTCTTGGTTAATTGGCTCGAATCGGTTAGAGCGGGTCTACAATGTGCAAGACGACTGTTGACTTTTAAGCTGTAGATTTATATATCTCCGTCACCAGTTTGTTAGGTAGGATTTTGGTATTATGGTTCAGTTGAGCAGAACGACATTTATCTTCATAGCCAGAGAACAAGAAAGCTAGGCCCCTGCATCAAATCTGATACTATCAGCTCAGCTATATTGACCTTTACTTCTCCTCGATAATGAGCGTCATGGCCTGCAGAGCCCAGTCGAGTCCTCGAGAGTCGAGACTAGTCAGGACAAATTCCCAGTAGATAGTTCATGCCATCATGCATCATTATTGTTGAATCGAGGTAGTAAAGCCAAGCATTGGACGACATCCTGTGGCTTACAGCACCAGGAACCAAGCTCCACGGCTGGAAGTGGGAGTCGTCGGTACTCGGTTCAGTCGAGGACAGTGTCCAGTCGACTACGAGTGTACACAGCGAGCGACTACATTGTACTCCACTGCTGATGTCAAGAGACAACCTGGTTTGCACGGAGCCAATATTCAGCACTCAGCAGTCATGATTGTACAGATCACCAAGAATTAGGCAAGTTAGAGTGCTGACTCTGCCACTATCGAACTATCAGGCCACAGTCAATTTTGCTTGTACTGTTATATAAGTAGAGATTATTACCTAAGAGCGCGTCAGGAGCGACATGATTGGGCAAAAGGTCTCCACGTGACTGCCAAGCCACTAAGCCCAAACTAGCTACACCGTGACGTCGACACCTCAGGCTGGCCGGAGCCAATCGGTGATGCAGTGAAACACGGTCAATCCTCACTTGTCACTCGGTAGTGCCAGGACTACTGCGAACTACAAAGGAGGACTAGGCAAGTGAGTTAGTTGATTGCAGGGATTGGACCAGGCAGATGGAGAGGTGGTGTTGTCGGTATCAGGTTGTTAGCAGTTGTTGTTATGGTTGCTGCTGCTCACCACTCTCTGTCAGTCAGCCCATCAGTCTCTTGTCGGTCTGCTCCTTTTAATAAGAATCTCCTTTCATCTCCCATCTCTCATCGAACTCTCCATGAGATTCATCCATAGTCCATACTCCCATACTCCCATACTCCCATACTATCTCCTTAACTGCTGGTGTAGTCATCATTGAACCCGCTCGCTCAAGTCTGTGACGTACCCTTTCCCACTCCCGCTTTCTCTCACCGGAATTCTTCCCCCCCCCCCCTCCCCCACCACCACCATCTGGTACCACTATCACCACCACATCATTATCATCACAACTCTTTCTCAGAGCTTCTTTCTGCTCTCCGTTCGAGCTTTGTTTTGCTTCTTTTTTTCAATTGATCTCTGTATCCATTTGCTCCTGTCCATTGATTTACGGCAATCATCGACAGGATGGATCCCGCAAAAGCGCCCGTCGAACCCCCCAAGAGACGCCGCATCGGTGTCCTCACCTCGGGTGGTGATGCTCCTGGTATGAATGGAGTGGTGCGGGCCGTCGTCCGTATGGCCATCTACTCCGACTGCGAAGCCTACGCCGTGTTCGAGGGATACGAAGGTCTGGTACATGGAGGGGATATGATCCGTCAGCTGCACTGGGAAGACGTGCGGGGCTGGCTCTCCAAGGGTGGCACACTGATCGGGTCGGCTCGCTGCATGTCTTTCCGGGAACGCGCGGGTCGTCTCAAGGCCGCGAAGAATATGATCCTGCGGGGCATCGACGCGTTGGTGGTCTGCGGTGGTGATGGCAGTTTGACCGGTGCCGACGTCTTTCGCTCGGAATGGCCTGGGCTGCTGGAGGAACTGGTCAGCCACGGGGAATTGACGGCGGAGCAGATCAGGCCGTACACAGTGTTGAACATTGTCGGCCTGGTGGGTTCGATCGACAACGACTTGTCCGGCACAGACGCCACCATCGGCTGCTATTCCTCGCTCACCCGCATTTGCGACGCCGTTGACGACGTTTTCGACACAGCCTTTTCACACCAGCGCGGTTTCGTTATCGAGGTCATGGGTCGGCACTGCGGCTGGCTGGCCTTGATGTCCGCCATCAGCACCGGGGCCGACTGGCTGTTCATCCCCGAGATGCCTCCGCGCGACGGATGGGAGGATGACATGTGCGCCATGATTACCAAGGTAAATTTTTTTTTTTTTTTTTGGGTTTGGGTCTGCAATCAAATGAGAGAGCTGACTCCATCGTAGAACCGCAGAGAACGCGGCAAGCGTCGCACGATCGTCATTGTCGCCGAAGGTGCTCAAGACCGCAGTCTCAACAAGATCTCCAGCTCCACCATCAAAGACATCCTTACACAACGCCTGGGGCTGGATACCCGTGTCACCGTGCTGGGACATACTCAGAGAGGAGGACCGGCCTGCGCATACGACCGCTGGCTGTCGACCCTGCAGGGCATGGAGGCCGTGCGCGCCGTCTTGGACATGAGGCCGGAATCGGCTTCGCCCGTCATCACCATCCGTGAGAACAAGATCATGCGCACGCCCTTGATGGACGCCGTGAAGGAAACCAAGGAGGTGGCGCAGCTGATCCATGAGAAGAACTTTGAGGCGGCCATGAAGCTGCGTGACGCTGAGTTCAAGGAGTACCATTTTGCCTATCTCAACACCGCCACCCCCGATCATCCCAAGATGCTCGTCCCCCATCACAAGGTGTGTTGCTTATCATCCTAAACCCCCTCTTTTCTTTTCTTTTTTTTCCTTTCCCCAACTAACTGACCGAACAGAAAATGCGAATTGCCATCATCCACGTTGGTGCCCCCGCCGGCGGGATGAACCAGGCCACCCGTGCGGCGGTCGCGTACTGCCTCACCCGGGGCCACACCCCTCTGGCCATCCACAACGGCTTCCCCGGTCTGTGCCGACACCACGATGATAAGCCGGTCAGCTCAGTGCGCGAGGTCGAGTGGCTGGAGGCGGACGCGTGGGTCAACGAGGGCGGTTCGGACATTGGCACCAACCGCAGCCTGCCGTCCGAGGACATTGAGACTACGGCCATGTGCTTCGAGAAGTACCAGTTCGACGCGCTGTTTGTAGTCGGTGGGTTCGAGGCGTTCACGGCCGTGAGCCAGCTGCGGCAGGCGCGCGACAAGTACCCGGCCTTTAAGATCCCCATGGTCGTGCTGCCGGCGACGATCTCGAACAACGTGCCGGGCACGGAGTACTCGCTGGGCAGCGACACGTGTCTCAACACGCTGATCGAGTTCTGCGACGCCATCCGGCAGTCGGCATCGTCGTCGCGGCGCCGGGTCTTCGTGATCGAGACGCAGGGCGGCAAGTCCGGCTACATCGCCACCACGGCGGGTCTGGCGGTGGGCGCGACGGCCGTGTACATCCCTGAGGAAGGGATCGACATCAAGATGCTGTCCAACGACATTGACTTTTTGCGGGAGAACTTTGCCCACGACAAGGGCGCGAACCGGGCGGGCAAGCTAATTTTGCGTAACGAATGCGCGTCAAGCACGTATACAACACAGGTGATCGCGGATATCTTCAAGGCGGAGGCGCACGGGCGGTTCGAGTCGCGGGCGGCGGTGCCGGGTCATTTCCAGCAGGGCGGCAAGCCGTCGCCGATGGACCGGATCCGGGCGCTGCGCATGTCGATCAAGTGCATGCTGCACCTGGAGGCGTTCGCGGGCAAGACGCCGGACGAGATCGCGGCGGACCCGATGTCGGCGACAGTGATCGGCGTCAAGGGGTCGCACGTGCTGTTCTCGGCGATGGGCGGGCCCGACGGGCTGGAGGCGACAGAGACGGATTGGGAACGCCGGCGTCCCAAGACTGAGTTCTGGCTGGAGCTGCAAAACTACGTCAACGTTCTCTCGGGGCGCGCGGAGGCGGGCAAGAACATGTGGACGTGCTATGAGAGTATGCCTCCTGTCGTGCATGAAGATTCAAGTTAACTGGGATACAGCGATTACGCCGGGTGCGCCTACTTCGCCTTAGTCGAATCGAACCCTTCGTCGAATGTGGTACGAGGATGTGTGATGATAAAAGCGGACGATCTAATCTACGATTGTTGATGATACACTCGGTGCAGCTTGCCAGGATGAGGTTTTGATATGATAGTCCAATGATTTAATGCATCCATCCCATCTCCATCATCATTCCAAGTCAATGGAAGCCCCGTCATATTTCTAGTAATAGTGTTTGTATTCTGTTCCAGTTCCTGTATCAAACACGAGAACTACGTGTTCTTTCTGGACCGCGCAGGGGAAGGTTTAAATCCGATCCGGTGTTAAGACGGGGTTTGATTTTAGCTGCGTCTACCTACATAGTAGATATCTATGCTCCGTCGTTTGCCTCATGATGTTAAGACGTTGAAAAGAAGGAGATAAGGTATTAAGGTCCCTTTTCTCCGTGCCTAACCGTGAGTACTAGGTATGAAAGTCTTAACTCCGATCCTGCCATTGCCATTCGCTAACCCCTGCAAGTATAGCCGCCTAGCGGTCCAATACTGAAGAGTCAGTGGGCAGATAACTACTTATAAAAGGGGATTACCGGAAAAGGGCATTTGGCGATCACGCGGTGGTTGTTGGTTCATCTCCCTGTTCATAGGGATCGACGTATCTCCTCAAGAACCGCTCTGTTCAGGGAGGAAATATATCCTTCCCCAAAGCTACATCTAATTGTCCGAAGCCTTTCTCATCAGAACCGATGGCCGTAGGATACGCCAGAGACCAGCCTCCGGGCTTCGTCAACCGTATCGAGCGGGTGGCCATTGTCGGAGTGCGTCTACCTACACTCCACTCCAGTCCACTTCAGCTCCAACTCCAACTCCAGCGGAAAATATACATATAGATAGGGCAGTGCTGACTGAATGAGACTCAAGGCCGGCGGATCCGTTGGAAGACATCTCACGGAACAACTCGTGTTACACGGCAAGCACGTCGTCACAGCCATCACCCGGCCCGGGAGCAACAAGACAATGCCCGAGGGCGTTCGGGTCGCCCGGGTCGACTACACCAGCGACGACGACGACGACGAGAAGGCTCTCGTGGACGTCCTCCGCGGGCAGCAGGTCCTCCTAATCACGATGAGCAACATGGCGCCGCCGGACACGATGCTCAAACTCATCCGGGCAGCCGCAACAGCCGGCGTGCCGTACATCGAACCAAACTGGTACGGCCACGACGCGGCCAACAACGCGCTCTGCGACGAAAGCATGATCAGCGGCAAGCGGGACCGGGTCCTGGCCGAGATCCAGCGGCTCGGCGTCAGCTCGTATCTGCTGCTTGTGTGCAATTTCTGGTATGAGTGGAGCTTGGGGGGCGGGCCGAACCGGTTCGGGTTCGATTTCGTCCACCGCACCGTCACCGTCTTCGATGAGGGCACTGAGCCCATCAACACGACGACGTGGCCGCAGTGTGGCCGGGCCGTGGCGCGGCTGCTCAGTCTGAAGCACCTCCCGGACGACGAGAACGACCGGGCCCCGACCCTGTCGCGGTTCCGGGACGGCTTGGTGTATGTTTCGAGCTTCAGGCTGACGCAGCGCGAGATGTTCGAGAGCGTCAAGCGCGTCACCAAGACCACCGATGCGGACTGGACGATCCTCCAGGCCTCGTCCCGGGAGCGGTACCAGAAGGGACGGGAGGGGAGGCAGCTGCAGGATTGGAGTCTGTATACCCGCATGCTGTACAGTCGGATGTTCTTCCCGAACGGGGGCGGCGATTATGAGTCCCAGCGGGGGTTGGATAATGAAGCACTTGGTCTACCGGTGGAGGATCTGGACGAGGCCACCGCCGAGGCCATCCGCATGGGCCAGAACAACCAGGTTCCGTTTTCGCACTGAGATGGACTTGACCTGGGCTATTCAAGTTTCCTAGCATTCCTTACGGATGCAAGAAAAAAAAAAGATTACAATTCCCATAATCATCGGCGCATGGAAATACCTCCCCACCAATAGTTCCAGTCCCTATACTCCGTAGAATCGTACTCGCTATTAATTATAGACGCAATAGTAGTATAGTAATAGGTAGGTTCATTCACCTCCCTTCCAACTCCTCCAATTCATCCAGCAGCTGCACCGTCTCCGCCGGTCCGGCAATCCACGCCGTCGTTGACGCCAGGCGCGCCTACACATCCATTGAGGTCAACATCCACCTACACAACCACTGCCAAGAGGAAGGGAAATACCTTGAAATCATTCGCGCCGGCGGACAGAAACTGGTCGCCGACGTGGAGCGTGCGGCTCGGCTCGATGCCCCCGAAGTATTGCTGGCACGCGCGCACACCCCACGACTTGTCGCCGATGTCGACGAAGACGTCGTTGCCGCCTGTCCGAGAAACAAAATTACAACATTAGTAACGTGACATGAGTAACGGGAGTGTGCAGGGTGGATGAGTAAAGGGGTGGTGGATGAGAGAAAAAAAAAAAAGAAAAAAAAAAGGAAAAGGAGGGAATGGAGATACCGTTAAAAGCACAAAAAGGGAGTCGCTCGCCCACCGCGGAGCGCTCGACGGTATTCTGCACGACGAGGACGGTCTCCTCAAGCTGTTCGCGGTGGAGCTTTGCGCGGTCGAGCGGGTAGACGCCGACGGCGCGGTCCTTGCGGAGGACGGCGACGGGGAGGTTGAGGTTTGCGGCGCAGGCGCGCAGGGACGACTCGGCGATGTCGAGGAGGGCGGCGATGTCGGACTGGTTCCAGGCCTTCATTTCGTCGAGGAGCCAGTGGTCGCGGGGGACGGGGGCGAGGCGGTGCGGGGCGTCGGCGTCGAAGCGGAAGAGGTAGTTGCTTTCGCCGCCCATGATGATGAGGTTGGATTTCTGGGTTGGGGTGAGGCTGGTGCTGGCGTGGACGGCGTCGAGCAGGCCGCCCAGCCGCTCGTAGTACTTGGCGGCCTCGGTGTAGCCGGCGGCGGTGACGATGCCGATGCGCACGCCGCGGTGCAGCAGGCGGAGCAGACGCGGGATGGCCGGGTTGTCGGGCGTGAGGCAGGCGCCGTCGTCGTAAAGGGTGACGTCGCCGTCGAAGGTGACGAGGTCGATGCCGCAGCCGGATGATGATGATGGGGAGTCCGGGGATGACCCGGACCCCCGCACGAGGCCCAGCAGCTGCGCTGTGTTGAGCGTGAGGCGGATATCGTTGAAGGAGGGGGCGACGAAGCGGCGGCGGCTGATATAGCGCTTGCGGTCCTGGTAGTTGAAGGCGTCCTCGAGCGGGAGCGGGCTGAAGAACGAGCCCACGGTGGGGACGAGCAGCTTGAGTTTGGATTTGCCAGGGGCGCTGGTGCGCTCATGGTGGACTATCCTATCTCCTTAGAACCCAAAACCTCTACACTTAATTCTTCCAGGAAGGCTAGACGCACTATGATCGGCAATGAGCTTCTCGACGTCACGGAAGATCTCGGCGTAGCGCTGGTGCGTGTCGGCCGCGACGGCGACCAGGTTCTCGCTGTGTTCCTGGTAGACGGCGGTGGGCTGCGAGTGCAGCACGAACGGGACCGCCAGGAGGCCCTGATTCATCCGGTGAGGAGTGTTCTTTGTTCAACAACTCGCTGGCTGGCTGGCTGACTCACTTTGATCCATTCAATCTGGAATCGTCAGTATTAGAGGCTTAGCTATGCTTAGCTTGAAGAGGAACTTACTAACTGATCGCGGCGGTGCGACTACGGAGAAGGGAGTCAACGACATTGTCTGTCCTCTCGACCTGGACCGGACGAGCATACCTTGAGAGCATCTACACAGTAGGTTAGAACTGTAAAGAGATACAAAGAGACTGATACTTGGGAACATACATTCAACGCGATATCTGGTAGTCATGATGATGATTAGTGATGAAAGTAGGAGAGAGAAGAGAGAGAGAGAGATGGAAGAAGAGAAGAGAAGAAGAGACGGTGTTGTTGTTGTTGTTGTTGTTGTTGTTGTTGTTCCCCCGCTTTGGGCTTCACTTCAGGGGCGCCAAGACTGACACGTCTGAGGTTATCCAGTTGATGTACTCCGTCTGTGCCAGTACCACAGGCTAGAAAGAAGAGAGATAAGAGTATCTAGATCAGGATCAAGAAACATCTAGCCCTTCACACAGCCTCCATCTCTGAAGAAGACACAATATGACTCATCCCCAGTCACCTCGCTGCACCGGCCTGATTCGCCAATCCCCCGGAATCAAGCTCGCTCGCCAAACAGGGGCTTAGACGCACTAGACAGAGACGAGTCCCCTAGTCCGATTATCGTCGCCGGTGATTTGCCATGACGCAAACACTCACCCAGAAAGCAGAGGGCGGGATCGTGCTGTAGTGCTGGTCTCGTATTCGGTGGTTGTACAGTCATTATGATGGTTGTCGTCGTCGTCGCGGCAGCCTGAGGCATATGCGCAGCCTATCACTTTGTCGCGGCTGGGAGCGGCATTTGGGGGAAATGAGAGACATATGGCCAGTCATCTCATTGTAGAGTTACATCGAGTCGGAGTCATATGGAATTACTCAGGGTTGTTTGCAGGGGGGGGGGGGATGTCTGGAAATGGTGCCATGCTGGGGATATATATACCGCATAGTTGAAGTAGAGTAGAGATAACAATCGCCACCAACAAACAGACATCATCAAGATGGTGAATACAAACACAAATCCAAGCGCGAACCACTCGAGCCGGAGTTCTAGATCTAGGTCTAGCTCGAGCTCGAGCTCAAATCTGCCCCCATCAGACCCTCCTCCTCCATATACCCCCTCCGAAACTACCACCACCACCACGACAACGACAACCTCAAAACACTCATCCACACCACGCTCATACTCAGCATCAGGCTCAGCATCTTCCACCTACAGCGCCCTCACCCACGGCCTCCAAGTCCCCTCCCGCGCAGACTACTTCACCTCCGGCTTCGTCTACCCGCCCGTCCTCCGCGACTTCGCCATCACACCCACCCACTGGACGCAGTTCACACATGAGCTCGCCACACACGTAAAACTGTCCCGCGGGCAGTGGGTCACAACCGTCGCGAAGGCGCTGGGCGCGCTGGCGCTCGGCGGGACCATGCTGGGCGTGCTGGGGGCCGTGCCCGCAGTGCTGGTGGGGCGCAAGGCGCGCCGGAATCGAGAGGAGATGAATCTGGTTATTGCGGCGGCGGAACCGGTGGCGGAGGTGGAGGTGGAGAGGGATGGGGATGAGGATGTTCTGGGGAAAGGGGAGAGAAAGGCTGGGGCGCTGGCGAGGACGGTGCAGAGGTGGAATGAGACGTTCTTCAGGCCGAGGGGGTTGCGTGTGAGGGTTGAGGTGCCGTGGGAGGGGCTTGAGGAGATGGACGAGATGGAGGTGAGTGGGCGGGAGCGACGGGGGAGAAAGGAGGAGGGTGTCAGGGAGGATGCGGCGAGGAAGGCGAGGATTGTGATTGTGCCGGTGGATTCTTAGTCGTCTGGTATTAAACTAGATCATAATCATATCAAAAGTACTGCATGACAAATGATACTGCCTACACCCTCGTATCCTCCGTATGTGTCGCCGTCGCTCGCGTCTCTTCCGCCACCTGCGCCTTCTCCGACAGCACCAGATCCCGCTGCTCCGCGTCCCGGTTCCCGTACAACCCGATCTTGTACCACGGCAGCTCGAACAGCCGGTCCATGCTCTCCAGCGACCGCCCTGCCGTCTCCGGGATGCTCACCAGCACCCACAGCCCGCCCACGATCGTCACCGCCGCAAAGCACCAGAACGTGCCCTTGGGCGTGATGCCGCCGTCCGCCGTGGCGAGCAGCATGTTCGGCACCGCGCGCGAGTTCCCGTACTGGTTCGCAAAGTGCAGCGTCATCGTGATCGACGTTGCCAGCGCCCGGATCCGCAGCGGGAACAGCTCCGCCGTCAACAGGTACTGCATCGAGTTCCAACCCAGCGCCCACCCGAACCCGGACAGGTAGATCATGGCGATCGCGCCCCGGCTGATCCCCTTCTTCGACGCGGGGAGCACAAAGTCGTCCATGATCCCCATGCTGGGCACGCCCGTCAGGAACCCCGCCACGTAGATCATTGCGATCGCCTGCAGCGTGATCCCGATGAGCAGCGCACGTTTGCGCCCGATCACGTCGACCAGGAACAGAGCGCAGGAGATCGCCGCGACAAGCTTGATGATGCCGAACACCCCCGTGACCAGCAGCGACTCGTTCGAGCCTGTGATTCCCAGCAGCTTGAACAGGTCCGGCGCGTACAGCGTGATCGACCCCGCTCCAGACCACTGAGAGAGGATCTGCGACATAGCCGCAAGGTATATCCGGTACAGGTTCTTGGGGATTAGGAATGTCTCCCGGAGCATGCCGAGCCAGCCCGCGCCCATGGTGGCTTCGAGCTCCGCCTGGTGCGACTGCTCGATGGCTGTGATCTCCTGCAACACGTACTCGTGGTCCTCAGGCAGATGCCGCAAGCGCGCGAGATTGCGTAGCGCCTGTTCGTATTGACCTTTCTTGACCAGGAACCGCGGCGACTCGTACTGGAGGAAGGAGAGGAGGAAGATGAGGCCGGAGAAGATGATGTGGAGACTGGTTGGGACCTCCTGTGCTTTGTCAGTATGAGTCTTCTCCCCGAAGGCAGACGACTAACCCATCGTTTGTGTGTGTTGTCGCCCAGATTGACCTGACAGCCGTAGTTGGTAAAGTACGCGAGGACGATACCCAGATACACGAAGCCCGTGAAGACGCAAGTACACAACCCCCGGATAGACGCGGGTGCCTACGCAATCTATCAGTATACGCACTTGCAACCGCAATGTGACCCTTACAATTTCTGCAAGATACACCGGGCCAACCACAACCGTCTGGCCCACACCCAGCCCTGCAATGAAGCGACCGGCGTAGACCGCACCCAGGTTTCCGTTCGCGCCCATGAAGATGGCGATGCCGACAATCCATAAAACACAGAGCTGCCGGGTGGCCCAAATCCGACCGATGCGATCACAAACCACAAACGCACTAAGCAGTCAGCACTGTACCTGACTAATTGGGCAGGGACTTACAATAGAGCACCTCCGACGGACCCTATCTGCACCATCGCCGACACATTCGCCTTGATGTTCGTCTGTTCGACCGCGCTGTACTCGCTGAAATGAATCGTCCGTTGGAAATCCTTCGAGTTGAAAGCACCCGAGATCAACCCCTCATCCACGCCGCGGGCAGCGCCCATGAGACCAAAGGAAAGTACGGCGAACCATAACCGCCAGTTGAAGACCTCTTTTGGTTCGGGGAGGTTCCTCTGCCGGAAGATATTGATGGGTTTTTTTGCGCCGCCTGCCATATCGTTTGTTACAACCAGGTGAAGTAGATGGAGAGGATGTGCCTGGTAGTGCCAGCCAGAGGGAGGGGGAGACGATCAGCTGGGGTTTATATCCCTTGCATCTGATACTGCCTCGAACGGTGAGGAAGAAAGGCGGGGTCAAAGACAGAAATTAAGACATTGAGCTTGAGGCAAACCTAATTGCATAGCCGACGTCCTGAGGCACGACGAGCATATTCCGGAAGAGAATGAACTGGCTACCGACGCTCACAGGTTGCTCAATGCTGGCAAGCAACTGGTGTCAGGCGACCAAGCCAAGCACTGCATGTGGCTCCTGGTCCAATCAAGGCTTGGTCAAGACTTGGGTGCTGTGGCGTGCAAGCTTATTGCGCATTGACTTAGCATGGTAATCGAAGCCATCTGCTTATGCTTAAACTCTCTCAATGAGTGGATTGATGGAACGACGAGGAGCAGCTGTTGTCATTAGACACAAGCTCTCTCGCAGCATACTCGCATCTTCATCGTCCAAACAGCATCACACTATCCAAATGAGTCGTTTCTCTCTCAACATCTCCTTCCCCGCAAACCATCGGCTGTATCCCGACGCATCCCTGTCATACCACCAGAATTATAACCAAAGTCCGCCAGTCAGGAGCCCTGGATAAATGCCTCCACTATTCACCGACCCCATCTGTGTTGGGGTAGAGTAGCTAGGCCAGATCACGATGCAACTCTTGTCGAATCGAAGCGCCCGGTTTCAGTTGGGTTGCATTTGCATTCGTGTAACGCCGATCAATGTCATCATCGATCGTCGGCCGTTGCGAGGCAGCTTTGACCAGAACACCGCTAAGCAGCACGCCTGGGCAGTAGCCAGGGGGGATGAACGTGGGACTGGAGGGGGCTGCCATTCGGGAACTCCAGATTGGAGCGGAACGGTATCGATCGTAGAGGTCATCGGAGACCCCGAGGAAAAGGAAACGTGGAGGATATCGCTAGCTGGTCCTCCGTAGCGTTAGTGTGACTGTCTCATTTGCTGTCTGTTGTACTCTGTAGTTATGCAGTGATGTTGATGGTCAACGTGGGGGACAACACAGTGTGGCGGAGGGAAATAAGGTGGTGATTAGCAAGCAAGGTTAATCCACTGCCCCCGATTGGTCATATTTGGAAGGCAACAAACCACACTGAGACAACATGGCTGCATCAGAAGGAATACAGTTCGACTGGGACAATATACGGAGACTTCGGAGATGACCAAGTTATATTGATATTGTGGATACCCGTCACTCCATTTAAAACAGAAAGAAGATAAACATATTTCCAAACCCAACCCTCAATCTACACACGCCAGCGGAAAGCAGGGTTGCGCCAGTCAAGGTCCTGGATCTGTCGCTGCGAGAGACCAGCCAGCGCCTGGTCGACATTCACCTTGTCGCGCTTCTTGTTATCCCATACCATCCACGCCCACAGCAGCGCACCCGTGATCATGGTCGTGGCCGCGGTGGCCAGGTTCAGACCGTTGCCGATGTGGTAGTTGGGAGCATCGAATGGTAGGAAGGACCAGGTGGAGATCAGACCACCAACGTTGCCGAACATCACCGCGGTGCCAATGGCTGAGGAGCGCGCCGTGTCCGAGATAACATTGTTCGACACGTGGGCACTGCACAGCGCACCAAAAGCGAAGGCACCGCTGGCAATGAGGAAGGTCGCGCCGTAGCGGACCATGGGGTTGGTGCTGGCCAGGAACATGATGTATCCGATCATCATGAACGGGGCCCCGACCACAAAGAACACCACACGGTTGTCGTAGCGCCAGCTAAGGAAGGGGAACAACACTGTGAAGAACGCGCCCACGACATACGGGGGAACGGTGTGCAGCTGCTGGGAGACTACTGAGTCATGGGGATAGATAGTTCTGACAATGGTGGGCGCGAAGAAGGCAAGACCCTGCACCGTGATGTTGTTCAGGAGGAAGATAAAGGAGGTCACCAGGGTCACCGGGCTCAGGATACCCCGCAGAGTCTTGGCCTTGTCGATCTTGTCTAGCACCTCGGTGGTTCCGACACGCTCGGACTTGACGCGAGCAACGGCGAGGTCCTTCTCTTCCTGCGTGAGCCAGCGCGCGGTCTCGGGACGGTCGGTCAGTGTGAAGAACGAGATCACAGCTAATCCGATGGTGACAATGCCCTCAATCGCAAAGATCATGCGCCAGGTGCGCAGGCCGCCGAAATGATCCAGCTTCAGGATAGCGGACGCAAGCAGACCGCCAAAGGCACCGGCCAGCGGGGCCATGACAATGTAGAGGGACAGGCGGAAGGCTAGCTCACTGCGCCGGTACCAGCGAGACAGATAATAGGCGATGCCTGGCAGCATGCCTGCCTCGAAGATTCCCAGCACGAATCGGACGCCAGACGCGGCGCGGATGTCGTGGACAAAGGCCGTGCCGAGCGAGGAAATGCCAAAGCCCAGGGTCATCACGGGCAGGAACCAGCCGGGGCCAATCCATTTGCAGGCAATGTTGCTAGGGATTTCGAACAAGATGTAGGAGATGTAGAAGATAGACAGGAGAGCATTGTAGTCGTTGCCCTTGAGTCCAAGGTCTTTTTCGAATCCGGCGAGCTTGGCATTACCTGCGACGAGGAAATCTCAGTCAGCACTGGGCTGTATCCTGCAATCAACTGCATCGAGTATATCAACGTACCGATGTTGGCTCTGTCGATAAAACAAAAGAGATAGAGCAAGGCAACAGTGGGCACGATGTAGAGGTCAATCTTCAACCGCAGTCGTCTTTCCGCGGCACGATCAAACTCTACCAGGGCGTGACCATATTGGTCAGTCGCAAGTTGACCTCGGCTGGCAGCATCATGGGCTGTCTCATGAGCAAAGTGTTCTCGGTGATCCGCGGCACCCTTTTCGTCCGCCATCAGGGTGTTTTGTGGTGAAAAAGGCGTGACTTACCAAAATCCTGCGAGGGTTGATCACCTTCGTCCAGAGCAAAGCCCCCAGAACCCATGCGTGAAGGACGATTTATAGGTCCAGCTTTCGTCGGATAGGAGAATAAAGTCGGATCTGCCGAATCTCACAAACGGAACTGATAATCGGATATGCGTGGGGACCGCCTATGGAACCTGGGGTCGCCTAGATTAGAAACTGTGGGGTAGTGGTGACAGTGACAGTTGCTTCTGGGTACCTGAGCTTTCTTGAAGGCCAGTAATTGTCACTCTAGAGGAGCCTAACCAGAGTCGTGGCACAGCTTTGCGGTAGTCATAACACGGCAGATGCAGGCGTGGGACAGGTTAACAGAACTCAAAAGTCTTTTTTTTTTCCCCCCGAGGCATTCAACCTGAGACAGTAGGGCAAAAACGCTGAGTCAAGCCGCCAGGTTAGAGCCATGCTGCATGCATCTCATCTTCCCTATCAGTGAAAGCATTTATCAGTGATTGCTTGGCACAACCAATTTTGCAAATTGCCTAGTCCGAATTAGACTTTGAAGCTATTCCTCTCTTCGCCCGTCGGTACAAAGTCAAAACGAAGGCCTTGGCGTGTGTCAAGGTCTACGGGAAGCGACCATCGTCGTGATAAGGATTAGAACTGCAAACAGTCAGCCCTTTGTCATCAAAACGAAGGCATATCATCAGTGTGCTAATCATCTCAGTTGCAGCCTCTTCATCTGAGACGGTGTCTGCAGAGAAGATAGAAGAGATAAGGGAGGAAGGAGGGAGGCAGGAAAGAGGAATACTCCTGACAGCCTACTTACAGACTGGTGCTGATTTGTGGCGCTGTGCCAAATACTGTGCGCCTTGACTGGCCACTTCGAGACTGGGCCGGTATCATTCATGTGGCCAGTATGCAACTTGCAAAGACTCCAAGCCACCGAAGTTAGCTTCTTCTAACTTCTCCCCGCGTTTTATCCATTCCACTTCCACAATCACGGGAGTTCAGCTATGATGACCAATGGCAATATTGTGTGCAAAATATTACGAAATCAATACTGTGGGACTTGGCATGAGGGTCAAATAACCGATGGTATTCGAAGACCCACGGTTTCCCACCAGTCGGTTAGATTCACCGATGTTGACACTTGACAGCTTCCCTGGCTGAAGGGTTGGGGTGAAGGAACTTGAAGGTTGCTGGTGATGAAGAAGAAGAAGAGAAGGTTGACTCGAGTCTCGACCCGCCCAATGCACGTGATAGCTGCGCCTTCACTCTCCAGTCTCCATACGCGTAGGCCAAAACAAATACTCGAGTATAATAATGCATACTTGGTTGTCTGCTCTAACTGGGGAGAAAGGGAAAAGACAGCCATTTAGGGTTCTAGGATCCTCCTACATCTTGTCATGTCTTGCTTTTCGCTTAGCCTTACAAACATGAGCGAATGATTCAGGGGAGAAGTATAACCTTCCTACCACCCTCAAACCTTAGCCTGTTTCCTGGTCTCTTACTGACGCTTGTTGCGACTCAGCAGGCTTCCGTTCCACTGGAACAGCATCTACCGAGCTGTGCTTTATGGAGTGCTCCATACCATGGAGTTCTGCCTTGTAGAGCTTGATCCTTCTGGCTTCCAGGCGACGACAAGAGATCCCTGCGTCCCTTGGCAACCCATCAGGTCGATGTCACGGTTTTGCCGCTGGGCTAGAAAAGCCTTGGAACGCTAATAACCACTCTCCCATTTGACCGTATCTCTGCATTATCATCGGATAATGGGGTCGGTTCTCGGAATTTGGCCGCAGTTACTCCAATTTCAATGGTGTGGCGAGGGCTTAAGGGTGCAACAGACTTCACTCTGTTCCCTCCTCGTCAATGATAATACCTCTTGACTACAGCTAATAACCTGGGTCTTGAAATCTAGGCGTCCTTGGCTCGAATAGCGTCGAAATAGTATCAGTGACATTTCCCCCCCGTCTTTCAAGGACTCCGTTCAGTAACGCCCATTGGGAGTCTAATATTCGAGTATTGAGCTGCCCCGGCGGGCAAGCAGGCTTTCCTTATGGTTTCCCTTCACAAAGGACGTACCAACATACAGACAGCAGCTCGCAGTCTCGAGAACACGAACAAAGAAGTTGAGTACATCGCAATTTGGCCATTCACAGGCCAAAGGGGCTGTCTGTGCTGATAGTCTCGATGGCTCCCTTCCTGAAATATCCCCAATCAGCATTTCAACTGTGAGAATACCTGGCTTGTAGACACCGTGACGATATCTCCGTGGTTTGTCATTATTGCAGGAGTTCCTCGTAGGCGGAAAGGCCGGAATTACGGATGACTCACGTGACGTAATTCCGAAGTTCTCCCCGGTGCATCAAGGCAGGCACAAACTTATCACAAGCCTGGCATTGGTGTATGCCGGACAACTAACATCCGAATGTCAGAACGATCTGAGTCTCATCAGCCTTCTGGTTGGCGAATCCCTAAGGCCTGTCAGGAGTGCAGAAAAAGAAAGATCAAGTGCAATGGGATCAACCCCTGCAAGACTTGTCAACTGCGGAATACACCATGTGTCTACCGCGATGTAGTGCGACAGCGTAAGAAGAAGCATCACGACAGACATGATGCTTCCATTGTCGAAGATCATGTCCTTCAGGATGCTACGCACTCTGATCACGGTGGACGGCAGTCATCTCCGGTTCGTCCCCAGTCTGGCGGTCACCGCAACCAGTCCGCCAGCTATACCTTTAACAACAGTGTTTCAGCCACACACATGGCGTCTCCATCGTGCCAAGTCCAGTTATATTATGGGCCAACGTCTCACTTTACACTCATGCACGAGATGTATCGGGGGCTTGTGTCGAACTGGGCCGCCCGTCCGAAGGAACCGCAAGGTGAAGTCGAAGAAGCCGGTGCTGGACTGGATATGTTTAGTTTCCGCAGCATCTTCTTTGGAACGCCTGCCGAAACATGTGCCACCAGTCCGATCTCTGGTGCTTCAGCAGCGTCCCTGATGTTCTTGCCGTACGAGCTGGCTAGACTATTCTTGCAGCGTTTTTTGTCTTCCCTCTATGCTTTAGTTCCCTTTCAACCCAAACAAAGCTATGAGCAGCAGTTGGATCAGCTATATAGCTCATCCTTCAATGCGGGGTCTGATACTTGTGCTCATTACATTCTATTAATGATCCTGGCCACGGGCGCGCTGGGTACGCGGCATTATCGCTGGGGCGATCTGCTGTTCGAGCGTGTCAAGGCAGCTTCTTCCTCCTTGGACGATGTCGTGAACCTCGAGACCGTACAGTTGTTGCTAATAATGATAAGTACTTTCCTGGGCATGACAGGATGACAGTGTACCTAACTATTCCAGCACGCCCATTACCAGACCGAGCAAGGTCGACCGAATTCCTCTTTTCTTCACCTGGGAACGGCGGCAAGAAAAGCCATCTCTGCTGGGTTGCATAAAGAGTCGCCCACTGAAGGAAAAGGGGATCCGGAAGGAGTTGAAAGAAGGCGTGTAGTCTTCTGGTCCCTATACTTTTATGAAACGTCCGTCCTTTGTGCTCGACTTGTCGAACTGGTTTGCTAACAGGCAATAGCTGGATTTGCTTTCACCTCGGTCGACCAAGCTCGTTGTTTGCTACTGATGCTGGGATTGCTCCTCCGCAGGATCCATTTATTCTTGTGCTCATCCATCTGTCAAAGGTCATGTCACGATCGGCAAATGAAATATACGGCCGACCGCACGATTCGTTGCTGCAGATGTGGAGGATCGCGCGGTCCATCTCGGATGATCTGCGCTGTTACGATTCCAAGATGCAACAGGCCCTTGGCTTTGGCCTGGATAGGTGTGCGCAGCCAGGCGATGTCGGGGTCCGTCAAGCGATCTTAGTAACGCGTAAGTAGCCTTTATTGGCATGACTGGACAGGCCCAACTAAGAGGCTAGTTTACTATCACACGATCCTCCTGACCTTCCGGCCATTTCTGATATTTCGCGGGCGATGGCGACGCGACATGCAAATGTCAACTCCTCAAGCTGGAAGCAGCACGGCGAAACGCCCCACAGAGATGCCAACTTGGCTTAACGAGGCCTGTGAGCATGCGATCAATGCTGCGTGCCGGACTCTACACCATTTGTGCGAAGCAGCTATCGTCAATGAACTGGTTCGGGTGGGTGTCGTCATCCGCCAACAGCTGCTTCACGGCTTCTCGCTTACCAATTTCTAGGAACTGCGGTACCATGGTTTCTTTCTCACAAGCGCCTGCTTTGCACTCATGTACGACTTTATGTACAACGATGAATTTGCCGCTCGACACCTCCCCTGGGTCCATGTCGGTCTTCAGTGCCTCGGGGCTATGCGACCAGACGATCCAATCACAAGCTCAATTTCAGCTATACAGACAGTTTTGCGGAAACTACATCCGTCCTATGAATGGACGCCCGCTAGCGGGACTAGCAATCAATCTCATGACCCGGAGTTTGGATCCCCATCATCCGCGCGCCCCTATTTGACTAGCATGGGCCCGGACCACATGAATGCACCCCGTGAAGTGTTGCCTCATGAAGGCTGGATGGGAGGTATCCTTCCGGCATTGCCTAACATGCAAGGCTATCCGCTCCAGAGCGACATTCCCGAGGCCGCTGCCAGTGCGGGAAGCAGCGAGGACCTGCCTGACTTTACGCTGTCGGACATGGGCTGGGACTTTAATTTTTCTACGATGGACCTGGAGGCATTCTTCTCCATTCAACCAGATGTCAATCCTTCCCACGCAGTGTAGTACGACGGCGTGGGACGATTTGTAGCCGGAGTATTCTTGGATGGGACATTTCCTACCCACCAGCCTGAGAGCAAGAATGATCCTGCTGCTTCGTATTCATTTCTAATAATGAAAACACCCCCTTTCCTAGGCCACATCTGGAGCTCGATGATGAATGATCCATCACTGCGACACAATCAACAAGGACAACATTTAAGCCTAGCTCTACATAGAGCCTAGGAAACTCCACAAACGGAGCTGATGGCAGCTTACAAACACCTTGGCTTTGGAATCATTTTAAAGAATCCATTATATCGATGTAAATGCTAGATCCTTGGGTCGACAGTAGAAGGGCGCAATTGGAATTCCCGTCTCCGAACTATATACTCCTATCGCGGTCCAGACTTCCCGTGAAGTCATACATTATATAATCATACAACTTCCCGGTGAGTCGATGAATCTGATTTTCATTTGGTTTTGATATGGGAAAGTTAAGTTACTGTTATGTGACTATTTGGCTAGGCTGCTGCCAAATCGGCTGCGTAGCGGTTCCGCCGCGACTTCTCCGCTCAACCACGTTGATGCTGACTATATGTGTAGTTTGGTGATCACTACTGCTCAGCTCTGATGGCCCTGAGATAGGCCTTGCGACTGGCTTCGGGCTGTAGACTGTAGATATTGGGGGTATTGGGTAGGCCAGTGACTAGTGAAACACGAGTTCTCGAGAGTCCATATACCACACAGCCTGCCTAATAGCTTGCAGCGCCTCATTACTATCGCTTTACCTATTGTCCTCCAGTGATGATCTGTTGGAAATGATAGAGAATCAGTCGGCTTATCTTTCGGCAGCAAAAGTCACGCATAAAATGGACTGTGTTTCGCCTGTGACTTTCCGCATGCGGACGCCCCGGAGAGACTTTTCCGCGCTCACCCACACTTTGGACGGGCTCATACTTGGGTCATTTCCTCTCCCCCGGTTCAACTCGATCATCACTTCCAGTCATGCATTTCGGATTTCTTCACCGTGCATTGATGTTTCTTCGCCAACAGGGAGGGAAAGCTGCCTGGATATGGCCATCTATGTCCTTCAATATGAATATATCCTGAGGCAGCGTGTCGGAGCCAAGTTCCCGACTTTCGGCCGGGAGTTCATCAGGGTGGCATCGGGGCAGTTCTCACAAGAAGGGAAGATCACCGATAATGAGCCGTGGATGGAGGAGATTGGAGACCCAGTGCCAGCGATCGGCCGGGCTCAGCCGAGCACAGCACAGGCTGGTTGAACGAGAGGAGACGCTCTCATAGGCTAGAATTCGGGGGTTGAGCTCCCTTTCCATGGGATCTTGTTTTCATAACACACCTTAATCATGGCCTAGACAATTGTGGGAGAAGTTCCATCCCCACGGCTCGAGTCCAGCCTGGAGTTCGACATGCAACGTGGTGCGATTTACTTAAGAATACCACTTTCCCCTGCCTTCGGCCTGTGCACAAACGGGTTGTCGTCGTTTCTAGGTATGGTAAGCGAACACGATCATGGCACTGTCGGAGTCTGCAGTGTACTATCTTCCATCCTCGCGCTCTGCTGAGGAAGGGATATCTCTTGAGTCAGTCGAGTAAGTTCGCTGTAGTCTGGGTGATATTCCCTTGCTAATCAGAATGTTACATTATATAGTCCTTGTATGCCGGACAGACTTTGCGAGCGTCCTGCACTCAACACGGTTGATAAGCCACAGTACCCCGTCCTTGATAAACCACCCTCGCATCCCTGCTTAACAGCCTTGGCCCAACTGGGAGCTTATCGATTCGGGTGTAGTCGGTCGTGCGTGATTCTCTTCGACGGGGATGAACCGAATGTCATTGCGGATGCTACACCGGCGCTTTTCTTGAATGAACATGGGAAAGATGATCTGGACAGCCAGCTGCTACAGAGAGTCGCTTCATGGAATCTACAGCTACAGAGGGATAGATCGGCCGTTGGTGGTAAATCCAGGAACAAACGAAACAGGTGCCAGGTTATCCGTGACCTCGCCCCCAATGACCATGAACGCGATTCCCCGTTTCAGTTCTTCGCCACCACATCCCTCTCAAGTCCGAGAAGAGGCATTACCGGGGCATACTGCATAGTGGACACGAAGCCGCATCCCACATTTGGCAAAGACGAGGTAGCGAGCATGCAGGAGATTGCGGACCTCATTGATACCCATATGAAGGATTTCACAGCGAGAGAAGCTCGTCAGAAGTCCCAACAGCTGGTCGAAGGACTGATGACCTTTGTCGGTGGTCAAACTGAGGTTGAAAATGAAGAGAAACTTGATGGAGCCAAAGGACGCGAGTCACGCATCCCTAGTACAAGTGACATCTCGATCCCGGACAGCGTTTGCAATGGTGGTGGCTCCGTCCCGACAACGCCGTGTCGGGTCTCCGACGCTGCTCCATTGGAGTCAATACCAACTACACCTTCGGAACAGGCCTCCAGACTCTTTGAAAGAAGAAACTCCGTGACAGTCACCGAGGCGAGTACCGTGTCTCAGTCAATGTCCCTCCTGTTCTCCCGTGCCAGCGCCCTGCTTCGTAAATGCATGGACCTAGATGGCGTCCTTTTTTTGGATGTAGCTCGGAGTAATTGTCGCGCGTATGTATCTCACCCTTCTACGCTCCATGATATGGTCAAAGCTAAGATCAGTAGCTCCCGCTCCGGTAGCATCAGTGATATCGAACTTCTTTCCAGGGACGATAGCTCCAACTTAAGTTCTCCAGGGTATTCCACAGCCGGACCTGGGCGGGAGCGAGAATGCGAGCCTTTTGCGTACAACCTGTCCTCGGTCGCTGAGACCAGCCGTTGCTCATCACGGTACACTCTAACGGCGACCTTGCTGCATGATTTATGCAAAGCATTTCCGAAAGGCGCCATCTTCAACTCCGACCTCTTCAGTGAATGTGCCAATCAGAAATGCGATCACAAAACCGAGAAGGAAGGCTCTTCCCGTCATAGTCTTCCTCTGCGTCTTGTAAACGAGCTTCCCGAAGCGAAATCATTGGTGTTCCTGCCGTTGTGGAACTGGAACACCTCCAGTTGGTTGGCCGGCACTATTCTCTGGACCGAAGATGGCCAGCGACACTTTCATGACAACGATTTGTGTTACTTGAGGGCTTTCGGCCACTCAATAATAGCCGAAGTGGCGCACACGGACTGGCATGCCACGGAAAAGTCCAAGTCGGATCTCCTGTCTTCTGTGAGTCATGAGCTGAGATCGCCGCTACATGGCATGCTCGCCAGCGTCGAGCTGCTGCATTGCACCGAGCTCCAAGCTCCGCAGCAAGACATGCTTACTATGATTGAGACGTGTGGTCTGACGTTACTGGATACGGTGAATTATTTGTGAGTCTGCAGCCCGATTCTAAGAGTTCTTCAAATTTACTAATACTTGTGCAGGCTTGACTTTGCAAAAATCAACAATTTGACCAGTCCAGATGCTCAGAAGGGGGTTGCCGAAACAAGTCTCAACGACCTACACTGCGAATTCAACCTGGATACCCTGGTCGAGGATGTAGTGGATACCTTGTATGCAGGCCATCGGTCGCACATAAACGCGTCTCAGATCGCCGGCCGCTACCTCCCCTCCGGCCCAGCGGTCGGCACCAGGTCGACGAAAGAGGCAAAGGGTGTAACAACCCCGGATGGTCTATCCGTTATTGTTCGGTTCGGTCAGGAGGGCTGGCGAGTCCAGTCCATCCCCGGCGGATGGCGCAGGATTGTGATGAATCTGCTCGGCAACGCGTTCAAATTCACCATGTCCGGGTTTATTGAGGTGACTTTGGATAAGAAGGTGGAACGAGGAGCGGGCTGCACCCGCGTTCTCGCGCATTTGACCATCACAGATACCGGCTCGGGGATCTCTCCGGAATATCTCGATCACAAGTTATACACGCCTTTCACCCAGGAGAACATGCTGACCGAAGGCGTCGGGCTGGGTCTCAGTATTGTCCATCGTCTGGTGGCACAGGCCGGTGGTCTGATTGATGTAAAGAGCACCGTCGGCATCGGAACCCAGGTCGACGTGTATATCCCTGTGGAGTTTGTGGATGCGTCGCCCACCAACGGTATCTCTAAGCCTTGCGAGTTGAGCAACAGCTCACGGGCTCGTGTCAGCCTGGTCGGCCTCAATGTATATCCCGAAGTCAGGAACGGCCGCCGGCTGAGCGTTGAGACGAAACGAAAGCTCTCCGTCCGCGGCGCTATGAGCAACGCGGTCCTGAATCAACCCGGTTGGACTGTTGCATTTGCCAATTCCCTGGTCGATGCGAGCGGTGACATTGCTGTGATCGAGGAGAGCAGTCTAGCGGACATGACCAAGCTGGGCCCGATCAGCCCCAAAGTGAAGGCTCTCATTGTCCTGGGGTCCCATGGTATCTCATCGTCAGACGACGTGGTTGTAAAGGGCGTGGAGGTGATCTATATTCCTCAACCGTAAGTGACTCTATCATGCTGATGGAGCCAAGGACTAACCAGGATAGGCTCACCCCCCGAAAACTTGTGGAGACATTGGATACAATATCGAGCACACAACGAAAGCCCCTAAAATCCGAAGAGCCTGTCACCGGCGGCCATCCGCCTCGTGAACGCAGCTTATCAGAAGCCTTTGCTTTGTCAAAGCAGGGGGTGTCACCGCCGGTCGTTAAGGAGACTGTCGAGGAGTTTCGCGCGTCGACACCCAAGTCCCCAACAACAAATGGCCTCCACGTTCTCATTGTGGATGACAACGACATCAACCTTAAGATCATGGCGACCTTCATGCGCCGGATCGGGTGTAGCTACGAGACCGCTATCAATGGACTGGACGCGCTGGAAAAATACCAAAAGACCCCGCGGCCGTTCAACTACGTTCTTATGGACATATCCATGCCGGTCATGGATGGTATCAGCGCCACAAACAAGATTCGAGAGCACGAGGAGGAACAGTCGCTTCCACGGTCGGCTATCATGGCGATTACAGGGGTGGCCTCGACTGGAATGCAGCAGCAGGCATTCGCTGCCGGTATTGATGACTATCTGGTGAAGCCACTTTCGCTGCATGATCTGAAACGCGTGATGAATATTGAGTGAGGGATCGTCATATTCACATCCAAACAAAAACCATATTTCACCCTGTCCGCCGCATCCACCAATTAACAGCTATGACTTCCCTCCTGCGCTGGCTCCTTACACCCACCCGAACATAGCTTGGCGTGTCCGACATCCCCGGGATTCTTGCAGTGGAACAGCACGTTGTTCAAATCCCCGGCTTCCAGGCCTTCGGTCTTGAGAACCACATTGAGATCCGACTCGGAGAAGCCTATTTTGTCAGCGTCGGTCTGCAATCAGAAGAAGTGTGGATATACCCTTCGACTTGACGAGTGTAGTAGCACAGTAGTCGAAACTAGGGGTGCATGTTTTCGCCGCGAGGGCGGTGGTGATGGCCGCGAGGAAGAGGATGGATTTCATCATGTTCGCCAGTCTGCGACGTGGCTGACGGGAAGGAGAGAGAATTACTCACCAGGGACGGGTATTTATACCTGAGATCTCGGTGGAATGTCGATTTGATGCAGGAATGGTGACGATACGCTGGAATGGAATGTTGCAGACGTGGCTCTCCGTCTCCGCATTATTTCGGCCTGTCACCAACTGAGCAAACAAGCTGGAGTCTGGTTCGGCCAGGATTGATGAGAAGTGTTCTTCGGAGACAGTCTTGCATGCTGTACTACGCTGTAGCGGTATTAATGTCGGGTCAAAAATAACATAGTATAGATAGAGATAAAGATAAAGATTAATACAAATACAACTACAACTACATCAGTGAAGCACATCTGCAACCATGCCTATTAATGATACAGTAGTCACCTCTGTAGAGACTGTAGTTTTCTATCTATTATTAACAAACACCATGTTTCCCTACCACCAAGGCCGGATCTTCATTCGCGATTCAAGCCCCAGCAGCTTCAAGAATGTACCGCCCGGTCTGTCTATCAACTCACATGGCCGTCCTGCTTCGATGACTCGTCCATTATTCAAGACAACCCCCCCGATCAAAGTCAAGTAGAGTTGTAGGTTCTATGCGCCACCATAATGACAGTCCAATCGCGGAATGATTGCCGTATGACAGTCTGTACCTTGCTGTCTGTGTCCGCGTCCAGACAATAGCATCTTATTATAATCTGATAATATGTACAAATTAGCAATCAATGAAAGGCTGATGCGCAACGTACCTGCTCATTGGCCCATTCAGGAGCAAAAACTTACTCTCCTTCAGCAGCGCCCTTGCCAGACCAAACAGTTGCTTCTGGCCCTGTGACAAAGCATTCTCATTCAGCTTTGCATTGAGTACCACTCCCTCGTTGCCATCGTCTTTCTCTGTGAACATCATGATTATAGCACATTCATCTTGCTTCATGATAAGATGATTAAACGGAAAAGTGCCAGTATACAGGCATAGCAAGATTAATCTGCACCTTACAGGATTACCTATCGCCATTACAACAGATACTGCTAAACAGCCTACATAGCGAGCGAGGAGTATCAAAAGGCCTAGACCTTAGCTAAGTAGGAGAAAATACCAAGGTTCTTTTCTTAGTAAGCTACTACGACAGACGCTGATCAATGCTGTAGATTCTCATCCTCCACTTGGCTAGACTTTTGATCTTGGTTGGTACGAGGTATCTGTGGTGCCTGGTGACTGTGGTCAGTGGTGACTGGTGAGTATGGAGCACTCCGTCTAAATGATGCTTAAATTGCTCACATCCTCGACACAAGATGGATAGGATAGAAATGGTGAGAGATGCAGCGAATGAACTACGGCCATGCAGTGTTTTGTTTCCCCATAGAAAAGTTTATTCGAGCGTCTTGGCTTCCTTTTCGAGGTTAGTAGCTCTATACTTCTAGACCCGTTCTATATCCCTTCAAGGCGTTCTTCGCTGGGGTAGGACATCCGTGTGGACTATATATGAATGTAGATCCCCTACTCCATATCCTCTACAAATGGATCTTTCCCCTCAATTATAACCTCTTCTGAGGTAAGAAAGGCTTTTTTCGGCTGAGGGGGCCTCAGCCAGTGTCGCGGCCGAAATACAACTTTCAACTCGCAACCATATGCACGCCATGAACCCATACAGAGTGCATCTGACATCTCCAAAGACCTATTGTACATTCTTGGGTGATTGTGGAAACATTTCCAACGAACCGATATGTGGATCCGTGGCAGTCACTATTCCTACATCCCATGTCGACTCCTCGGAGTATGCCGCGATTACAGTCCAACTGACACGCCATGTGGTACTGAGACGTTGCCGTTCTGCGAAGACTCGTCGGCGTGATAGTGGTCTGTTTCAGATTTTGCACAAACGCCGTTCAATCCAGGAGCAACCCAGCCCGACCTGGGAGACGATCTCGGGTGACAATGCTGAGACATTGATGCAATGTCACCTGTGGCAGACGCCAGACCATGTCCAGCATCCGCGTCACCCGGACGAAGCAGTCTTGAAGTTCAACTTTGCAGTCCCCGTTGACCACCTGACACTGGCGACAACAGAGACGCCGATGGGAGTCATTTCATATACGATCACGGCGACTGCGAGGTTCCCATGCGGGATGACAATGACAACCACGAAACCGATCGAGATGCTCCGTCGTATGATTCCGGGTTTTCGTCCAACGTTCCACCATTTCCGCTATTTCCCTGGTGAACAAGTTACAATGGGACTAGACGTCACCCCAGAAGAGCCAGTGGCAGCCGGTACGGAAGCTTCATTTACTGCCCGGCTAGCAGCGTACAAGACTATCACGCCAGGCCCACGAGCCACAGAGATGAGACACGTTGTGATCGAGGAGCTCCGGTGGTGGGTTCAAGAAACCGTTGGAGTTTTGACAGTGTCCGGCATGTGTGGTGCCCAGGATGTGATCCGTGAGAAGGAGCAATCCGTGCGCCGATTGTGTGAGGGAAGGCAGAGCGGCCGCTGGAGCGCAACCGGGGGTCAACGCAAGACAGAAACCACGAGCGACATAATCAAGGTCGATTTCGATATCGTCATCCCAGTCACTGCCAATATGGCAGAAGAGCTGGACATGGCAGCGTATAATATCGATGCCAAACAGTCACCTCGACACCAACCCTCTTGCGAACACTGCTCTAGAGCGGCCATGAATGTTGAGAAGCCTGCAATCATTGTGAATCACCAACTGGGCATTGAAATCATCGCAAGTGAGGACACAATTGACCAGGTCACTGGAAGTCTTGTTGATCGAAAACCTTGGCGGAAAGCCTTTCGCGCTTTGATTCAGCTTCCAATACATGGATTTGCCTCTCCTCAGGAGGTTCCTGCTGCCATCTTCCAAGGTAGCGAGATGCCTCCATTGTATGACAACACATTGCAGCCTCCTGAGTATGGATTCATATAGCCGACTTTCATCTAAGCGTTTAATACATGTGAGCATAGTTTGGTGTTTCAATAGTTAATAATCCCCGAAAGAATCAAACTGGTCTCTTGAGACGAGTGGATGTCATGTCGGGCAGCTGCGTATGTTTGCCGGCACAACAGTGATCAGTACATTATTAGTATCAATTCGATTAGGCTCTGCTCGTCGTCAAAGTCATCATCATATCTCACATTACGTCGTCAAGGACCAGCCAGAAATAAGCCCAATTCTAATGTTGTTGCCGTCTTGCACAAAGTGGTCACCTGATGTAGCCAAGCGAACTTTTTCCCACGATCCAGTTGCGTTCCGCCGTTCTTCTTTAATCACTTTGTCTACTCACTGGATTCTCGGCACTGATGATTCCACCCTCTCTGATCACTAGATGCGCGCCCCTTACTTGCCTCCGAAAGCTGCAAAGAAAGGTGACCAACTCCCTGACATGAACTGACTGTACACATTCTCATCACATCGGCTGGATAGACTGCCAGAAATGCAAATCCCGCCGCATCTCTTGCGATCGGACCCTTCCAAGGTGTCGTAAATGCATCTCAAGGGATTTTGATTGTCCAGGATATGGAGTTCATCTCCGATGGGACCAAGGAGTGGCCAGTAGAGGCCAGCTGAGCAGCCGGCAGATACCAATTCTAAGCGATTCCCAAATGTCCAAGGAATCAAAGCGTCGTCAAGAGAACGATTATCTACAGGACTTCCAGTCAGGCATCTTACAGAATGTCAGCTCAGAACCATCATTGGACGTTCTGTCATTCAATTTGCTCGGTCACTTTGACCAAAGCGTCGCAATGAAACTGGCATGGATCGATGGTCCCGAAAACCCATGGAGGAACGTCATTTATCGCTGGAATCCTCGGCGGTACTAGACTCTGTACTGGCTCTGGCGTCAGAAGATCTCGCCTATAAGTTCCCCATGGATCATCCTTGGGTCTACAGACTGCGGGCAATGTCTGCAGTTCACCGGGACGCAGCCTTATCCCGCTTGTCCACAGACATCGCCCTTTTGATGCAGACTCCAGATCCAAAATCCTGCACGAATGACGCGAGATATGTCCTGGCGTCGGTGCTCATCCTTTACAACCTTGAGCTACTGACGGCGGCAGCCGCAAGATGGCGAATACACATCCGATGCGCTCGAGAAATCATTCAATGGAGGATCCAAGCAAGGAGTTGCCCTGACGCGACTAATATAGTCGATGCCTTTCTTCTTTACGAATACTACTACACCTCGGTGTTCATCAATCTAACCACATTTGACGCTACGGATGAAATACCGGATTATGTCTCCATGGGCAATGCGGCCACTGTCTTCAGCGACTTCATTCAAATAATGCATTTGATAACCCAAGCGGAACGGGCCAAGTCCACCAGTACCTCAACCTCCGATCTCATTTCACTTGAGGGCATAAGGATAAAGACCGAGGCAGCGAGAGACAAAATGATTCGTCTTGGTCGAACATTCGAGTTCAAATCAACCGAGGCTTGGCGTGACTTTGAATGGTTGGTATTGATGTACTACCACGCCACTCTAATCTATAGCCATCAAGTTCTTTCAGAGAGCAGCCTCTCGGAAGAACACATAAAGTCATCGCAGAAAGCCATCCTGGACCATCTCTTGCACCTTTCACGGAGTGCATCTGTAGCGCATGATCTCGTGTGGCCATTGTTCATAGCAGGTTCAGAATGCAGACACATCCCACACATGCAGACGATCATTGAATCTGCGATGGTCAATATAATCCAAGCCAGCGGTAGCCTGGATCGGCGCCGTGTTCTGCTATTCCTCCAGAATTTCTGGTCATCGGACCTCGAGCCTCACACCACTTGGATACAGTATGCACGGGCAAAATCCATCAACTTCAGTTTCCTGGTCATACTATGAGCGTTGCCCTCGTCCCAGTCTGCATGATCAGAAAGCCGTTGTCCGATACATCGTCTAGGCAATTCCAAAATACAGCTGAGCTGGTGAAACACAATCCTGGCGAATATCCCTCAATTCGGGGAATATATCCTTCGTGGTCGGAGTCAAGCCCGTTGATATTAAGAGCCTTCGACAGGAAGCTGGCAGCATAATCGCATCAGCGCCGAGCAACGTTGACTTTGATTATGGTAATGGATGCACGGGCATTTACCGCAGTACTAAATGCGAAATGCCAGTCGACCTTGACCGAACCATGTATCATGCAACTGGCAAGCGAGGCTCATCAACAGAAAAAGGAGCTGGATATTTTCCACCTTTGAAAGACTGCATCCAGGGACCAATGACCGCCAGCGGAGAGTTGCACCTATGAACTGGATTACATCAAGCGGTAACCTTGACGACCATGATTCTGACCGCGGCTACACCAGTAAAACGAGTCAATCATTATCATTTCTATCTGAACAAGAGACAAACAAATCTATATTTACAATGCAGAAATCTGCAAATACACTGCGAGCAAACAATAGAGGAAACCACCATCCTTCCATGACCTCGGGCATTATATGATGGAGTAGATGGGGAAGTTACAGCTTGCTGGAGACGAAGTACGGCACGTTCTTCGACTCGTACAGATCCTTGTACTCGGATTTGATGATGTCGGCGCACTAGCACATGGGTTAGCCTGTTCTCATTGCATCCAACAGTCAGTCGCGGCTCACCTTCTCGCCAATCATGTAGACCGAGTTCTGGATCCGGCAGTCCGGAATCACAGGGATGACGGACGCATCTGCAATCCGGAGGTTGCGCACGCCGTGGACGCGCAGCTTCGAGTCGACGACACCCTGGTGGATGCTCTTGGAAAGCCGGGCGGTACCGCAGGGGTCTGTGTCACCATTAGTATCGTTGCGAGTCCTTTCGGGGAAGTGTGTACTTACGGAATCCAGTCTGGCTCCGCTCCAGAATCGCCTTGTCCAGCAGCTCGTCGGACTGCAGCGGCATCTTCCACGGGTACTCGGCGACCACGATATCCTTGAAGCCGGCGCCGGTGGTCAGGACATCATAGGTCCAGCGCACACCCTCGCGCATGGCCAGGATGTCCAGGTCGCTGCCGAAGAAGTTGAGGTTGATGTTGGGCTGGACGAGGGGACTGGCGCTGTTGAGCGTCACCTCGCCCTCGGAGAGGGGCCGGAGCAGATCGACGATGACGGTCATGTAGCTGCCGCGCTCAGGCATGGGGAAGTGCCACTGGAAGGCGGTGCTGAAGAGGCCGACGAAGTCGAGCTCGAAGTGCGGCTGGCCCGCGGGGCCGAAGGGGTCGAGCCCACCGTTGGCGGCCTTGGCCTCGCGGTAGACGGGGTATTTCTCGAGGCGCTCGTCGATGCGGGGGAAGCCGACCAGCTCGAGGAAGGCGGAGCTGACGGGGCCGGTCTTGTCGCGCTGGTAGGCGGCCAGGGCCTTGTCGTTGAGGGGGCCGGGGCGGAGGACGTGGTCGTCCAGGCTGTAGCCGTCCTTGACCTCGAGCACGAACGGCATGATGGGGTGGTCGAGGAGATGCTGGCCGACGTGGGGGGAGTCGACGATGGGGCTGATGTGATGCTTGGCGAGTTCCGCGGCGGGGCCAATACCGCTGAGCATGAGCAGCTTGGGCGTCTCGAACACGCCCTGGGACACGATGACTTCGCGGCTGGCGTAGACGCTGATCTCGGTGTTGTAGGCTTCGCTGACGACGGTGACGCCGGAGCAGACGCGCGTGGCGGGGTCGATGATCAACTGCTTCGAGCGTACGCCGTACAGAATGGTCACGTTGGGCTTGTCCTTCAGGTACAGGAAGCTGCCCTGGCGGACGCCGCGGTGGATGGTGTCCACACAGTGAGTGAGGCCCTTCATCTCGCCGGAGAAGATGTCCTCCGTGAGCGGCTGGCCCTTGGAGACCCAGGCCTGGGTCAGGGCGTCGCGGAAGGGCTGCATCTCCGGCACCAGGTCGGCGTGGGAGATCTGCACGGGGCCGCCGGTTCCGATCTTGCTCAGCTCGGCCGGGTAGAGCTTCTCGTCGTCGTGGTAGGTGGCGCACTTGCGCAGGTACTCCACACAGTTGTCCCAGTTCCAGTCGCGGCCCCCGAACGCCTCCCACTCGTCAAAGGTGGGCTTCGAGCCGGGGATCCAGGTGAAGTAGTTGGCGCACGTGCTGCCGCCGAGGGCCTTGCCGCGGGTGTTGGGCTTCTCGACGCGCTCGTAGTCGTCGCGCTTGATCATCGTCGTCTTGTAGGCCCAGTCATACTTGCTCCCCCGCAGGGTAAAGGCCCTGGAGGGGGTGGTGATTTGCTCGATCTGGTCTGGGTTGGGGATGCCGGCCTCGACGACCAGGACGCGGACGTCCGGGTTTTCGGCCAGACGACCGGCAACGGCATTGCCGGCGGTGCCACCACCGACGACGATGAAGTCGTACTCGGAGCCGTTGGAGACCGTGGCCATGATTGTGGTTGTGTGGTTTGGAAGGGTCGAGGAGGAGGAGGAGTTCGCAGTGTGCTTTTGTTGCTGTGTAGGAGCGTGGATGAGTGTTGTTGGCTGTTGGATGTTGAGCAGGAATTGAGCAGGTCGAGCAGGCCGGCGGTTTTATATCTTTGCTTCTCCCTCCCTGGCCGGGCTTTGGCGCAGGAATATGACGAGAAAAAGCGCTCATGTTGGCACCGATGACTGCAAATGCCTCATCATGCGTGCATCTTGTGAAAGGATGAGTACGTAGTGTAGTAGTGTGTTAGGCGCCAACTCGAACAACAACTGTGCAGCAAAAAGTAATGTAATTCTTCCCCTCATGAGGAGAAGGATTCTCTGCAGGATTCACTAAGTTATGCTAATTATTATGATGAACAAGCAGGTCAGTTATCCTCATGATTACGGCATCAACTCAGCTCACACGGCGCATCCTCGGTCCATACATACTATAGTAATGATTATGGCAGGATTACTCATTCATATTGTACTACAGACTACAGAGTACGGATAGGTAAGTCCGAATCGTGGTCGATACCTTCGAACGACACGGCGTAAGGGTTGACCCCCGGGCGTTCCGAAGCCCTTCGTACTACTGTACTTGTCTGCCATCGCCCTTGCATCTGTTTGTTTACATTCTACAATCAGGCTTTTTTCTTTAACTACTAGATCGTATCGAATAATATAAGGCCAGGTGGTTGCCGAGGCCGGCGGCATCGAATGCCTCTCTACCTCCCCTCCCTCGACATCCCAACGACCCTGGCGTATTGCATAAGTCAGTATTACAAGATGCGTAGAAGGATTCTCTTTCCCATCATCCTGCACTCCTGTACTCCTGCATCGACGTCATTGACATACATGCTCTGCTAATACTCATATGAAGATTAGTCACTCCAACGTGAGGATGAGGGGAGTGCGGAGGTCGGTCAGGACTCGGGGTTTGCTCGGCCCACGCTCATTGGGACAGCTCTCCAATCCTACAAGCCCTAGACCTATTATTAGTCTACCAGAGAGTTTTTTTATATTAATATTAATCTACTACTAGTTAGTCTACAGTCTACAGTCTAGTTATCGGCCGCCATAACCGAGTTACCGCCTCGTAAGGCTGCGTCCACTCTGATCAGGGAATTGATGGAATCCTCTTACTAGTTTCGACAGAAGTTCTGAGGGATCAGCTTGGACGTTTTCCTATCATTCTTCTCCAATGCTCCAAACACCAACTTCCCAAAAAGTGTCATCAAGATCTCCACTTCGGTCATGTCTCAGCCAGAGTACCTTAGGGCTTCAGAGTTCAGACTGTGGCACGGGTCATTGTTCTGTCAAATCCCTCCCCCTCATGGCTTCCCCTCATGGGCAGATGAAAGGAGACCAGAATTTTTGACCACTGGACCAAGTCTCCGTCATCATCAGCGTTCATTGAGGGGATCTCGGACTCCAAGATGGCGCCTGGAAGATGAACATATATAAAGATCCCCTCTGCGCCTTGGGAGATGAAACATCCCCAATCCATATCTCGACCCACGGAACAAGATGACAATCACCACGACGAAGCCTACATTTACATTGGCCGAAGGTGCCATCACTCGCATTCCCCCGGCCATGCTCCCCCACTGACATCCAGCAGGCCAGCCCATTGCAGATCCCTCGGTCAGTACGACACTGCCCACTTTCGGTAGCGGTGCCATCACAACCTTGGGCGACACACTGCTCCTGGAGACACTTGCGCATTTCAACCGTGAGCGGATCCCTGAACGGTCAGGAGCAATTCCCCCCCTCCGTTGGCCAACGTCGAGCTGACATTGATCAGGGTGGTCCATGCCAAGGCTGCCGGTGCTTGGGGTGAATTCGAGGTCACCAACGATATCTCGTCCCTCACGGCAGCCAAGTTCCTCAACGGCGTCGGCAAGAAAACGCCCGTGCTATTCCGTCTGAGCACGACGGGCGGCGAAAAAGGCAGCGCAGACACCGTGCGAGATGTGCGAGGCTTTTCCGTCAAGTTCTTCACGGAGCAGGGCAATCATGACATTGTCGGGAACCACATTGTCAGTCTCCATTCCTTGTGTCCTTACTCTTTTTTTTTGGCCTCGCTTCTAATTATCTCCAGCCGGTGTTCTTTGTGCGCGACCCGATCAGATTCCCTTCCCTCAACCGCAGTCATAAAAGGCATCCGGCTACTAACCGTCCGGATTGGACAATGGTGAGTGGCATTGATATCGCCTGTCCGTGCCAGAATTCTAACTGGTCTCAAGTTCTGGGACTTTCATGTCAACCAGCCCGAGAGTGTCCACGCCTTGATGCACCTATTTGGCTCGCGCGGTATCCCCAGTTCCATCCGTCGGGTGACAGGGTTCGGTGTGCACACCTTCAAGCTGGTGGCGGCTGATGGCAGCTTCAATTACTGCAAATTCCACTTCCGGCCGGCGCAGAGCATCGCCCACTTCACTGGAAAACAGGCTACCCTCATGGCCGGGGCCAATGCCGACTTCCACAACCAGGATCTGTGGGATGCCATCTCCCGGGGCCAATATCCGGTATGGAAGCTGTACGTACAGGTCATGAAGCCCGAGCAGGCCGAGACCTACGGCCGCGCTCTATTCGATATTACCAAAGTCTGGCCCCATGCGGAGTTCCCCTTGATTGAGGTCGGACAAATGACTCTGAACAAGAATGTAAAGACCACGCTCGATGCAAAAGTGACGAGCGCATGCTAACGAAGCCCAACACAGCCGGAGAATTACTTTGCTGAGATCGAGCAAGCGGCATTCTCACCGTCTAACATGGTCCCCGGGATCGCAATGACACCCGACCCTAGTAAGTCGCCCTATAACCTCGGGGAAGCTGTGACAAGGCACTAAGTACCCTTGCCCCGTAGTGCTGCAAGCCCGCATGTTCGCCTATCCCGACGCGCAACGATACCGCCTCGGGGTGAACTACACCCAGCTCCCGCCCAACCGGGCCATCTGCCCCGTCTACGCGCCCTTCGAGCGCGACGGCATGGGCACCATCACCCGGAACTACGGCGGCGATCCCAACTACGTGCGGAGTACCTTGAGCCCCGGCATCCCCAGTCAGGTGGTATCCGACGTGCGCCACACCGAGCGCATCGCGCATAATGCGATGCTCGGCCAGAACGAGATCCGGGTGGATGACGAGGACTTTATCCAGCCGCGCGAACTGTGGACGAGGGTGTTTGACGAGACCGAGAGAAGGCAGTGGGTGGCGAATGTGTCGGAGACGCTGGAGAATGTGGCTGCACCGCTGAGGGATGCTGTCATCGAGATGTTCAACAAGGTCGATCCGCAGATTGGTCAAATGATGGCGGCGAAGACTCAGAGCAGCTCGCGCCTTTAGTTAGAGGCATGCGTTAGCTTTATGTATTTTTAATGATGAACGAATATATACAAGCACGGCCGGCTGGCCCAATGGCAAGGCGCTTGACTACGAATCAAGAGATTGCAGGTTCGATCCCTGCGTCGGTCAATCTTTTTGATAGTGACTTTTTGACATCATAAACTTTTTTGTATGTGGGTCTTGATTGTTCAGGTGTGTGAGTGTCAAACTCTGTCTCTGGCCTGCATGACAAAATGCAGGCATCATTAGGTATTATTTTCCTGCGAACTACCCAGTCCTAGGGCCAGTAGTATAGTAGCCTCATCTTTTTGCCAGGCCAATCAAGTCATGCAGATTTGTGGAGTACAGAGAAAATCAAATCTTCCTACCGCAGTCTGTGGTCCAAATATTATTTATATATCTTCATTCCACTTTATCTTCCAGTCAAAGTCCTTTCAAATCCCACCATGTTCTGCCATGTTAGGGAGGTCATCTAAGCGTAAGATCCCCTCGGAATACACAGTATGATTGAGTACGTAGAGGGCCAGGTCATACTTGGCAGCATTTTATAGACACACCCCTATAGAAAAGAGGGCCACTAAATAATTATTTGCTCATATCACCAATAGTCCCTTTTGAAACGACCCGGTAGGATCAAATCATGCGAGGTTGGATCTTCGGCTGATCGTCGCTGGGACGTTTCAAGGCTGCAATTGGAAGCCTACCTAGATCCCCCAGTCCTCACAGCAAGTGGTAACTTTGATGATTGACAGATGAGTAATTTTGGCTAGCAGCTAAATCCGGACTCTCGTAAATCCAACCGTCGTCCCCTTGAAGAGCATCCTGAAATATACAAGAAGATCTACCCTCACAGCACCTTCTGATCAATCATCGACTGCACAGCATCGGTAACACTCTTCTCCAGCTCAATATACTCCCACCGACCATCGGCCGTCCCCTTGGACAGGACATCCAAGCTGAGACGCGTATCCCAGTCATTCGGATGCACGCCCGCCGGCAGGATCTGCGACGGGTTACCTTCGGGAACCCGATCCCTCAATCCAGGGAAGTTCTTGCGGATGATATTCACGACCAGCTGCGGGGTGAGCAGCCCCGCGATGAGCACGATGCGCTGTCCGCCTGCCGCGGGGTTCGTGAGCGCGTCGACGTGGCTTCGCGCGACGTCGCGCACATCGACCTAACAACCCTTGTTAGCTACCGAACCGCCCCCGCCCCTAGGAAGGAAATCAGGGGAGACCATACGAAATGCCAGAACGGGAAGCGCACGTCCTCGACCGTCGTGTGTGTTCCGTCGATGAAGCTTGCGATGGCGAAGTGGTTGGTCTCGTTGATCGAGCCCGGGCCCGAGATCGGGTGGGCCATGGGGCCCGTGATGACGACTGGGTTGATCACGGTGAGGTCGAAGTCGGGGTTGTTGGTCTCCATGAATGCCCAGGCGGTTTGCTCGCCCTGTATCTTGGAGACGTTGTAGCCGAGCACGATGTCCTTGCGGTCGATGGCTTGCTGGGCGGTTACCTGAGATGAATTGGCAAGTATCAGTCACGTTAGCGTCGGCGTCGTCAGTGGTGGGACGGAAGCGGGCGGACGCACGGGATTCCAATCCTTCTCGGTGTAAGGGGGTCCTTCGCGGGTGAGGTCCTCGAACGAGTCAAGGACGGTCGCGGCACTGCTTAGCAGGACGAATCGTTTCAGAGCCGGCCCTCCATGTCTGTGCGCGCTCTTGAGAATCTCCGTGGTTCTAAGGGGCATGGTCAGCGGGATGCTGCGAGCAAAAAGAAAAAAAAAAAAGGGATTATCGCCTACCCCATGACAGCCGGCTCGATCATCTCCTTCTGGATATCCTGGACGTTGAACTTCACGGGGGACGCCGTGTGGATGACATGTGTGAACGGCACCGTGGTGTTTGCGAACAATTCATCGAATGGCTGCTGCGAGGTAAAATCAGACACCAGGGCGAAGGTGATCTTGCCCTTCCACGAGGGATGTGTTGTGATGATATCGTCGGCCTTGGCTTGCGACCGCACTGTGGCCGTGACGGCGAATCCGCGCTACACATGGTCAATTCAATTGTCGCTGTGGATTATTACATTGGCACGGAATGTCTATACTTCGATCAAGATGGATAGGATATGCGAGGCAACGAAGCCATTCGCACCGGTGAGCAGAACATGCTGGCTATTGACTGAGGATGTCATCTTGAACTCTGGGGTGGTTGGAAATTGTTGGTGCTGGTATCGATGAGATGCTGTTAAATAGAGACCCGTGATTATCCGTGGAAATCCCCATCGAAGGGTCCAGATCAGGCAGTATATTCCGTTATGGCTATTTACTAGCTAACTACGGAAGCTTCTGTGGAATATCCCCACTCGGCTAAGACAAGACGTCAGTCACTACTCACGGATAACTGGTAGCGAGGACATATGGCGTATGGAGTATATCCACCGTGTTGGACAGCTTGGCGTTGTGCGTCAGTATACGTAGTACACGCTTGTCCCTTTCTGTGGCATATTAGCGAGCCCTAGTACAACAAGTACGGCAAGCTTCTACGGAGTACTTCAACTCTATTTTACTCCAGCAAAAGCTCTGTATGCCAGTCCATAGCGGTTGAAGTAACTTTTCAGTTATCTCATACAACCACCACATGGAGACATACGAAGCAATGAAGCTAGACCTCCCAGGAACGTCCGTGGTGGTTTTTGATAGCGTTGATCCTCAAGCCTATTCCCATCATCTGATGACGCGTGCTTAAATTAAGGTTGTCGAGTCTTAGTAAAGTCCTCTTCTAAGGCTTTAGTAACCATCGCTGATAGGCATGGAATGCTCAGGTGGGCCATGCTCTTTTGCCTCTTTGGCCAACTTACCGGCTTGAGACAGGATTAGGGCACGTCGCGACAGGGCCGTTTCTGAAGTGATATTCGATCAATTCGCCTCACTGTTATGCTCAAGGCCCTCTAACTGCGACACATCAATGGATGCGCGGGCAGAAGCCGTTATCGTCCTCCCTCGGCAGTCGAAGTTGACCGCAGCGGGTCCATTGTCGTTTTCAATCAACTTGATCGGGCGGTCTGGTGAGGGTAAGAGCTAGCTCAAACGTGGTTATTGGCGCAGCTGAATCTCAAGAATCAACACAATCGAGTCGTACCTGTATATGCTTGTTATTGATTGAAATGAGAGGAGGGGGGATACTGTGCTGCTATGAACTGGGACCCAAGTAGTGACGTAGAGACGAGGATAAGGGCTGCGAGGACATAAATCTAAAAGGACACAGTCCCAACGATCAATGGACCAGGGAAGTCATTGAAATCTTTCATTTACAAGAAGGAAATAGAATCCGACAGTGAGGTCTGAAAACACCACTAGAGACTCAATTATGATGATGGGAACTCCTATATTTAAACCACTGAAAATCAATATATTAACAGTTGGATTGCAAGATGCACCTCACCTATTCATTCTATAACAGGAATATACTTGTTTATTCGATAAGCCTATAGCTTCCACTGGGGTAGTTTAGAACCTAGTATCCCAGGCTGTGGTGGGATAACTAGAATTAATATAAGATTATTAACATCTATTTCAAGCACATATTGATTTCAAGTACACATTCAATGGAGAATAACTGACTCAGAGGTGATCAACATGAGGAGGGGTAAGATCCAGTGAATGACTGGGAGGGTATTCATGTGAGCATGATAAGGAGTGAGTTGGTCCTGGCGCCTGCTCTGAGCCAATGGCTTCTTTCTATCCTAGGCAGAGAGAGTGACAAGGATTGGATGTGGCGTAAGTGCAAACACATGTATCGGCATTTGTGGTTTCATTACTCCATGGGTGTGAATGCGGCACAGCCGCTGGGAAATACGCCTGACGGGAATGCCAGATAAAGAGTGCCCCATCAATTTGGCAGCCTCATTATATCTACCTTCTTCCTCTGTTCTTCGTTCTGGTGACCCATCTTTCCTCTTCATCTGATCATTTTATCGTCTTGTCATCTCGCGAGTTTGTACTGGTCAAGTCGGGACAACTCCATCTACCTCATCAGGCCGACTGCCCTTGAAAATCCCGCCAATTTGACGATGCAGGTTCGACTCTTCCTATATGCCGATGCATGGTTTGCCAGATGGCTCACTCATTATAGGTTGCTACATGGAGTTATGAAAACCCGCTTCTGGCCGCCTGTGCTGTGGGAGTGGTTACTGGTGTTGCCGTTGTTGCTGCTCCTGGTCTGGCAACAGCCCCAGTCCTATCCACTCTGGGGTTCACGGCAAGCGGTGTCAAGGCAGGTATGTCGTATAAGTCTCCTGGTACACCCTCCCAAGTGTGTTGAAACTGACATATGGTGGCGGACTGACAGGGTCGCTGGCTGCCGCCGTCCACAGCACAATCGGGAATGCTGTCGCTGGGAGTGCCCTGGCTATATCGCAGAGTGCTGGGGCGGGGGGAGCTGGTCTTGCCGTCATAAATGGAGCTGCACAGGTTGGAGGGGCTGCGATGAGTATTGGGAGCGTTGGGCTGGCTTGGGCCAAGTCTAAACTTTGAATCCGTCTCTTAAGCTTCTGGGTCTCCTCAACATCAATGCCATCCTCCTTGTCCTCATCCTTGTGCGTCTCAGACTCGGCGGAAGTGGAACAATATGCCAGGAATTGAATGATGTAGCCAACAGAACATAGATTAGAATGAAAGAGTTGTTATATATAAGAATCTATGTTTGAAAATGAATCTTCATCGGATGTCAAGCTTGGTAGAGTTGGTCCATTTACAGCGGATGCTACAGATATAAGACATGGGACTATGGTTGAGTTTCTATGCAGGGCAAAGGTTCCCCCCGAGATCAAAAAAGGGTGGTACTGGAACATGGAGTGGGACTCCCTTGTCCCAATCTTACAGACACTTCTCGCGTTTAATGCCAATCCAGACAAGTTCATCGCAGACAAGGAACCTGGATTTCCTTTGATTAGTGCAGCATGCAATGGTTGCCTGCGGGCCGTGGAGCTGCTTCTAGACGCAGGGGCTAGAGTCAATCTCTCCCTTCCTCATTTTTATGGCACTGCTTTGCAAGCTGCAGTTTCGCAAGGGCACCTGGAGGTAGCCGAATATCTTATTGAAAAGACATCGGACATCAACGTCCCCCGTTCCTTACCTCTCGAATATCCTGATTCCTCCAGAGATGATGGAATATCAGCTCTCCAGACGCCAGTTCAACTTGCTGCAAAAAATAACAATCTTGCTCTTCTTCAGATGTTGCTGGAGCGCGGAGCATCTGTCAGCGCTTGCCCAGTCTCCGCATGCCCCAATTTCGAATCTTATTATCCTTACAAAGCGACGCTTAAGCGGTACTGGCTAAGATATGGGCCGCAGTATAACAAACATTACCTAGTCTACACTGCCCTGCAATATGGAGTTATCAACCAGAATTTGAACATCGTCGAACTTTTGCTGTCCGCTGGAGCCGACCCAGACTCCCGGGTGGCACCAGGGATAGGTGACACACCCTTACAGATGGCCGCAAGACTAGGCAACCTTGAATTGGCTAGACTTCTTCTAAGCAGTGGCGCAGATGTCAATGCCCCCCCCCTGCGGCTTACAACGGCCGAACTGCACTTCAAGGGGCAGCAGAGAGTGGAAACTGGCAGATCCTATCAATGCTTCAACACAAAGAAGCACAAATAAATGCACCAGCAGGAGCGGAACTAGGCATGACTGCATTACAGGCGGCCTGTTTGAATGGACATTCTTTGATGGCCGGGTTCTTGCTTGCACACGGGGCGAATTTGAACGCTGCTCCATCACCCATGGCAGGACTTACACCCATCCAGGCAGCTGCTGCATATGGTGATATCAGATCTGTAAGAGATTTGATTAGTCTTGGAGCAGATGTTAACAGCCCAGCAACTGATAATGGCATGACTGCTCTACTAGCGGCTTTGAAGAACCAATCTCTGCCCCTTCTCAAGTTACTTGTCCAACACGGAGCGAATGTCAACCATGTTATCGCAACCAAAGATTGTAAGTTCATATCTCCTCTTGGAGAGGCGGCCCGTTTAGGCTGGCTTAAGGGGGTGGAATTTCTCCTGAAGCATGGTTTGAATGTTCACGACTCTCGTTTGGATTTAGCATTGTTTCAAGAAAATGAGCTCTCAGATTTTCTAAGCCCTCTGGGCTGGGCGATCAAGAATAGAGCTGAGAAGATGGTAGCTTTGTTGTTACAACACGGTGCCGATGTCCGTGCAACAGTTTGGTCAAATAACTGGCGCTCTGCAAGTGCCTTGATATATGCATTAATCTGCAGATCAAGTTTTGAAGTCATTTATCGGCTCATTGAAAAAGTTCCGGACTTGGAAGACCATCCTGGATGGGAGGACGCACTAGAATTTGTCATTCTATAGTTTACTAAGGGTATCCATGAGCTGATCATGGAAAAGATAGACTCATCACCACCGTCTGTTCGTTACAAGGTAATCCGGAAGGCATGGGATGCATTACCGCTTGATGAATTACCGGATGATTGTGATGATGATGAAGCTATGAAGGTCATTGTGCGTCTCATACAATCTGGAGTATCTCTGGACTCTTGCGCCAATGATGGAAGCACCATCCTTCAGCGCGCAGCCCACCATGATTATTACAATACCAGCCTCTACCTGATTAGCCACGGTGCTTCTGTCAACACTCATGCAACCAAACTTTATGGGACACCTCTTCAAGAGGCAATCAAACATGGCCATGTCGAAGTAGCCAATCTCTTACTGGATCACGGAGCGGACCTCAATGCCTTACCAGCGGAGAACCGCGGTGTTACTGCGCTTCAGGCGGCCGCCATCCATGGGATGTTTCCGATGGCTATACGGCTTCTTGAATCTGGGGCTGATGTCTCTGCGCCAGCCGCACCATTTGAGGGAAGGACAGCAATTAACGGAGCTGCAGAACGGGGTCATGTGGAAATGGTTCAATTACTTCTCAATGCATATGGGGAGAAGGAAGATTTGGGGCTGGTCTGTAGTCAGGCGGCGGAATATGCAGAAAAGCAAGGCCATTACGAGATTGCCCAGTGGCTGCGGGGGTATTCGTCTGTTTGATGGGTTATTATTAAGATGTGTCGTCAACTGCTTTGTTGTTTAGTCTACGACGGGATAAATGTAGCCGAGAATCCAGCGTACGGATTCAAGCTCACCTATATAGAATGTCTTCTCAATCTACTCCCACATTCCTAACCCGTGTCGAGTCAGTGAGTTGTAAGCTATATCAGGCATTTGGGTCGGATGCGCGAGCCCGTGTCACCGCAGGTTTATGTGTTTAGAAGTATCCATCCCCAGCTCAGTTTGTTTAATGAACGCTTAACATAAGTCAATGGGACTCAGCTTCGCAGTCTATCAACAGATTGAATCCCCCTAAAACCATAGAATTGTGAGATTTGTCGATATTAGCGAAATGGAAGGTCTGCCGCAATTCCCAGTACTGAGTCCCTAATACATTCGCCTAACACAGTATATTCAGATATGATCCCTAGTATATACTGTGTGGCTAGCGTTCCGGTGACAATGCTGACCTGTACAGAAATAGTACAGAAATATAGGGGAATGTGCTGCTCTATCTATTCATAAGAAGTAAGCGACGGGCCCTCCGAAGAAGACCCTTTTCCGACGTGCATCTCTCTTCTAAGTCGTCCTGTAGGAAATGGAAGACGTCGATGCAGCCTCGTCAGAATCTCAAGGTATTTTGGCTCTGTCTCCGGAGTGATGATACCATGCCGGATGAGAAAGTCAATGACCACAACAGCACTATTTGGTTTGAACAATCCCATTTTTAATGCTTCAAGGGTCCGGTCCACGTTCCAAAGTTAGGAATCTTCAACTTCCAGGTCCTTTGGTCGGGGAGTAACGCCCTGGTCGAGCTCCAACTCATACAGGTATTCAATCTCCGATAATAGCAAAGCTGTCGAGGCACTGTCGCTCCGCGCTGCGGGAAGATGGTCTTTCGCATGGAAATATGAGATACACCCAGCATATCGCAAGCCAGTCTCTATGATCTCTCTCTTAATAGACGCCTCCTCGGTGGCCTCGAGGATGACAGCACTGCGCGGCGTGTGTCCCGTGCTCAGAGCCCCAGCAGCGGTGCAATCTAGCATACCCGGGTAGGTCTGCTTTCTCTTTGAGTGTTTGGTGATCCAGAGATGAATATAACTATCTTCATCTTCAACGTAGCAAAGCAACTGCACGCTGGCTGCTATAACCCACCTTTCAGGATATCGTCATTTCCCGCTTCTACCATCCTGTTGACTGCAGCGTCTATGATCTTCATCTGTGTGGATGTTTAAGAGTCAGGGGGCGTCAAGAGGACTACCGCTCGGGAGCTGTCGATCAGCCAGCAGTCATCGGGCCAAGTGATGTTCTGCACGACTATGTTTGGGATGTAGCCCAGAGTAACGTCGACGCCTTGTACTTTCAATGCATGATAGCTCTTTAGAATGCGAGCGTAGACAGCCGGGTCCTTCTCGTAGTAAGGGAAGCTGTGGCGTGTTATTGACCATCTAGGCAACGGGGGGTGGAGGCTAGTAGAAATCCATACTTATCCAACTCAGCGACAATCTCGTGAAGGGATTTCGACATGACTGTGGTCTCCAGCAAACAGGGCTGCAACTAACAGCTCCCGACTGGTCGCGAATATGCAGAGATATTTCAAATCTCCCGCCAAGTGTTCTAAATGCGCGGGTAACAAGCATCGCGTTTTTTTTTTTTTTATAGTTCGCAGCAGGACATCTTCTCTGCTCTGATTTAGTCCCTTTATCCCTTGAAATTAATACTTGTTGCAGTCAACGCCTGTGCGAGGCGTGATATGAAACTCCTCTTGGCACTTCATCCTACAAGTTGCATACTCAAGCCAATTAATCCTAACCACCGTGGACTAGTACATCACGAATTCACGCTTGGTGGCAAATGTATCAGTCCTTGAGCATTGGGTGGATCATAATAGGGCGAACAACAAATAATCACAAAAATGGGTCAGATCTGCCCTTGTTGTCGTTGGACTTCATCGATTCTTGGCTGGGTATATCTTCCCCCCTTCATTTTAGATGAGATCTTGGATAGTCACATCCCCCCAACCCTTGTCTAGTAGTAATTTACTCCCTTGGATAGAGGAGTCACCGAATCTTTTGTTCCAAATGCGGCATGCCTGTACTGTTGAGCACCCTGGATCTCCCCAAATTGCAACCGAACCTTCCCAACCGTCTTGTCTAACTGGTCGGACCCTAGACAGTGACCGACGAGCAAATGATCCAGCTCGGGATTCCGCGTCGTCATCAGGACGCTGGAAAAGGAGGTGCTCTGCGAAACGCCATTCTCGCGCAAGGCAGTGAATCCGACGACAACACACGCCACAGCAACACCCAGGGCAGTCATGTAAGCCGCAAGCAGGTTCCTGCTGTTGTAGTTGTAGAAGTTCTGGGGTGATGAGACGGTAATGGGCACGCTGGTGTTCGCGGCGTTCAGACTGAGGAGGCTGTAGGTGAAGTTGTGCGAGAGATCCTCTATTGCTCGGGCCAATGTTTTGTTCCGGCAGTGAACAGTCGACTGACCACCCGCAATACCAAGCAGCTGGTAATTGGTACTATTCCACAGCTCTGGGCATGCAAAAAGGCCGGTTTGCATGATCGACATGGAGGTAGATGACAGGCCGGAGGGTCGAAAGCTCCCTAGTCCGCCCGAAGCGCTGATGGTCAAGGTGCGTTGGATAAGGCCCGAGAATAGCATATGCATGACATAGTAACCTCCATTGACTGCTGGGTCTAAACGTTCTATCAGAGCGTACGAGCCGGCCCGGGAGCTCCAATTAGCGGGAGCTACGAGCTCTGTTGATATGGGTGTCAAAGCCCGGGCACCGTTGGTAAAACGCTGGTCTACCACGTAGGAGGTATTCCATAATTGACAGACAAGCTCGGCCGGTTGTGTGGCGTTGTCGCTTCCCAGGGGATTCGATCCCGCGGCGTACACGAAAAGTGTATTGTTCAGGGCACTAGGAGCGGTCCCCGAGTATATGACGTTCGTCAGGTTCGTTGCGTTTCCAATCTCGTGGTCCCATAGATTCTGCAGGGAACTGTACCGATGACCCAAGGAATCAGTGAAAGTCATCCCCTGCATCTCCCCAAGTGCTTCACTCAAGCTCTGGCATTTGTACGACGGGCCCCAGAACTCTAGGGTGTACGACGAGTCAGGAAAAGGTGCAGAGGCGGGGAGTACTTCGGCCGACGAGGAGGTGGCTGTAAACAGGCGGTTGATGTCGGATGCGGGCTCACCAATCATTCCCATGCCTACGAACGTTACCCAAGGGCGCCAGAAGGAATCTGTGAAATTCACAGTTGGAACGCGCAGTTGGGTGATATTGGTGGTTGTCAGAAGACGGACGGACAAGGTCGCAGGTGTAAACACAGCGGTTAGGGGGATAAGCCTGGTTGGACGGTGAGTAATCGACCATTCCAAAAGACGACCTTATACGTACCATGAGATAATCGCCAGTAGAGTGAGAGTCTTCGCGTAGATCCAGATGTCGGGGATGAGAAAGGCGATTGGGCTGGTGAGGACGGCAAACATGCCATCAATCCCGCGAAGCTTTACACTCTTCCGGCGCAGAGTGGCCCATGTCTCCTGCGCCGCAGCGATCCCCACAGCGGATACCAGCAAGGTTTTGATCAAAAAGGCAAAGCCAGTCCCGATTCGCAATGCCCATGTTTGTTGGTCGACCGACTTGACTAGGGTGTTGTCGAGGCTGCGGTAGTAGAAGTGATGGCCAATCGACAACATTGCACCGCAAATAACAAACCCAGCCATCAGGGTGGGACACCGCCATCCGATTCCCCATGTGGCCGGAGCTTCCTCATCTCCGGCAGCGGCGTATGTTGTTTCATCGGGCCTTTTTTGGTCGTGGGTATGATTCACAGGGCTTTGATCAAGGACCGGGTCATATTCAGCGTGATTCTCGATCAATGGAGCCATGCTACGTGGAATAATGACAACTGAGATGCTGACATGAGGATTGTCCAGGGAGTGGGCAACTCTCTCTAGTTCTTATGGACGGGAAACTAACCTACCATCGATCACTCTTCTCGTATTTGGCCATGTCCTCTCAAGTCAGACGAAAGCCATGGCGTACACTTAGCTGAATCTGTATTTGTAGCGCCAGTTCCTTCTGATACAGACGAATTAGAGGTTGAATGGTATATTCCCTTGGCCCACTTTTACGAGGTGCTGATATTAACGTTACTTGAAGTAGTGGAATCAGGGTCCAGGGACACTCATCGATTGGACGGGGATGCGGCTGACCGAAGTCAGCCTTAATTTAATCACAGGCGATAGTTTTGTCTACACCGTTCCTTTTTGTCATAGGGCTTGGATTAGGGCGAAAAAATGGCCACTCCTGAATCATACACATCACTAAATAGGAGGACTAACGACCACTTATCTTCCCAAGAGTCAGGCAGTATCGGTGTGCATTTGCAGTCTGAGACTTCTTCGTCTTGTTTATGCGGCTGTTCTCTGTAGTGGTGTACTACCACGGCAGTTTTAATCAGGTCGATTGACTACTACTGAGTCGATAAAAATGCCTTGCGTCTGAGATATGATGACGGCCTGATGAAGTCAAGTTTGAAGTTCACTGTTTTTCTAAGTGACACTTCTCAAGGAACCCCATGGCCTGAAGTTTCCACTACACTACCAGCTCTTTCTTCCCTTCGAGCGTCCATAATAGGGTGTAGCTTCTGACTCTAATACGACAGAGGGCTTTAATCACATGATCAAGAGCGGGTTAAGCAGTACCGCAGAGGATCAGAAGTGCCAAAATGGATTCGGCGCGGTTATTTGGTTTTCAGCCATTGCATCTAGAAACTAGTGATTACGTTAGAGGACTTGGACAGGAATTTCGTGGCTGTATGGTGTATATATCTCTTGCATCACTCACTGTCTTTGGAGACTCGACCGTAGATGGGGAATCCCGGCTTCTACAGGGCACTGAGGAGAAAGACTCCCTATGATATACTACAGTAGAGTAATATTTAGCATGACCCTCCCTGCCATCTACTAGTGTAATGACTCTTTATTTCTGTAGCTAAGTTGTTCTTCTTAGTACTTTCAGAAACACTTCCATACCACTCCAGTAGTCATACCCTGCGATTTGGATATAAATGAGAGTCAAGTTCCACCATGTAAAGCAGAATGCATCCATCCCAGAGGTGCCTGGCAGGTAGACCAGGCTGAGAATGGCGATAGTTTTCAACCTCATAGTACCACGTATTCAAAATCCCCTTGAAGAGGGGAACGGAATGACCATCTAGGTACGTCTTGGGTATTCAATCTACTACATATAACAACCGCAGTCACGATCTCCCCCGGGTTGAGGGTTTCAGTTCGGGAATGGGGCTAGAGACGGCCTCAGGATTGGGTTCGTTCGGGATTGGTGGTGGGATTAGAGGGGCCAGGAGTGACTTAGGCGAGATAGCCAATCACGGGTGCTGGCTCTCTTAGGGCTATGGAATAGCCTCCCCGTATCTCAGCCCTGTGTACTTGTCGGGAAGAACGGCCTTATTCTCCAAAGGGTCCATAGTCTATGGACTATGGAGTAGCTGAGTCCCACTCCCAACTGAGGTTCCTTCAAACCAAGCAAATATTATCCTGGCAGGCTTGTGTACTTGTGCTAATTTAGTCCATGGCAGGTCAATAGGATTAGTGATCACAAAAGCGGACCCAAGGGCTGCCACTGTCCTTTAGGAGGGACCATGGGTTTAAAAGCTAGGTATTGCGATAGATTCAAATTAATTTGACATATGACAGACTGATTACATTTCCTCCCCTCCAAAAGCTCCCCTGTAGACAGTGGTTCCTTCCAGTCGTGGCAGCCAAGCTGGGGCATTCCGAAAGTATGCATGCGCGGCCGGCTTTGATGGAAATGACACCATAGTAGCACGCACGACTTGAATAATAAGGAGTATCAGTATCAACATATTCGCTAGGCCCAGGAGCAATCCACTTACTGCACAGTGACTCAGGGAGCTGCTTCGTGTATGCCATGACGGGACTAGAAGGACAAATGTCAGGTTGTTGCTTCGACTCGATATGACGTGAAGGGCATACCTTCCACAGACACCACAGAATCGCCGCTCGAGAACAAGTCCAGATTCACAATTGTTGTCGAGATAGCTAGACAGCTGTCCCTCCACAGATAGTGCCGCCCTTGGTACGACCATATAGTGCGCGCCAACTGTTCGATGTCAGATATGTGTTCCAGTTTGAGGTGCTTGGCTTCGTACCCGAACCGCTCGACTTGATGCAATTCGAGCAGTGGCAGAGAACAGAGGTTAAGGCTTGGTCATCGGTATAACGAAAGGTCACCTTTATGGCGCCGCAATTGCACTCTGCGTTGCTTTGTTGAGACATAATCTTATGAGTATGGAATCCCGATCGTGGTATGTACTTGGTGGAAAGAGCGGTATGGAAGATGAGTCCTTTTCTATGCAAACCGTTCGCATCTTATATATCATCTTTAAATACATATTAGATATCAGGTGCTTGAGGTTGATAACAATACCAGTGGCGTCCCCGGCGCTCAGTGACAAATCTTTCTCCATGGACCAAGGCTATAGATAGAAACTGGGCCAGGAAACATATTATTGCCCCCTTAATCAGCCACAACTGATTACGGCCAAGGATTCTTAGGTTATTTAACACTGTCGGTAGTCCGTGTTGTGGCTTCAGTGCATCAAGCTCAACGCCGTTTTAGCCGGTAAAGCTATACCCAGTACCATGAACCCAGATCAGAATATCCGCTTCATGGACACGATCACTAATCTTCAATTTACCAAGTCACCTCCAGTCCAATAAGTAATCTTCCGACGGCACCCATCTTTTCATCCTCGCCTTTCCCCTTCTTTCTACCGCTCTAAAATCTACCCTAGACACGCCCCCAGACATACCAATCGCCTTCAACATGGAGAAATATGCCGTTGTCCAAGAAAACCTTAGCGTGTTGCAGCAAATGAAGCCACCGCAGACACAAGCTTTCTATCGCCAACGCAAGGAAATAGTCGACGGCTTCAGCCCGCTATTGCTGCTCTTGCTTCCTACGAGCAGTCGAGTGTTCTCTTTCACATCTTCCCCAACGGCAGTGTCCGCGTCTTCTCGAACCTCGCCCGCGCATACGGCAGCACATATTTCTTGAAGGCTTGTGCATCGTCTGCACTGAGACATTCCAATTCGCTGAACTTCCACTACCTAACAAGGTGATACAAAAGAACTGTGGTCAAGGTTAAGCTGCCTGGCCTGATTGTTTCTGATGAATGCCCCCGCGTGTGCAGGTCGCAGAAATGATGCAAAACTATAACATATTCCAGGCTCTACAGGCTTTCCACCAACAGAGCGCAGAAGAATGAAAGGGGGCTTAACTGTTGTAGAGCGCAGTTTCCGTGGATGACAAGAGCGCGCAAATGCTGGGGTTTAAACCACCCGTACTGGCCCTGCTTGCCCGATGCTGATTCTGGTATGCCATGGAGAATCCGGCTTGTAGGACTTATTGCAGAGCTTTCATGATTTCCTTTGGTGTTATGTATGCTCAAGATCCCATGGACTGCATAATCAACAAGCTTTTCACAGAGCCTTCAGGGAATATGATCTGTGAATATATCAGGATTCACCACTTACCTGCAAGGTTTCCTTTGATTACTACAGCCTTACTATTGGCAGAGATCCTGGGGTATCTATGTAGCATCTTGATAGTGTATGAACAGCAAGGGTTGGGTTTGCCGACCAGATCCGATTCCTATTTGGCAACATTGCATAGTCTATTGTGGACTTGAAAGCCTTGAAGACAGGACACCTACCAGAGTGCCCCAGGTTAGTGCAGCGTACGACCACCAAACATTTACGACGATTATCGCTTTGGATGATTGCTTCGTATTAGCACTCTAATACGGCCAGAATCCTTAACCATATTCACTGTTATATAGAAGACCGAGGGCAGACTTATTTGAAACTGAAATCGGATTGTTCACCTGGCGAGATAAATTAGGCACACCGGAAAGAATGGTGCAACTATGAGGAACTATACCAGGGGGGATCATGCTCATATATTTGGTGAGAGTCTTCTCCTACACATGAAATCTATACAGTAGATGATCATTGCCTAAGGCTGTGGCAGAGCTTATAATAGGCAGGTATGGACATGCGTCACAGCTTAAGTAGTCTAAAACCCCTCATGCATATCATCAGAACAAAGACCACGGTCCTCCGGGTCTAGCATGGGTCTACCAAGCTATCAGGACCAGTGCCGAGTAGACTTCACTAATCTGAATAAGCTGAAGTGGATTTAGGGCGTAGGTGCTGTCAGCCTGTCAGAACTCCTACGTGACCTCTTTTTTGATCCTGGCACTCTGATTATGATATGATCGACATGGGAACTGTAGCTCATAGTGGTTCCTAGTGATTGCAAGACGCTAATTTCTTCTGTAGCCCACATTTCATGCTACACGCTCACAGGCTTGCCTCCACTTTCGGAAACCTGTGGCTAAAGGTTGTGTTCATTTTGCCAGTCAATCCCTGCAGGGACTAAGGCCCATATATCGAGGCTTACTGACTGCAGATACTCAACTTCACACTTACATGAGTGGCCTGTACCCTTGAATATGGCAGCTGTGCGATCTCTTGATCTCCAACAATGTCCTCCGAGATCCCGAGGCGGATTCATACAAGGATGACTTGGGACTGAGATATAACCTCTCGTACATTGCATCTGTGACTTATTACTTGTTGGAATTACTTAAAGCTAATTAGAAATCATCTTTAGCTGTTTCAAGTGGCCACCTGTGTTGGGTTCTGCTACAAAAATCAATCATCGCATTCATAGGACTTGGGGAGATCTTTGCTCAGCCCTACCTTGACTTGGCTACATCTAAACATTATTTTTTCTTTCTATACAAACCACCTTTTCGATACATCAAGCACATACGACCACAGGGTGTGGAGAACAGGGCTTCCCGTCCGCTCAGCCGTACTTAAGCCACACGCCGGCCGGTCAGTAGTTGGGTGGGTGACCACCAGCGAATCCCGGCTGTTGTATGTTTTTGATGTCTTTTCTTTTTGGCTTCCATCATGTTATTCTTCATGCGCTGACCCAAACTAGGCCTAAATGCTGAGTATGTTCGCGTGGAACTCGGACTACGGTATATGCCTTCGCCACTGTTGTTAACACCATCTCCCTTGATGAGTTGCGATTCTCAGCCGAGGCCTATCTCGAAAAAGTTGGCCCCTATCGCCCATTCCTTAACCGGAATGAGCTATTTCATCACAGAAACCAGACATGGACCCCATCTTCGAGCCCTGTCTCTTTCACAGCATATGAAGTGATGTTTGGCGGAGTTGCTGCACTGGGCTCTTTGTTCTCTCGAAGGGAGCTGAGCGATACAGAAGCCCAAGTGGTGGAATCAGCTCGGTCAGTGCTCGGAAGCAATCTTCGTTTTGACACGCCTTCAGTTGTTCTTATTACGGCTTGGGCTCCGAGGATGTCATATCTTCGTATCGCTGGGATGCAACATGTCGTCTCGATAACCAGCTGCACTCTGATGCACCTCATAGAAGCAGCTGGGTTCCGTATGGAACCACTGGACAGCGCTCTTTTGATTCAACCACTAGATGATACTAGCCCTGAGAGCCACTGAACACTGTTTGGCATTGCTCGCCATCTTGATCTCTGGTTGACTTTGGGGCCAGATCCGGCGCGGGTTCGATGGTCGAGTTTAATGGTTCCAGGATTGGGTCACTGTGATCATACCCAGTGCCCCCAGGGAAATGGAAGACGAATACAGCTCGTTATGAATGAAAATGGGGGCTTAATGGCTAAGGATATATTCCTGCGTTCATTCTTAGAACTGAAACTCATCCCTGCCAGTCCAAACCACGTGCATCGCGGCATCCCCGCCAGCTGTACACATGCGAGCACCTGGATGTGCGGTACACTCTGCAAGATTGGTGATGATCATTGAGACACGTCTGCTAATCACATGAAGCGCAACGGCCTGTTGACCAGACCATATGGAATGAAAAACCTCATCTTTAGTGACTGTGTGATGGTTCTCCTTGATATCTGATTAGAGCTAGCGGCTTCTGGCAGATTGCAAGGCAATTGCCATGTCTGACGTAGACTCAACAAATCAGATGTATGGCGTATCAAATTGGTATACACCAGGTTGAAGAAGACCAAGTACGTGAAAGTTGAAGTATTTTACATCTGGAACCATGAGCTGGTCGAACATGTTCCTCTAAGTAACAGCAGCTAAGCAATCCATGATTTCCATGGGATGACCGAGAAACTCTCTCCTCAACCTCTATTCTCTAGCTAAACTAATCAACACATATGCTGCTGTATGGGCTATGCTAGTGAACAGTTGATCCCTCCAGCACAAAGTAACTTGACAACAAGCAGCCGTCCCTCCCCCAAACACAAAAAAAATCCAGGGCAATCTGGCCAAGCCAACACAGCCCAGATAGACAAGGAGGACCGGTCTAATCGAAATCCGACAGCTGTCCAATACAGCCCACATCAGATTGAGTGTTCCACGGCACCCAGCCCTTTAGGAGGCGATCCTTTTCATTATAGTAGAGGCAGAACTTCGCTCTCTTGCTCAGGTGGCCCTCCTGATCAGCGCCGCGTGTCATAGCCGTGTGGTTGACATTGTGGAATGTATTGAAGAGATAGTCGGCAAGAGTCACAGTCGGCGTAAAGTTGGCCAGGATGGTAAAGTCACGAATGTCAGAAGCGCTCTTGTCCCGCTTGTTGTTCTGAGGATAGGCCCAGAAAATGGGAGAGGTCATTCCATAACTGTCTGCGAGAGTACAGGCTGCCCGGATGGCGTCTTCATAACTTCCTCTGGGCAAAATGTTCTCCGCCACAATGGTGAAGCCATCACCGCCTCAGATATTAGAGTAGAAGCCCCAAGAGGTCGATGCCCACAGCCCGGTTGCCTTCGCCATGATGTCTCTGGCGTTTGTTGCAATGGCGGAGGCGATTTCGGGCGTGGTCACAAACAGATCTTTGAAGGCGCCGCGAATGTTCGAAACCAGGACCAAAGTGATGAAATAACGGCCATTCCGGAAGTACACGGACACGTAGTTGTTGTAGCCCTGGATGGGTCCAACATTCCTTTTGTTGTGCTCCGTGGCGTTAGGCGCATTGGCGGGGGTTGACCCAGTCACGGACTCCCAGGCTGCGATGTAGCCAGGATCATCTAGCACCGACACCTCGGCATCGACGCTGCGGGCATTCACATGAGGGTCGATGATGCTTCCAGCACTGGCGGCAGGACTCGCAAAGACGCACGCGGACAGGGCCGCCACGAGCAGGACAATTGAGCGACGCATCAGGGAAGGAGCTGTTGCTTGAATTCAATGAAGGTGGACAGGGTAATGGTGATGGAGGAATGGATGTACAGTGCAACTGGAGCAGTGGGGGATATCCAGCGCCTATATATACTTTGTTCTTTCCTATATCGCAGTCAGGATCTTCCCTCCGTTCGACGTAGCTATAGCATCGGAATGATCACAATATCCCCGCTTCTGGCTCGAATGCGCTTAAACCATCCAGAGCGTAAGTGTGGCGTCCCCTTCCAAGCTACAGAATACTATCAGATAGTGGTCAAACTTCCGTGACTGAGTGGCATGGCATCAAGTTCTTCTGGCATGATGCGCCGCCCCAGTGCCCAGACCTGACGTCGTACTGTATCGAATAATCCAAGCTGCAGAATACTAGTAAATAGTGATCAAATTTCCTTGACTGGGCGGCATGGCTCCGAGTTCTTCTGGCATATTTAGCTGCCCAGACCTGATGTCTCACTTTATTGTATAATCCAAATATAAGATTGTCTCAGACAGGCTTATTTTCTCTTCAGCAAAAGGTACCATTAGTATGCCATGTACTCCTCTCTCTTTAATTAGTACTATTAATTGATTGGTTTTTTGATATGCCACTGTTTTTCCACCATGCTTAATTCAACAGGAAGCATACTCATAGGCATAAAAATTCTATTGTGACACTTTAATACAAGATCGCACTCCTCCTGAGAACAAAGAATATAAAAAGGATACCTCATACACATGCTGTTTTGTCACTGCTCATCTTGTACTGCCTTCACAGTTTATCCTTCAATCGCATATTGTGCAATCGTGCAAGAACCTTAAAAAAAATCTACCTGTTCTATCCACAAAATGCGTTTCCTCGATACCTTGCTTCTTGGGTTGGCCGTCGCTGGCAACACCGTACTTGCCACCATCGATCTCGGTCAAATTGAAAATGGGGCCGGACAGGCCTTGTTGAACGGTGCGTTCCTGGACTGCTCGTTTCCATAGATAGCAGGGGATATAAGCTAACCGAAAACAGTCGCCTGGATTGGAGGCGACAATCCATGCAAGACGAAGGAATACGTCAGTATCACTGCGAGTGCCGAAAGTCCCTGTGGTGTTCGCTTTACGCTGAGCAACGGGTATACGTACTATGAGGGGAACTGCGGTACTAGTGCCATCGACATCTGGAACAACAACGGCACGTTCAACTCTCATTGCCAGAACAAGTCCTGGAAATACCAGTTGAACCACAATACTTGGATCCGACAGACCTGGACGTGCTACTAGGAAAGCTGTGGCCTGATTGTTGGATCTTGATGAAGCAAGGGAGAGCCAGCGCGAAATATGTATACAGAAAATGTGTAGAAATAAACTCTGTGCATCTTGACCATGGTCTCGATATTTGCTGCGAGATCTTCCAGTTCTCATGAGATATAGAATCATAAGGGGCCTGGATCCTATAGAGCAATATCAATATCCATACCTTATTCTGCTACCTCATAGACGAGTCCTGAAATCATAGAGCTTTCTCTCCCAAGGGCCCTCACCCCAGCAAATTACATAATGGCCTCAGAGAGATGCACCACTCATGATGAGTAAAGAAGAGACCGTAGACAGAGGGGGAGATTTGTGTTCATCTTTATGTAGGTGGTGAAACTGTATCAATCTTCAACCAAGGCTGTTTGCAGCATGCAACATGGAGATACCCTTGTTTACAGGGGCAGAGTGCCCGGGACACGCTGGCTGGTTGGATCACCCACGTGGTGACATGGGCCCTTCTGTCTCGCTTTCGACTGCATGGCAAAGTCCTGCTTTGCCCTGTCGATCTTCGGCTTACAAAAAATGCTTACTGTGGTAATGTTGTCGTCAGTATCCGTCCAATATCAACCAACCCATATGCAGAGGCTTGCTCTCTGCCTATACCTAGGGTCCAGCTGCTATATAGGTATGTGTATAATGATGTGTTTCTATTACTACCAGGTGTCTTGCCGCAGTGCTATGCTACTGGGGATATATGCATGCTGGTTTTGATTATTATTCTGGTCCACTATTACTATGGGGAGAACTCCCCTCCCCAGGAAGACAGAGTACTAGCTGAAGCAACTTGATATATATATTGATGGTGGATGTATATCAGCATGCCAGAGTTCATTCTCGGTTATATATAACCGAAACCACCAAATGATACAATGAAATCCCCAATGAATATCATTGCCTTGGTAATATTGATCCATCAACGTACCTCACCCACTTCCTTGCAATTCCATCCAAGTTAGTGGGACCCAGAGTATTACAAACAGAGTGATCATCCAGAAACTTATCGTGGCGTCCCTACACAAGTTTGATTTTCTTCTAATATAAACCACACCTTTTAGCAATCCAATACATACGACCACAGGGTGTGGAGAACAGGGCTTCCCGTCCGCTCAGCCGTACTTAAGCCACACGCCGGCCGGTTAGTAGTTGGGTGGGTGACCACCAGCGAATCCCGGCTGTTGTATGTATTTCTTGGGTTCTTTTTTTCCTTCCCTTTTAAATGTTTGTTTTCGAAGTACGGAGAGGCACTTTGGGGGGGGGGGGGGGGAATACATACGTGCAAATTAGTATGGTAGCTAGCACTGATGTCTAGATCGTGGCGCTCACTTTGCTGCCTACAAAGGTTGTCTCTTTTAGATCTTCCTTGCATTCTTCCGGGATATCAAGGCTATCTCCGTCCAGTTCGACGCAAGAATCGTGGAGTAGAAAATGATGCTCTTCTTACGAAACATCATGCGGGATATACCCCATGTTCTTCTGAGGGATTTCCCTTCTCAGATAGAAGTGTGTCTGGCCCTTCGGAATTGGGGTGATGTATGTACTTGATAGTCCTTCGGAGAGATTGCATCAAAGGATGACTCTCTAGAATGAGGACAAGTAGGGAGGTGACAAAACTAGAAGAATACGATATATATGTATATGGCATAAGAGATGATAGAATTACCCGACTCTACAAAGCAAGGGTAGCCACAGGCTACAATTCAATAAGGGGCCTTGAATACATACTTAAGACAAGGACACCGTTCACAACTCGAACCGTGTTGGCCCATCCGATCCTTCGTTGATGATTTCCTCGGCAATCTTTTCGGACAGGGCATCTGAGACACCTGTTAGTGGAAACAATATATGGGGAAATTGGAAGCAGAAGATCAAGGGACATACAGATCGCGCTCTGGATATGGCTGGGGGGCAGGAACGGCAGGGCTCTGTCAAGACGTCAATACCACACTATATGACGCAGTGCACAACGGATCAACATACGCGGCATCCACAACCCTGACACCATTGACGCCAATCACCCGCGCCTTGCTATCTACAACAGCGGTACTGTTCGCCGCAGTGGGATCGCCCATAGCGCACGACGACCCGGCATGGTAGAACGCCAACCCATCCTGCTGGATGAACCGCAAGATCTCCGCGTCGGTGCGAACTGACTGCTTCCCAGGGTAGTACTCATCGCCGAGGCGGACCGGTGCCAGCTCTGAGGCTTCGAAGATCTCTCGGAGACGCTTGAAGGCGGCGATGGCAACCTGCTGGTCGGTGCGAGATCCCAGTGTGTTAGTGTTGATGATGGGGGCGTCGTTGGTGTCGGCGGACTGGATGGTGACATTGCCCAGTGAAACGGGAGCGACGAGAGCAGCATTGACCGACGCGTACTGATGGCCGTCTTTTGGCTGGCAGCCCATAGGGTCGTTGAAGTTGCCTAGATACATGGGAGAGACGATGTACTGGAGCTGGTTAGACAAGCCATGGGCGGGAATCGTGAAACAGAGACAGGAGGGGGTACTTCAACTTCGGGCCAGTCGTCCGGGAACTGGGCCAGGTCCTGGAGTGCTTCCGGAGTGAACGCGGCACGGAGATGGTTAGGGACCTTTTCAAAGGCCCCGAAGTCACCTGCATTCGCAGTCAAAGGGCCCTGCTGCCTCTGGCGATACTCATCGACATAGAGCTGAAGCATCTTCAACCCATCGTTGACCCATTCGGTCCACGTGGGGACGCCGACGCGATATGCCGCGCCAAACCAGACGTGGTCGACCAGGTTCTGTCCCACATATGGACTGTCATGGACAATGGGAATACTGAAAGAGTTGAGACTATCCGCTGGTCCGACGCCGGATACCATGAGCAGTTGAGGGGACTGGAAGACTCCGGCGGATAGAATGACCTCTTTATCGACGGCAAGCGTGTGCTCAACACCCGCTATCTCTACCACCACTCCCGTGGCAGTCTTGCTGTCGTCAAAGAGGATCCGCTTCGCCAAGGTTTCTGTGTAGACAGTCAGGTTGGGCAGGTCCTGGAATTTCTTCAGATATGTGTTCTCGGCGGACGCGCGCTCCTGCGTCCCTGGGATGGTCGTGAGGGCGAAGTACTGGGAACCGATGATCTCCCCGCTGTTGAAGTCACCGGCATCGTCAATGCCGACGGCTTCCATGGCTCGTTGAATCCAACTGCAAGGTGTCAGCCATTCTCCCGTTGGCGGCTAGCAGCCTGAAGAGGAATGGATATCACCTGGAGATTGGCGACGCCCAGTTGGCGTACGTAACCGACAGCGGACCACTGCCAGACGAGAATGCGTCTGACTGATATCCAGGGGTCGCATTGAGAGCCCGGCGATCGGGATCTGGTGCTGTGAAGCTGGTGCCCTTCTTGAAACATCTCTCAAATTTAGACCATGAGTAGCTCTGATCGTTGACCTTGTCGGCCCACATCTGGAACGAGCCGACCGGAGCTCTGATGTCTTTCTTAGCAATAAGCAGGCTTTGGAAGGACACACGAGAAGGATCGTACCTCTGATAGATCATAGCGCTGTCACCAGTTAGCATTGGAAGTTTTCCAATAAGGTCGATGCGAGTAGCCTTACTTGCGTGCACTGGAGCCTCCCATGCACTTCCCTCGGGGATAGCCAAAGGCTCGTCCCCCCATTCCCGGCTGGGGCTCGACCACGAAGCCCCAGTCATTTGCGGCATTGTTCGCGAAGCCGAAGGCTGGAGTAGACGAGATAATGGGTTCCGAGTCCTCATACCAACCGCCAGCCTCGACGATGGCGACTGTGTAGCCTGCCTCGGCCAGTCTCGTTCCTATAGGAATGCCAGCAGTGCCTCCTCCGACAACCACGTAGTCGAAGGTGTTGTTTTGGGGCTTCCCGTGGTGGAAGGCGCTCGCCAGGGCAGGAAGCAGTGCGACTGGAAGAGACCAGAACATCATTTCTCGATCTGATATCTCAAATGGACGATCTTTCAGGGTGTGCAGCTTGATCGTATTGATTTATGGCCGCTGGGCACTTCAGCTGCGTGTCTCCCCAGCATGGACTTGGTGGTCATCGACCACGCCATCCGCATTCTGCTGCTGTCAAGGACCATCTCCGATGGGCCAAATACCCTGTCCAAGTGGGAGGAGCATCTTTGAGTATGCTCGGAGTTCAAAGAAGCATAAATTTGAATTCACCCGGAGACAAAATCGGTGAAGTTGACGCGGATCTGCAATTCATGTCCGGATCGCCAGATGTGGCTCTTCTCCGAGACGACTAAAGAGCGATCGGAGTTGGAGGTCGCCGGAGAACGAAGCAGCACTGACCATTGAACGTTGATGGTGGATTTACATCCTTGCCGGTTTGTCATTTTCGTGGTTCTTCAGCAAGTCCATTGTTATGGATGTCGCGGTCGAATGGCCCGTATCAGATATCAGACATTTATACCCAGCCATGTCTCGTCGACCTGTAGATGGAATGCAACTGAAACAAAGACACTGCATGATACATCGTGGCAATTGCTTTATATCTCCATTTTTCTCAGAATAAACTAAGACGCAATTATGGGCTCCCTCACGCCTAACAATGTCGCTCCTGGCGGCCTCGTCCTAGTCACCGGTGTGAACGGCTTCCTGGCCGCTCACCTCGCCATCAACCTTGTCGAGCGCGGCTACAAGGTTCGCGGTACAGTCCGCTCTCAGGAAAAGGCGGACTGGATCACCGAAGCAGTTACAAAGCGCTACCCCGAGGCTTCGTTCGAGGCGCTGGTGGTACCCAACATCTCCGCCCCTGGGGCTTTTGAGGAAGCCGTCCGCGGCGTCGATGGCATCGCCCATGTTGCCAGCGACTTGACCTTTGGCAACGATCCCAACAAGGTCATCACACCCATGCTCGAGGCCCTCCACAACATCCTCAGCAGCGCCGCCAAGGAACCCACCGTCAAGCGCTTCGTGCTGACCAGCAGCGCCATTGCGTGTCTGACTCCGCAGCCGGAGAAGGAAATCCACGTCGACACCACCACGTGGAACGACAGCAGCATCGAACGGGCGTGGGCTCCACCTCCGTACGAGCCTGAGCGCTGCTGGGACGTCTATGCCGCCCTCAAGACCTCGACCGAGCGTGAGTTCTGGAAATTCGTCCAGGAAAGCAGACCCGGCTTCGTCGCCAACGCCGTCCTCCCGGATTTCATCGTCGGCCCTATCGTCCACGCCAAGCAGAATGGCAGTACCGGCCGCTGGGTGAAGGAGTTCTTCGATGACCCGGTCAACTACTACAAGCCCCTGCAGACCTTCATCCCCCGGCACTGGGTGGATGTCACCGACGTGGCGCTGCTGCATATTGCGGGTTTGACGGAGGTAGATGTGCAGAACGAGCGGCTGCTGGCCTTCGCTGGCCCGTTCAACTTCAACAGCTGGCTGAGTGTGTTCCGGAAGATTGATCCTTCCAAACCGTGGCCGGCGGATGATCCGGAGCAGGTCAACGATCGGAGCACGGTGGATACGGAGAGATCAAAGGAGATTCTGAAGCGGTACTCTCGCGTTGGCTTTACGTCTTTCTTTGACAGTGTGCGCGATAACTGCCTCAAGAGTGACCCTGAGTGGAAGCGGTCGAACTTTCCTTAGACCCTTTTCTCTTGCTTTTTCTTGTATGCGATGACGAAGTCTATGTAGCTGAATGAATGTTGTCTTCTTATATTTCCTTTGCTATGTCTGACTCCAAATTTTTGATGAGAACAGATAAATTGAGAATGACTGCATCGATGACCGAAAATATTTTTGTGTATTTTCGTTTCAAAGTCTGTCTAGAATCTAGATTTCTTGTAGAGGTCTAAACTTTTCTCGAACTAAACATTTGTCAATCTATGAATATCGACAGCTGCCCATACATGGACCAAACAATGAGAACGACTATTAATGCAGGTGGTATATCTTTTTGATGCCCTAAAGTAGAATAACACTCCAAATTATGACCCTTCTGACCCATCTCCCATTCCCCATAGGCCGCTACAGACACTCAATGATTACTGCCTCCCCTAGCAGTCTCCCTAAGCACTCTGATCCTCTCCACCAGCAGCCTTCTTTGCCTTCTTGCGGAAGTGATCTTTGATCAAGAAGGCAAGGCTCAACACCAACCCCAGACCAGACAGGCCCAGCTCGAAGTAAAACGCACCCCGATACCCCTTTTTCTTATCCTCATACGTATGTCCTCCGTTGTTGACTTCCCGCTCCACTGTCCCCGCAAAGCCCAGTCCCAGCGAGATACTGTAGTTAACAATGGTCATGACCACACTGGCGCCGATGCCCTGGTACTTGGCCGGGACGGCGTCGGAGAAGATGATCGTCGCAGCAGGGAAGGACGAGTCCATTCCGACGCAGATGATCAGAACGCTCCAGAAGAAATTGCCCCAGTAGATCTGGTGCGTCGGCAACGTGGCGATGAGAATGGATCCGACCAGATACGCCACCATCCCAATGACCATGACCCATGCGGCGGAGACCCGGCCCAGCATTTTGCCCACCGCCAGCGCGGCGCACAGCCCCGACGGAATCACGGGGCTGTACCACGCCGCGAGCAGCAGCGGGCTGACTTTGTTCAGCTCCATGACGAATACGGCGGCGTAGTACACCCAGATCCCGAAGGTGGCCCAGCCGCAGGCGGTGCAGCCCAGCACAAAGGCGATGTCGGAGTTGAAGGCTGCCAGGGGTAGGATGGGGTCTTTCGACCAGCGCAGTTCGATCCAGAAGAAGGCGGCCGCGAATAGGAATCCTAGGATCAGGCACACGTAGACGTAGGGCGGCTGCCAGCCGACTCCAGCGGCCTGGTTCCACGCAAAATTAATCAGCACCAGCGCGGCAATGCCGGTAAAGCAGCCGGGAAGATCGAGGTGCATGATCTTCTGGCCGAACATCAACATATTGGGCGTGGTGCTCGTCGGTTGAGGTGGGATCGTGTAAATGGAGACGATGGCGAGACAGGCGAGGGCGATGGATGCGCTCCAGTACGCCCACGGCCACCAGGCCAGCGCAAAGAGACCACCGGTAGCAAACCCACCAATGGCGCCAAAGGGGGCACTGCCGCCGAAGAATGCAAAGGCCATGTTCTTGCGAGGGCCGGGCGCGTACGACTGGCCGAGGATGGCGATCGCGTTGGGGAGCGTCACCGCCGGTCCCATGCCCTGAAAGACACGGGCGAATATGAACAGGACCTGAGAAGAATAGACTGCCAGGCCGCAGACAAGCGTCCACAGTGCGTACCAGCTCATGCCGATGATGAACATTTTCTTGTGTCCAAAGTCGTCGCCTAGCCGGCCGGCAACCAGGACGAAGGTGCCGATGGTCAAGCTGTAGCCGGCCACCAGCCACGACAACTCGTTGCTGTTGGTGATTCCGTACCACTCCCCAATCACTCGAACCATATCCATTGTCTGGCCCAGTCCGAGCTGGTTCGTGAACATGGCCGAGCAGACGGTCAGGATGAAGAGGATTTGGCGAGGCAGAGGGAGGGTGTTTGCGATGTAGACATGTTCGTCCTTGGTGTCCTTCCCATCGTCGAGAGTGATTTTTTCGTCATCAGGGAAGGCCCCTATAATGACATTTGCTTAGTCTCTTGTCTTCTGTTTGATACAGGTACAGGAAGCTCAAGAAAACTCACCTTTTGGGAGAACTCCCTGAGAGATCGACTGGGTGTCGCTTGAACTCTGATTAGACTCAGCAGCCATGATGCTTGTCTTCGGAATAGCTAATCTAATAGATGGTGAAAGAGTACGAAGAACGATGAAGGTATTTATTCTTCAAACAAGACCTCCTAGCACGCACGTACCAAGTGCAAGATCGGACTTGAAAGCTGCAGTGATCGTCCGCCGGGAACGACTACTGAACTCCGGGGCCCACCGTCCTCCAACTCCGGGGCTGCTTCTTAGGGGCAGCACTCCCGGAGGCAGTCAGTCTTAGGGCAACCATAAAGTAATGGCCATTCCATCAGTGTCCACGCGGATTGTTGCGGTCTCAGTTCATGATCCCTTCCACTCCAGCGCACAATGAAGATCTTTCACGCTCTCTCTTGTTTACTGTCACTAACCCTGGTCATCAGGACTGGCCAGGCCGTCAGCTATCCGAAACACTCCACCTGGATGCTGGAAAGTGTCATCGGGCGAGGTGAAGGAATCAACCCGGCCGACGGTCTGTTGGGAGTCATCCAGAAGGTACCGCACCATGCCACGCATTCTCCGTACATTTTGACTATTAATGAATGCTTATTATACAGGGCCTATTCCAGCAAGCCCTACGAGCAGCGATCGCCCAGTCCAGCGACGCAGAGGAGATCGCCAGATGGACGGACTATCACCGTCGCAGCGTGGACGCCGACATCGAGGAGCTCCTCAATGCGACGGCATCCTCCCGCGACCTGTCTCTTGACCGGCTATGTGTCGGTCGCTCAATCATGTTCGTGCAGCTATCCCTGGTCCAAACTGAGCCCGACTGACCTTGTCCAGGGAGATGAATCTCGACGAGCCACTCCACCGCAACGTCCTCAAAGCGCTGCGCAAATCCCTCGACCTGCAATACCAGAACGAGAACTCCGGCTTCTGGTACTTCGTCGACCCGCCGCCTCCCTACCCGCCGTACGGTAATCTCTCGTACAGTGATGGAATGTACGGCTTCGCGCCCTTCGCCGCCTTATACGGCATAACCTACGGCGACCCACACGTAAACCTCGAAGCCGCTCTGCTCCAACTGGATCTACTCTACCGGCAGAGCATAGAGCCATCTACGGGTCTGATCAAGCACGGCTACGATGGCTCGCGAGACGCGCCGTGGGCGCACCCGATCACCGGCGCCAGCCCTATCGTCTGGGGACGGAGTCTGGCCTGGTATTTGATCGGCGCGTTGGATACCCTGGAAATTGCTAAATCCAAGTACGGGAATGGGGGAGCTCTTAACGCGATGCAAAAGGACAAGACCGTCCAACGCATCCTTGACATCTTCCAGCGTCTCGCCAAGGCAACGGTGAAGGTAATCCAGGACTCTGCCCGGAAAACCGGCCGCTATGCCGTCTGGCAGGTAATGGACCAAGCAGGGGAGAAGGGGAATTTTGTCGAGGCCAGCGCTGGTGCCATGGTCGCCTATGTGCTGGCGAAGGGGGTGCGATTGGGATTCCTGCCCGGGTCCGGATCGACTCAGTCCACGAAGATCGGCTCAGGACACGGCGCGCCTTCGTCTCTCCGGGTGCAGGGCGCGGTGCGGCAACCCTCTGAGCAGATGTGGGCTGAAGATGTGGCGGATGTTGCGCGCGCGCTCTACAAGGATGTTGTCGGGCATTTTGTAGTGCGGAGCGTGGAGGAGGGCAGTTGTCTGAATTTCCTCGGGACGAGCATCATTGCCAGCCTGCATGAGGAGAAGCCATACTACGAGGTCTGTTTAAGTCCCGTTTTGGATTCCCGTATCCTTTGGCTAACGGGGTGTGTTCATAGTATTATACTCATCGAGCAGTCACCACGAACAGTCTGATCGGGACGAGTGCATTCGCGCTGGCGTCACTCGAGATGGAGAGAATGGGTGTCTGATAGGAGTAAGAAACGTCAGCTTGATAGTTCAGTGAGTGAAAATAGCCAAAGTAGTTTATAACACTCTCAGAACAGATTCCTTCTTCTACACAAACATCCCCTGTAGTCTTCTTCCAGCACTCCAATCAGCCAGCCAACTAGTTCCAAGTATCACACAGCCTTCTGGCCCTGCAAATCCCACTTCACGCGCGCAACGCCCCCCTGCCCAACCATCCACACCTCTCGATAGTCGTCCGTATCCGACCAGATAAAATTGTTCACCGTGAAATTGGTCTGGACCCGCGCGATCATGTCGCCATACTCGTCCATCACACTCAGCCCATTCCCGCTCGCCGTTACCAGCCATCCATTCCGGGCAACCTTGAGTCCGTCCGGAACGGTGCCGATGGCGTCGTAGTGGACAGGCCGCTTGTTGGCAATGGCGTGGCCATGGTCGATGAGATCGAACTTGTAGATGGTGCGTTTGCCGGTCGTGTTGAACAGCAGTCCAGCGATGCCGGGGCTGGGCAGATCGACCGAGATCGGCGCCGATTGGCCCGCGGCCTCGGTGTCGGTGATGTAGATATGTCGTCGGTCGGGGCTCATGGCGATGCCGTTGGGCGAGCGCATCTCGTCGTTAACTACCACCGTCGACCCTGTGGCGGGATCGAAGCGATACGTAGCCGACTTAAGCTGGGGTGCGGTGTCGGCTACCTCCAGCCACCAGGAGTAGTAGGGGACCGTGAACCAGACGAAGCCGGTGACGGGGTCGACAATGAGGTCGTCGCAGTCGGTGAAGGTCAGGCCGTAGTAGTTGTTCAGCAGTGTGGCAGACTTGTTCGTCCGGGGGTCGAGGGTGACAATGCCCGGGCGCTGCTTGTGTTTGTCGCTGCTGCCGGCCACCGAGTAGTAGATGAGGCCGTCGTGATAGAAGCCGCCGTTAGGCACGAAGATGGGCGGATCGGCCGTGAACTTGGAGAGGGTAGGCGGGTCGACGTTGAGGTCGATGATGAACTGCTCCAGCATGGGTGACAGCTCCGAGAAGAAGATCTTGTTGAGACCTGGGACGAAGGTTGGGGCCTCGTGCAGCGCCCACGGGTTGACGGAGAAGACGAAGTCAACGCTGGGGTTGTCGCCGAGGAGTTTCCGGCCACGCTCCTCGTTGAAAATCACAAAGTCTGCCCGCTCGACCTGCTCCCAGGAGGTGGTCCTGGCCTCCCCTCGGCCGCCATTGAACTGAATGTCTGCCAGGTTCGTGGCATCGGTGCCGTTTGGAGAGTCACGCCAGAAGGGATACGGCAGGTTCGCCCCATGTTTGTCAACGCAGGCCACGCCCGGTGCGATACACGTGCGAACGAGGCCATCTTCTATCACAGTGTCTGGGGAATGGTGAAAGCTGTCAATGAGGGGATGCTGCTGGCCTGGCACGTCACGCCGTTGCAGGACAACGACGCCCAGCGCGAGAGCGGCATTGAGGGTGGATGCGATGATATGCTTCATTTTCATGGGTGTCATGGGCTTGCTGGACAATGAATTGCGGTATTTCTAGCACGACGAGTTAAATACCCGATGTGTAGGTACAATTTGATCTCGGAGATCGACCATCGCCGTTCTTGCTTCTCCGGCGCTCCGGCAGCACAGCGGACTCGATCTGTCAGATGGCCAAGACGCGGTGTTGCCTGTGCTGCCACAATCTCCGCGAATAGTTTCAATGTGAAGAATACTATAGTTGCATATCCTTACTTCTCATAGAGTAGTGTCTTGACCCCTTGCGACCCGGTGTTTTGTTCAATTCTTCCGTCTTTTGAATGTTAATCCCGTTGTCGCGGGATTCTTGAGTAGAAATCCCTCGTTAAGTGGCCTGCATTTCTATCAGAGTGGAAATAGTCAAAGACATACTCTGAAATGCCTAGTTAGGAAAACGCGAAGATCTGCGGCCTGTCCACTTGCAAGTCAGATGTTAATATATGTATATATATCTATATATATACTTAGAATGTGAAGATACTCCACGGGAGAAAACCAACTTGGTGGATCTAGGAGCCCAATCTGAGGCACATAATAAAGCTCCAGGAGGATACTAATCTTCCATTGCAAAGTAGTCCGAAGGTGACATTGACCGAATCCTCTGAGGTGGGCTGTCGCGAGTTGTTTAATCCTGCTCAACACGGCCGGAATGGGGACTTTCTGGGGCCCATAACCAAATGTGGCTGTGTTTGGGGCTCGATGAGAACATGCGGAAGGGCTAGGATAGGAGAGATGTCTCTATCATTCTCCTTTATGCATTGGAATGGGAGCAAGGGGGCATTTATCTAGTGTTATCATGAAAGCCAAAGTGTATTGAACTGTTCCCTTCCATTGACCATGTGTACTGATTTCCTACTTGCGGCCCCAATAACAAACAAGCAACGATCAAAAGGTCAAAAATAAACAAACATCAAAACGGTAGACACATCAGATGCCATCACGGACTATTGACTTTGGTCGCACGGTGGACATGATCGAGAAACGAGCGCACCACCGTCAAGGCCTGGATATACGACAACCGCGGGTCACAGAGACTGCGGTAGTTCGTCGTGAGATCCCGCTCGTCATACGTATCCCAAGCGTCAACACACTCTGTGACGAACTCACCCGTCTGTTCGAGGTGGAGACCGCCCATGAACGACCCATTGGCGCGGTGCACGTCGAAGGTGCGGACGATCTCTTGCACCATAGTTTCCACGCAGCGCGTCTTGATCCCCGAAGGCGTGCTTCTAGTATTGCCGTGGCAGGGATCACACATCCAGACGGGAGTGTGACCAGCTTGCCGCACGGCGTGGATGAGCGGCGGCAGCACCGTCTCAACCTGATCGACGCCCAGGCGCGTGATGAGTGTTACTCGGCCATCCTGGGTGTCTTGTCCGTCTTGAGGCCGCACTATGGAATCCAGCAGATCGACGAGTTCCTGTGGTCGCATGGTCGGGCCCACTTTGATGCCGATGGGGTTGCGGATCCCACGGATGTACTCGACGTGCGGGCCGTTCCGCTGGCGGGTGCGCTCGCCGATCCAGACGAACGTGGCGGACGTGTTGTAGCGGCCGTGGGTGACGGCGCTCTCATAGGGCATGTGCAGGGCCTCGTGCGATGTGAAGATGGCCCCCTGTCCGAGCTCGTGCAGGATATTGGTGTGGAAGAGGTCTTTTCCGGGAGAAGCCACGGGGTCGCCTGACGGGGGCGTTGGCAGAGATGGGCAGGCTTTCATTAGGTCTAATGTCGCGCGGGAGTGGAAATATGCCTGCAGCAGTCGGTTGGGGTCCGGTGTGCGGTCGTCCGCGTCGAACCCGTTGACGTTTTCGCCGCGAAAGCTGTAGACGCGGGATCTGTCGGCCAGTGTTTCGAAGGCAGAAGAGCGCGGTTTGGCATATTGCCCAGCGATTCTTCCGACGGTGACCACGGGTAGACCCAAGGCACCGCTGATCAGCCGTGATTGTTCATGGAGCAGCTGCAGCTTCTGTTGCACGATCAGGGGCCGCACGTCCTGGAAGCTTTCGGCACAGTCTCCACCCTGGAGGATAAAGGCTTCTCCGCGAGCGGCTGCTGCGAAGTGCCGCCGGGCAAGCTCAATCTTCACGGTGCTCACGAGAGGGGGGAAGGAGGCCACGGTGCTCAGGACTTCTTCGAGCGCCAAGGGATCCTTGTATTCAATCTCTTGCGCAATTGTCTCACGCTTTCGCCAACTCTGGGGCGTCCAAGTGTCCGATGGGCCCAAGTCCACGTCTTTTTCACTCGGCGGAAGAACTCTTCCCTGCGGGAATTCTAGGGCGAACATTCCCAATATCAGATGACAAAGCAGCGGTCAAGACAAAAGACGGTGTGCCGGTTAAGTCTGGCTACTGGTATAAAACAGGGCCTTGATCACGGACTGATGAGATTGAACGGTCTGTCTGACTTTCTGGCTGGGGTTTGATCCAACAAGAGCTTACGGCGATGGGATTAAGAGGCCTGGGGATTCTACGGGGATTCTACGATGCTACGTCCAGCTCCCCCGGTGCCTTCCCATATGTCTCCGTATCCTCATTTGTTAAGGGGCCTAACGTATTTTACCTACCTGTCTCAGAATGCCACTGCACGATGCCATCCACTTGCCTTCATGGTCACGGTGGCTCGTCTCCTTCCCGGCCTAGATCCACACAGCCTTGTCCGATACCATCGCAGGCTTCTGTTTCACGGAGTTGGAGGTCGTTCCGTCGGTTGTCCGCGCATATGTCAACCGTTCTGGCGTCCTCGTGTGCGTTTCTTTTGTTGGGAATTGAATCCTTCAGAAGTATCGAGCCCTATCAACGGACTGGGGGCATAGGAGAAGAATAATACCCAGCAGCTTCGACGGCACAGAGACAAAATTAGACAGAACGCCATGTCCGGCGCCTGTTCCGCTCTATAGTCTATGAGGATCTTTATCAAGGTTCGGACCGGAGCTTGGCTTTGCTCAAGTTGACGCCGGAGGTCATGGACCCCTGTCTGGTCGAATGGAACTATGGCGAAGTGGACAAGCAAGGAAGAGACAACACCGGAGTTAGGTCTACTACAGCCATCATCCAGTTAATGTCTACTCGCCGCGCATCAAGCGGCAAGATTCAACCGCTGTACGGTAACAGGAGCTCTATCTGGACAATCACGAACTCCGGCGTGGATAGTTTCATCCGAGATCCGCCTAAGTACTTCACATGGCAGCTGTTGGAGCGATACGGAAGAGTCAGCACTAGTGCAAGGAAGTGCATCACTTCATATGATACCCACAGTGGAGCGAAACTGTGCTGATCCGGTTGATGTCTAGGACCCACGTCTAGGGCGGCTCGAGCCGTATTTAATCGCTTCCCATTCATCGCTTGCGTACTCCGAGCAAACAGAGGAACAAGTTACGAGTCTCGTTTTTGTCCTAGTATACCACGTACGCATCCAATCTCTTCAATCCATCCGTCTAGCCACATCAACCATGATCTTTGAATCTAAGTATCCTCTCCCCTCGGTACCCAAGACCGATGTCTTCAACTACATTTTCCACCAGGGCCGACGGCCGTATCCATGGAGTCGAGTGCTCTACCGCGTCGACCAGACCGGTGAAACGCTGACGCTGGCTGAGCTGGAGGAGAAGAGTAGACGCTTCGCGGATGTTCTTCGCTCGGAGTACGAGATTATGGCCAAGGATGTCGTCGGCATTCTGGCCAAGGACAGGGTATGTAGGCCCATCCCCGCTCATTCACCGCGCTAGTGGCTACATCTTGCAAGCAGATCCAATATCCGATTGCGTATTTTGGCGCTTTGGCTGCCGGAGCTACAGTGGCCCTCATTCCCGTGCAGCAGGAGATGTCGGAAACAGACATTGCGACTCGCATGGTCCAGTCGCAGGTCAAGCTGCTCATCACGGACAGTGACCTGCTGTCCTTTGCCGAAGTCTCTGCAAACTTGGCAGGCGCTATCCGCCTCATCACGCTCGACGCCAGCCCTGATCAACCATGGGCATCGCTGGAAGGACTTCTGCCTCGTGGTCGCCCCGACGCTGACCTCTTCCGGTTGGAGACGGAGGCCAGCGCAGAGGACCACGATGCGTTTCTAAACCGGACGAGTGGATCTACAGGCAACGTCAAGTCTGTACTAACCAGTCATGCCCACTTCATCGCCACAATGGAAGGCACTATCGGCACGATACCCGACAATACCGACCCGGACCGCGATGTGTGGCTCTCTCCGCTATCGCTGGGTTTTTTCATCAATGCCAAGCTCCACATGGGTCTCAACATCATGCTGGGAATTCCCGTGGTACTCATGAACGGGGCCCTCGACGAGACGACCGTCGACGTGGTCGGCCGCCACAAGATCAGCTTTCTCTTCATCACGCCGCCGATTGCCGCCCGCCTGGCGCGAGCGGACCTGAAAGCACCCGGAATCGACGTCAGCAGTGTCAAGTGGCTTCTCACAGCGGGAGCTCCCATGCACGAGAACCTGCGGCAGACGGTGTCCGAGCAATTCGGGGGCGTCCACCTCGACCTGGAATGGGGCACCTCCGAGACCATGCTCATCGCGATCCAGCGAGACGAGGATTCCCGGCGCAGTAACTACAGCGGCACGCTGGTGAACGGCATGGAGGCCAAAGTGATCAGCACGGTAACCGGTGAGGAACTCGGGGCTGGCGAAGCCGGCGAGATTCTGGTGCGCAATCAGCTGTGCCGATTCAAGGGCTACAAGGATAATGAGGTGGCCAATCGCGACTTCGACGCCGAGGGTTGGTTCCACACCGGTGACTACGGGTACCTCGACGAGAACTGCAACGTCTTCATCATGGATCGGATCAAGGAGCTCCTGAAGGTCGGCGGCGGGTACGGGACGCACATCTCCGCTGCGGAGCTGGAGGCCGTGGTCTTCGAGCATCCCGCCGTGGCCAGTGCGGTGGTCGTGGGCATCCGCAACGACTTCACCCAGTTGGATGAGCCTACCGCGTTCGTCATCCTCAAACCCGAGTACTATCACAACGCTCTGCTCACCCAGCTGTTGGAGCGCGATATTCTGGAGTTCGCTGGCCAGAAACTGACGGGGTTGCGCAAGCTGACGGGTGGAGTCCGCTGTCTCGCCCAGTTTCCCACGACAGGCTTCAAGATCAATCGTAGGCAGCTCAAGCAAATGGGGCATGCAACGGGGGCAGATGTGGCTAGAGGGATGTTTTCTTCCCCTGTTTTGAATCATGTGCAGTTAGTTTGAGAACGACCTAGATGCTCTATCAATGATCCACTTTTTCTACATGATTTTTTGAATGGATAAATATACACATTGTATAGGATTATTGTCTCATTTTCTGATAGATTTTCGCGTGCACCTTTCCACCTTTGTTTACTTGCCATACAGATATTAACTGACTAAGGTTAGGAAGATGATCAGCTACTTAGATAATGTGATATTGGTGAATGAATATCATGAGTAGATTGATGATTATTAAGGTCAACTCTGGGTTACTAAGGTTGACCTAAGAAATCTCTGTAATATCTATAACTTATCTTTTAGATAGATAGCTAGTAGCTAGGTATAAATAAAAGATCTTACCCTAGGTAAGTAAAGAGGTATTAGCCTAGTCTATTTCTCTATATTTCTAGTAATATTATCTTACTCTTAGTAATTCTATCTAGTAGTATATCTAAAGTTATAGATAGTAGGAAATTAAATACTCTTACTCTACTAAACCTATATTTATCTTAGTAAATACCTACTACTCTTCCCTATAAGTAACTACTAAATTTAAGCTAAAAGATAGTAGGGTAGTTATACTTAGTAAAGAGTTTTTACTATAGGAGAACTCTCTACTAAGCCCTATTAAAAGAGATAGAAATAAAATAAGATATAGTAACTCTAGGCTAGAGAAGTATTACTTAGTTACTAAAATAAGTCTTAATAAAAAATAATCTCTATAAGATAATATCCTTAAATCTCCCTACTAGAACTATTAGTAATAACTAGCTATCTATAGTAAATAATCTTACTAGAGATCTACTAGAGGATATAAGATAAGTCTTTATTAGGCTATTTAAGATAATAGCCTAAGAAGTACTACTTACTAATATTAATATACTTTTTTAAAGTATTTACTAAAAGTAATATAGTAAATAAACTACCCCTAAGATTATAAGAAGTAAATTATTATTATAGATTATTACTTATTTTTAAGGTCTTAAATCTTACTCCTATCTTAGAGTATAAGAATATATATATAAGGGATACTACTTAAGAATAGTAAAAGAGAGTTAAAAAATATTTTAGGGATATCTTATTAGTAATAGAGAGAGTTCCCTCTAATCTAGAATATCTTATTATTATTAAGTAGAAACTTATAGGATATACTTATAAGAGGTAGAAAGTAAATAAAACCTAATTATAAATTAATCTTATATTAGTAATTACTACTATAGAAATCTTTTATATATAGCTACTAAGAAACTTTAAAGAATATAATATAAATAATAAAAGATAGAAGAAATATGAAAGCCTTACCTAAGGTCTATAACCTATATAGCTATATATTACTATCTTAGATAAAGCTATAATATATATCTCTTTCTTAGTATATAAAGCCTCTCTTATTTAAAAATTTATTATTAGAAGTTAACTAGAGCTTAGGAAAAGATAGATAGAGGACTAAATATAATTATAAATATATAATAAAATAATTAAATACTTCTCTCTTTATAAGAATAGCTTAGCTACTACTTAATAACTTAGAGATAACCTATAATTAAAACTATAATTTAACTAGTATAGCAGAGATCTAATAGATCTAAGTATAATTACTAGCTCTCCTTAGCTAAGGAGAAACTTCCTATAACTAAATAAGGATTTACTAAAGTAGAAATTATAATATTACTAGAATAAAGTATATTTTATATATAATAAAACTAGATATCTCTAACTATACCCTATAAAGATAATAAAAAATAGGAAAGATTAATAAATCTAGAGGTACTTATTAATTAAATAAAGAAAGCCTCTAACTATTAGAATATATAGTATAATTTCTTTAAAGATAGGAAGAAAGAACTACTTAAGAGAAGGAATCTTTAATTATTATAAGAAATTACTAAAGTATATCTAAATATAATAGGTATTAACTCTATATATTATATAATAAAAGCATAAAATAAGAGATAGATAATTTAGATTAAGACCCTTATTAATTATAAAACTAATTACTTATTTATATTATAAATAACTACTAGTTATCTTAGTATAATAGAGCCTCCCTATAGTAAAAAAAAAACACCCTTAATTATATAACTACTAAATAGAGCTATAATAAATACCTACTAATAAGTAAGGATACTAATATAAATTAGATAATAGACTAGTCTTACTAAGTTATAAATCCTAGATACTAATAAATATAAGATAATCTTAGGTTATAACTAGCTAAAAGTTACTAACCTATAGATTAACTAGTAATTAGGTTAGATAATCCTTTAAAATAAGAGAAGAATATACTTTATCTACCTTATTAACCCCTAATATAAGATTAAATATTATAAAGATAACTTAGTGTAGTAAATAACTATAAAATAACTAAAATAGACCTTATAAAAAGAGAAGTTAATAGCATAATTATACCTCCTCTAAACTAGTAAAAAGAAATTAATAATCATAAATTATAATAAATAAATAAAAGACTTTAAGAATATATTCTAAGAAGAACTTAACCTAGGAATACTATCTACCTAAGGAGTAGACTATATTATTAATACTAGTAATACTAAATTAGCTAATATAAATACTTACCCCTAATTACTAGAGAAGTTTAAGGAAACCTACTACTAAGTAGAAGAACTACTATAAAAGAGAGTAATCTAGATCTTAGTAAGTTAGTAAGATTCACTAGTAATATTAGTCCTAAAGTTAGGAGGAAAATAGTAAATATATATAGATTACTAAGTACTTAATAAAGTTATTATTAAGAATATTTATCTACTTCTAAGAATTTAGGAGTTAATTAACTAAGTTAGTTAGATAAAGATCCTATTAAAAATTAATCTTCTCTTAGGGTACTAGTAGTTATAGATAGTAAATAATTTAATTATTAAGATAGTATTTAATACCTTCTTTAGGAAATATAAGTTTCTTATAATACTATTTAGACTCTATAATGCACCTGTAATATTCTAGATATATATAAATAATTAATTATAAGATCTTCTGTATATAGTAGTATATCTTAATAATATCTTAATATTCTTAGTAAGTAAAGAGGAATATAAATAATATATATAAGAAGTTCTTATTTAATTATAAAGAAATTAGCTATTTATAAAAGCCTTAAAGTATAAATTTAGTTAATAAGAAATTAAATTCTATAGATATATTATTAGAGAAGGAACTATAAAGCTAATACTAGCTAAGGTAGAAGCTATTACCTAATAGCTAAAACTAAAAAATATCTATAAAGTATAATAATTTCTTAGACTTATAACCTATTATTACTAATTTATACTAGGATTTATATAGGTTATAGCCACCCTCTATAACCTACTAAAAAAGTTAGATAAAGACCTTTAAAAAAAGAAATTCTACTTAATTACCTAGATAGTAAGATACTAAGATATCTTTACTAACTTAAAAGAACTAATAATCACTATACTAGTACTAGTAATTATAGACTTTAATTAATCTTATTAAATTAAGACTAATACCTTAGAATAGGTAGTAGGAATAATTTTAATATAAGAAGATAAGAACTATAAACTTTACCTAATTATATTTAATAGAAGGAAGCTTAGTAGTATAGAAAGGAACTACTTAATATAGGAGAAGGAGCTACTTATAATAAAAGAAGCTCTTTAGAGATAGGATTACTATATTAATAATAGAAAGATAATAATAGTAGTAACTAATTATAAGAGTCTTTAATATCTTATAAATATAACTAAGTATTTAAAATGGCTTGCCTAATGGGTGAAAGAATTCTAAAGTTATAACTTAGAGATCTACTATTAAAAAAATAGTAAAATAATAGTATTAAATATAATTAGCTAATACCCTAACTTTATAGAAGAAGAGCTAGATAATATTACTAAAAGAACTTTACTTAATATACTAGAAGTATAGGAGGTAGTAGAGATAAGATATTTTAAAAGTCTAAATAATCTTATAGAGTATAAATAGTATAATATTATAGTAGAATACCTAGAGCTATAGGTCTTACTATAGAATAAAAGAAAGCAGGAGCTTATACTAATAATAGCCTTATTTTTTAAACTAAAAAAAGAGGTACTATACCTCTTACTAAATTAAATTATAGATAGATAATATCTAGGAGGATAATTTATATATTATTAGAAATTAATCTATATTATAGATATTAGAGATGCCCTATATCTAGAGATTCTATTCTAAAGGGACTTCCTATAAGGAATATATAAAGAATATAGCTATATAGGCTATCTAGTATTACTAGGAGCTATTAGAACTTAAGCCTAATAGCCTTCTCTATAATATAATATCTAAGCTATAGTTAAGGAATGCCTAAATTATTAAATATTATAAGGGTTAAAGAAATATCTTAAATAGGAATAGTAATATTATATAGTAAAGAAAGGTATCCAGCCTTTTAAATACTAAGGTATTAATCTTATTAGATATCTGCTAGTAATACTAAATAGTAATAAATAGATTATTACTATTATTAACTATATAATAGGATAGGTTATTATGAAAGCTATTCTATATACTATAGATAAAATAATAATAAAGTTCTTATATAAAGAGATATTTACTTAATATAGTGCCTTTAATAAGATAGTATCTAATAATAGTATAAACCTACTATTATATATAATAGAAATCTTTATAAAAATCTTAAAAGTAAAACACTAAATAATAATACTAAATTATCTCTATATAAATAGAAAGAATAAAGACCTTAATAGACTCCTGGGATAAATACTTATAAAATATTTAATAGAGAAACTAATATAGCTATAGGATAAATATCTTTATCTAATAATATTTATAATATAAATATATACCTATATAAGTACTAGTAAAAGCCCCTTCTACCTATTATATAGGATTAAACTAAGATTACTAGGAGATATAAGAGAATCTATAGAGAAAAATAATTATAATAAACTTATAAGAGTAATATATATATAAGCACTAGTAAATAAGAAGCTATTAGAATATATAATTAAGAAAGGGATAATCTAAGATTTATAAATAAAAAAAAG